ATTTAATTAAATGGGCATAAACGTTATTTACAGATTAAAAAAATATGATTTTTGGTGTAAATATTCCTATTTTGTGTTTTTCCATATAAAAATGTTTCGTATATTTTTATGGTACATACGTGTTTAGAAAGCTACTTCCTCTTTTTTCCAATGGTATATTTCAAGTTAAAATCCTTTTAGCCATCTTTGAATTATAGCTGTTTCAATCAGGTATTCCTATGGACTTCTTAAAATTCGGAAAATTTTAGGAGTCAAAAAATCAATAAATTTAAATTCAAACAAAAATTTATATTTAGGGGACTGTAGAGGTGCTAAAACGAAATTTCAAATTAGTTTCACGAAAAAAATTTTTGTTTGAATTTAAAATTTGGTTAATTCAAACTATTTTTTGACTTAAAATAAAATTTTAATATTTTTATTTCGCAGTTCTAATTGCTCAAATCAGCCATGTAAATATATCATTTTACAGCATTTTTTAAGCAGATTGCATGAAAAATACTGTAAAAGCTTTCAAAGTTTATCAGTAACCGAAAAATTTCGAAAAACAAATTTTTTCAAGTAAACTAGGTTATACATTTTTTTATTGGTTTTTAGAAATTTTTTGGTTATTGATAAACTTTTATCGCTTTTACTATATTTTTATTGCATTCTACATTTAAAAAAATGCTGAAAAATGATATATTGCCATAGTTGATTTGAGCAAAAAGAACGGGGAAATAAAAATATTAAAATTTTAATTTTACTTCAAAATTTTAGAAGTCAAAAAATCGTACAATAGTTTACTTGGAAAAAAATTAGTTCTTGGAATTTTTTTGGTTATTGATCAACTTTTACCGCTTTTACTTCATTTTTTTTAATTTATATATGATTTATATATTATATTATGTATTACATATTACGTATTATTTATTATATTATTTATTTTAATTTTTTATTCTTTATTTTTTATTGCAATTTATATAAAGAATGNTATTATTTATTTTTATTTTTATTGCAATCTACATAAAAAATGCTGTAAAATGATATATAAACATAGTTGATTTGAGCAAATAGAAGGGGGAAATAAAAATATTAAAATTTTAAGAGTCAAAAATAGATCCATTTAAAATAAAACAAAAATTTATATTTAGGGGTCTCTCTAGAGGGGCTCAAACGAAAAGTTTTATGACCTAGTTTACTTAGAAAAAGAACTTGGTTTTTTGGAGATTTATTGGTTATTGATAAACTTTTATCGCTTTCATTATATTTTTGTAAGATTTTTCCATTCTTCATACGCAGACATCAATGACCTTCGTGAAACAATGACACCTAATCGCCCACGTCAAATATACGACTTTTCAATCTTTCGATGATTTGCAGTAGACGACATGGCTTGAAAACGGAATATTCGCCAATTACCATTAGTTTTAACGGTTGGACTTGTTTAATTGCAATCTAAAGGTGTTTGGTTAATCAGTTTCTTTAAAAATCGCGAATAGTCTGGATCTTGGTATGGTCTGGACGAAGAAACAAACTGTTGGTCACAGTCTTCAATGCTATGCAGAACAGTTGACTTTGTTTCCTGTTAGCACCATACCATGATCAGATTATCCCTGAGATAGTGCATTTCGCCTCAGGTCTTGGTAATGTAGGACTTAGTCGTTCCTCAAAGACATTTGTAAACCGTGTATAAAAAATAATTATGTCAATGTGTAGACATAAGATTGTTTTACTCTGATGATGACCTAGGTCGCAAACTTGGCAGTAACAGTTGAATCTCTTTCTTATTCAGACCAGTTATTGCATTTGTCCTGTCCTAAGCAATGTGGGACCGAGTCGGTCTTCAAAGAGATTTGAACCATCTATTGAAAAATTAATTATGTCAATATGAGGATGTAAGATTGTTTTGCCCTGATGATGGCTTTGAAATAGGTCGAAAGCCTTGGCAGTAAGAATGGAATTTTTATCTTCATTCAGATTATTCGTCAGTAAAAATTAGGTCGATACATCTAGCACTTTAAAAATCGAAAAAAAATCATCGAGCTTTCAAACACCACAGTAATTTTAGAATGAAAGTTGTGCTTTGAGGGTGGTGAGAAATCCGACGAAAGAGCGACCAGACCATTTTGCCGTTTCTATAAAAGGTCTTAGTAAAGTTTTTCTGCGTGCTTGGCACTCGTTAGCCGGTATATTCATCGTCCGAACGCAACTTTCAGACCTGACATAATTCCATAGATTTTGATTTAATACCCTTTGAAATTTTATCCGCTTGTCCATGCACTTTTTGCCCCGGTGAAGAGTCACGTGTTTACAGTCATGCTGCGGTTATCGGCTTTCCTATTTATCTCTTACATTTTCAACGGATAAGGTTCATCAAAAAGTAGTTTACTCGACAAACCTTTTGTTATTTTATAAAATATGTTTTATTTTTTATAAAAGAAAGGAAATTTATTCGAAATATTTTCCACCACAATCTATACATCTTTGTAATAAGCTTATATAAAAATCTTTATTTTGACTCCCTATAAATTCTTGGAAGGCGTTTTCTGCTTCGCTAAAACTTTTAACCGTCACGAAGTGATCAAAATACCTAAAAAAGTGGAAGTCTGTAGACGAGAAGTCAGGTGAATATGGAGGGTGCGGTACTGCTTCATATCCTAAGTCCTTAAGTTTCCGCAGGGTTGGCTTGCGACATGTGGCCTGGCGTTATGTGAAGAAGAATCGGCCCTTACTATTTACCAATACTGGTCAAAGACGTTGCGATTTCTTGCTATATTTCTCTGCCGTGATAGTTTAAACATAGTTCAGCAAAGTGAACAACCCTAGCAATACACTACCAAACAGTCACCATAACCTTTTTTGGGTGCAGATTTGGTTTCGGGAAGTGTTTTGGTTCTTCAGCCCCGTCAAACCACTGGCCTGTACGCCTCCTGTTATCGTACAGAATCCATTCGATCGAGAAATGGATCATTTTGGTGGTGCAACTGAAGAAACGTGCAAATTTCAAATTTCGGTTTCTTTGGGCTTCGGTTAGTTCGTGTGGTACCCACATGTCGAGCTTCTTTACTTTACCAATTTGCTCCAGATGGCGAACGATGAGTGATCAGGGATAGGGATAAGAGAGGCGGCCACAAGACCTTCTGCACCTCGACCTAAATAGATCTATTGTGCTCTCCTACTTTTATAACTCACTGGCCTACTTCAGGTTGTTAATCAGCCTCCATAGCTTTGCCAGCGGCTCATTAGTGTAGGATATTGCATGTGATTTTTCCTCTCCCAGTTGCAAGAACCTGTATCTACATAGACCTTCACAGAAACATAAAATCTGTTCTGAGGTCTCCTCCTCTTCCTGGCAGTATCTGTACAGTGCTTTTTTTGTCTGTACTCCTATCCGGTTGAGATGTGCTTTCTTCAGTGGCAGTACCCTGTCAGGAGTTCAGCCAGAATCCTGTTTCGGTTGCCTTCCAGTAACTCCTTTGTAAGTTCTTCGCGTGCTTCATACCTGTGGTATTGTTCCACTAGGTTTTTGAATCATTAAGGATCCATTATAAGATGTATCCTCTTTTGTGGCAAGATGCTAAGCCACAGAAGGGTTCAGGACTTAGTTAACCTAGAGTTTAAGTTGGTTCTTTCTTTGGCCAACATATCATCCTTTTCGTTTTCTCTATACCCCGATTTCCCAGGGCCCCATGCCAGGGTCAGGTCATTAGTGTCGCTGATTTCGGTCAGGGCCACCTCGCATTAATGCTGCCTGACTGTTAGAGAATATTGCTCTTCCGGGAATGTATTCCTATCCTTTTAATTTCCTGGCGCAGTGTTCAATCGTTATAATCAGACTGGAAAATTTTAGCATATTTACCTAGGTTTACCGTCAGTTCGGTCTTTGGATTCATCCCGAAAACTCCAGCCCCCATGCCCTTGTTGGAGCAGTCAGTGTACCAGTAGGAGTTTGCATTTAGCGGTGTTCCTTTGACCCATTCTTCTCGTTCTGGTATCAGTACCATGTACTTTTTAGTAAAATTGTATTTTGAAGTAGTGGCATCTTTTGGCAAGCCTGTATCTCTTCTTTCAGTTTATATTGTTTATTTACATGGACTATCCTTGCAGATGTTTGTCCACTTAGGAGCCTATGTGCTGCTGCTCTGGCATCTTCTTGGTCTAAAATATGAAGTGGTAGAAGGTTTAACAACACTTCCAGGGCCGCAGTTTGCGTTGCGCTCATGGCTCCAGTAACGGCTGACAAGCTTGTCTTTTGGTGCCACTTAGCCTGATAGCTTTGGCTGCAGAGTCTTGGTCCACTACATGACTGACCCATGTCAACATGGGTTTTGGACGCAGGTGTAGCTTTAAGCTCATTTTTCATTTTAAACCCGAACTTTTTGGCACAGAGACTTCTGCACCTCCCCAAGGAATTTTTCCTCTCTGGGTGGTTTTGTCAAATGTGGATTCCATGTGAGGCGCAGGTCTAGTGTGATCCTAGATATTCAACCTCCTTGGAAAATAGGTTCGGGGTCCCGTTTAGACTTGGAGTTTTTAGGCTTACTATTTTCCTCATCCTTATGAATGGAAGCATTATGGTTTTGTGTTAATAGATAGCTCCTTCCTTTGCTCCAGATGGCCAATAATAGTTGAGTGATCAACACTAAGATCTTCCGCAACTTCCCGTGTTGTCTTACGTGAATTTTCGTCAATCAACTTTTTTAGTTGGTCCTCGTCCACAACGGAAGTCCATCCGCGGACCTTTCCTGTCTTTGAGATCGACCAAGGCGAAATCTCTGAAACCATCCCCCCCCCAACTGTACTGATGTTATGTGCGCGGTTTGAGCCGCGCTTCGCCCAAGTTTAAATTCGTACAAATAAATTTACTACTTATAAAATTCAATATAAACTGTTTTGTATAAAAGATAACTGTTAAAAGTATTTATTTATATTACATAAATTAGATTTGAGGATTTAGCTTTGTTTACGCGACAAGCACCTGCGAAAATAAAACAAATTTTCAAAACCTGCATTAATTTTGCACCAACCCGATAAATGGGATAAAATATTTTTATTTTTTAATTTAATAGAATTGAGAAAGTTCGTTGAGAAACTTGGTGTATGGACGATGTGTAAACTCCTCGGAGTGGTGAGGATTCCGCCGTCTGAAGAGGGATGGTAAAGGACGGTCCGTCTCCTCCTCGCCTTTTCCAACTTTCTGCCGTTTTACAACGGGTGCTCTTTTTCCAGATGGACGGGTCCTGGAGATCGCAATGATTGGCTGCGAGGATGAAGGAAAGGGCAAGAGATCCTGGAGGGGAGACGAGCCGAGGGAACGCGCAAGCCACGTCAAGTCGTGGTACGGATACGGCGCCTTCGCCGAAGACGACGATGGATCTCAAAGAACCCTGCTCTCCAGCAAAGGTAACGTTTAAATTTTTACCAACGAAAAAGGAATTTATGACAGAAACGAATTACATCTGGCGAATAAACACGTGTCAAAATAGGAAATAAAATCCGAATCACCGCACTTACCGGCCATAGCGTTCGCCGGCTCAACGGTCCCTTGAGTAACTGGAAAAAACCTTCACTTTCGGATAAATAAATTGTTTCGTTAATGGACTGTTGAACGCACGAAACGAACCGTAGCAGTGACCGTTGCAGTCTCTGCAACCAGACGGACGCGCAACTGCAAGCAGTAGGTCCGTTAGGACAATCACGAAAACTGTCCCCTGCTAAGAGAGATTGTGTCCGGTACGGAAACAATCAAAAAGGGCTATTCCTTTCTTAAAAGCATCCCTTTCCCAAAACAAAAGGGAATAAAGTTTCTCAGGTAATTTCCTGGGGGGAAAAGAATCAAATTTCATACCCACGTTTCAGAAGTGCACCGATGCTTTGTAATAATCAGACTTGACATTTTCTGCATCCGTGCGTTGGTCGGAGTTCCAGTTCCGATCCTACGCGAATAACATGATATAAAACCAGTTCGGGTCATTGTTTATCCTAGTAAATCCCGTTATTGAGGTCAATTCGTCTAAAAAAAGTCGGTCTGATGCTTAATGTTCCATTGTAAGATTTCCTCTTGAGTTCTGTGAGACGATGAACCTGTAACTTTAATAGTTTACGATCAAGTAGTCTACCATACCCAAGGAGACGATCAGGTTGGTATGTCACGGATTTGGACCAAACCTTTTTTGGTAATTCTACACTCCAAAATATCGGCCAAGTATGTGCCACTCATAGTGAATAGGCCATGGTTTCGCCTATAAAAGTAAATAATAACCTGGTTTTAATGTTTGATACAGTGCAGTTGGCAATTACTTTGAAACGAATTATCAACCGTGAAAATATGTCCACTAGGAATGTAAATCACGCAGAAGGTCGTCGAAATTATAAAAATTAATTTACACTGATTTCCGCTAAAGTTGGTATCCAAAGGTTTTACAACGCTAGAAGTTCGACAATTTGGTCAAATCCAAATTTTGACCATTTTCCGACCTACTTTGTATATAGAATGTTTGTTAAAATATGCACAAAAAGCAGTATTTTGTTTATTTATCTTTTTAAATCATACAAAATTAGATTCAGCGTCGTAGAGCATTTTTTTATATCTAAAGAACCATTTATATATTAAAAAAATCTATAAATTTATATTCAAACAAAAATTTACATTTAGGGGTCTCTAGAGGTGGTAAAACGAAATGTCCCATTAGTTTCACGATTTAAAAAAAAAAAAATATGGCCTGGTTTATTTGAAAATATTTCGAATTTTTATGGTATCTAGGTATATATACAATAAAATATTTTTACTGATAATTTGAAGATCGTGAGATGCGGGTCTGGTGTGACGTCGGTTTTAGAAAAATATTTTCTTTATCGTGCCAACGTTTCGACCTTTATTGAGATCCTCTTCAGTGCCTGGGATTTATAAACTGTGTTTAAATTATACAAATACATGTAGGATGTGACAAAAAAAATGAATTTATACAATGTTAGAAATTTTAGATTCAATCAAAATATTTGTACTCATTCAAAGTGTTTATTTTCTGTTTAGATCTGCATAAAAATGCTTAACGTGGTATATTTTGATTTGAGCAAGTAGAACGGCGAAATGAAAATATTAATAAATGGAAAATTAGAAAAAAAAATGGCGAAAACATATTCACAACAAGCGTCATATAGGTGTGCTATATTTTGTAGTGTAGAATCACTAAAAAAACTGTTTGGTCAAAATCCGTTAGACACCAACCCGGTCGTCCCCTTGTTAGTAGTTTTGAACTATCAAGAAATATTGGAAGCCACAGAATAACAGAAAAGATAAATGGTGGAGTGTGTTCAGTCTTTTAAAAAAAAATAGTTCCTACTCACAGCAAGTTGTTTTCAATGATGCGGATTTCGAGCCTACAGCTCTTCATCAGTTTGTAGAGCTCGTTCAACCGATGATGAGCTGTAGGCTCGAAATCCGTACGGTTGAAAACAGCCACAGAATAATGTTCCAGTTAAATCTTACAACAGTAGCAAAGGGTTCATGTCTGTTAACTGAGTCAGTATAATCTTATTCACGTATTGCTGATGTTTAATCTTTAAATTACGATTTTGGTTTAAATAAAAAAGTTAGCGTCACGAGCGGGATTCGAACCCCACGACCTTCGGCTAAATACGCCGCTGCTCTACCACTTGAGCTATCGTGTCTTTGATCCACTCAAACCCAACTTCCCATCTCAACCCCACCTTTCGAATTTTCCCTCCTTTTTGCCATTTTTCAATTATTATCTATCAAATTATTTATTATGTCTGTAGTCCAGACACCTTTTCGAAAAATCTCCACAATCGTGGTTCGTTCTTGAATTATGTCCTCACGCCAATCCAGTACGATGAACATAAAACCACACAATATTTTCGATGAAATTGGGCAGTTGGGCAACTCGTTCAGAAAATTTAGACTTCTTCAGGGCCCAGTTTTTCTTGTCCGACGGTGGCACAGACGAAAACCGCCAAGCCGACCTGAAGGCCATCGTGAAAACAACTGTGGTCGAACATTAAACATTCATCGAACCGTATACAATGTTTTGGTTTAAACGAAAGTCGGTCAATGATTCGAACTGGTTCGACCAAGTTGTGGACTGGTAGATCCTCAACAGGTTGACATACGATCTTGAAAACGAAGTACTTTGCGGTCTTAAGCTTAAAATTCAACAGTTGCAAGTTGGTCGATACCGAAGACCAAACCGGACTCGTAGGAGGAATCTTACCATCCATCAAATCTCACAATTTAAATAATTACGCTCTTTTAAATAAATTAATAATTGATCCATTAATCTCCGTTTATCCTTGTAGCGGAGCGTTAACTGATTACAAAGTTAAATCAATTTACGAGTTAAAACCCTTTTCTAGTTTTTCTCTTGTAAAATTACAATTGCAATGAGAAAGAGAAAAAAAGTTTTGTCGGTGTTGTGAAGAAACCTTGAATTCGTAAATTAGTTTTGGAAATAAAGGCAATTCTAAAATTGACCCAATTATCCCCAGATTTTCTTCCCCGAGGTCGACATGGATTCGGAACAATCGGCCGAATTTATTGACCGATCAATGTCAAATTTGTCCTTAATTGATTTGTCGAGCGAGACGAGGCGGACGTAATTTAGCAAATCGGCCAAGTGGTGTATTTTCGCCTGTTCAGACGACCGTGAGTTGCATAAAAACCTAAAGATAACAGTTTTATAACAACTAAACGATCAATTAAAATTGTGTTTCGCTTTTATATCGCTTGTACCCACCCCGATGGAAATTAGTTCGATGCGGTCTTCAATTACCTTTGATAATTTTCCCCCTGACCTTTCAACAAGCACGTGGCTTGTTTGATTAACAATTTATCATATAGCTTCATAATCGGCAAATATTTTGCCGGCTTGTGCGTATGCAACTGTCTTTCGAAGGAGGACGCCGTCGGAGAGAAATTCCATCATTTATTGCCCTTGCCATAAACAATATTTTTCCAAAAACGCATTTCTCAGAGGGACGACGTTAACTTGGGGTGTTAAATTCCCAACCTTTGGTTTCGATGTTAGCCTACCATAAAACTCTCGATCGATGTCTTTCGTTGTTTGTTGAAGTCCGAGGTGTTTCGTTAAAACAAAGAGTAAACAACATAAATCAAGAAAGACGCGGAATATCCTTTGAAGAAGAAAATCAGTCAAGTCGACACGCACTTTTTTGGAAGTATGAAAATAGTTTGACCAAATCATCAATAACCAAGGTTAAACAATAATTGACGAAGCAAGATTATATAAAACCAAACCATCCATTTTAAAACCTTTTAGTTTAAGCAGTGTTTACCTAAACTGATCTGTCTGATGGACAAAACAGCCCTCATATCCAAACAAGAAATGTACAAAAAGGTTGTTCAACCACAACAAGATACATAGAAGAAATGCGATAGATAGAACATAATACCCATTTTTAGACGATATATCAATTTAAGCAGTATCTAACTGAATGGGCATCTAAAGAAGTTTGGTATAACCTGACACGGTACGTGCAGATTCTGCAAAGAAGCAGAGGAGACACCACACACTAGCGAATTATGTTTTGGGATAAACAACGTAACCGTAGGACAAATTCAACCCTTAAACCGCGGGCCTATTAATCAAATTTCTTGATGAACTAGGACTCACCTGTGTGCGTACCACCATAAGTATAGAAAGGGGATTCAATAGGTCTCGAAGGGCGCAGAGTAATGCATACCCCCAAAATTACATCTTACATCTTAAACAGGAGGTAGGCACAATAGCTCCCGAAGAACGTAGTGTAATGCACACTCCCAACATTACATCTTAAACAGGAGCTAGACACAATAGCTCTCGAAGGGTGCAGTGTAATACACACCCCCCAACAGTACATCTTAAACAGGAACTAGACACAATAGCTCTCGAAGGGCGCAGTGTAATACGCACCCCCAACAGTACATCTTAAACAGGAGTTAGACCTAACAGCTCTCGAAGGGTACAGTGTAATGCACACCCCATCATTACATCCTAAACAGAAACTAGACACAATAGCTCTCGAAGGGTGCAGTGTAATGCACACCCCAAACATTACATCATAAGCAGGAACTAGACACAATAGCTCTCGAAGGGCGCAGTGTAATGCACACCCCCAACAGTACATCTTAAACAGGAGTTAGACCTAACAGCTCTCGAAGGGTGCAGTGTAATGCACACCCCCAACAGTACATCTTAAACAGGAGTTAGACCTAACAGCTCTCGAAGGGTACAGTGTAATGCACACCCCATCATTACATCCTAAACAGAAACTAGACACAATAGCTCTCGAAGGGTGCAGTGTAATGCACACCCCAAACATTACATCATAAGCAGGAACTAGACACAATAGCTCTCGAAGGGCGCAGTGTAATGCACACCCCCAACAGTACATCTTAAACAGGAGTTAGACCTAACAGCTCTCGAAGGGTNAAGGGTGGATGGGTACTGTCTGCTGCGAACCCAAGCACTATCTTTTTAGGGACTCGTGCTCCTTTTTAGGATCTCGCACTCTTTTGACTTTCATTGGAACAAGGGTGGATGGGTACTGTCTGCTGCGAACCCAAGCACTATCTTTTTAGGGACTCGTGCTCCTTTTTAGGATCTCGCACTCTTTTGACTTTCATTGGAACAAGGGTGGATGGGTACTGTCTGCTGCGAACCCAAGCACTATCTTTTTAGGGACTCGTGATCCTTTTTAGTATCTCGCACTTGTTTGACTCACATCGGAACAATGGTGGATGGGTACTGTCTCCTGTGAACCCAAGCACTATCTTTTTAGGGAATCGTGCACCTTTTTAGGATCTCACACTTTTTTGACTCTCATCTACACGGAATGTGACTGTCTATACCCTAATAGTGAGTGGGGGTCTCTTTTTATTTTTCCTCTAGTTGTCACTATGAAATAAATTGAAATGTGACATGTGCACAGTTGACCTATCAGTTCTCGCAGTCCACCGGCAATTCCAGCTTTTGTAATTTACAATAACTTAGAGACAGGTCTGCAAATCACCCACCTAGGGCGTTGGCAGTCCTGGGTCAGACCTCTTCTCCACCGAGGTTGGACTCCGGGTGCTGTCATCAGCTAGGTCAATTGGGCATCCATGCAGTTCCTAGATCCACTCTCATTCATTCAATACGTTGGGCACTCTCAATACGACACACAAGAATAACACATCTGCACAGAAAACAAACACTTTGAGCCCTGAAGATGATCTCAGTAAAGTTGGAAACGTTGGCACGATAAAGAAAATGTTTTTCTAAAACCTACGTCTCTCCAGACCGCATCTCACGATCTCTAAAAAATCGTAAATACATTATTTAGTGTTTACATACCATTCACTCAATTAGGGTGGTGGTATTCCTCCATTGCCCTTTACACCTATTTATAACTAACCTAATAGAGGGTCGATTGAGTACTCAATAATCCGCCATCAGCCTTCTTACACTAAACATGATGTCAATAAATACATTCACTCTCAACACACGCTAGGTACACAAAACTATCAGTACTAGTATATAATAAAACAATCCTGTTTATTCCAAAAATCGGAATAGGGACCCAGATACTCGAGTACAATTCTTGTATCGGGTGGCATTCCTATACGCTCTCTATATGGAGCCCAGGAATACCCTTCGATTAGGTGGGACACATCGAGCAACCAGTCTTCTGAACATGATGGATTCACGGATAAGTACAATGACTTATCTAAGGCAATTGTACTTATCATTTATAAAATTAGCTAAGATCATGGATAATGATTAAAAAAGAGAACATTAGGATTAAAAAAATGAAACCAGAAACACCATGATAGTGGGGATTTTAGGGAAAGTTATGTATTAAGAATCAAAATAAGTTCAGAAGGAAAAACTATATCGATGGAAAATGTACTTACTTTTACACTGTTACGTTAAGCGCATAGAATTTATGTCACACGGTCATTCTATAAAAACCACAAACGATAATATATTATCGCATCCAACTAGTGACCTGAATTTAGCTTCGATTAAAAAGGACTACGATGTATTTTAAGTGAATAATTATGTGTTACCATCGACCTCGCAATGGATTTTTACCATAAAATATAATCTTAACCGTGGTGAAGAAAATACTCTTATACAGGGTGTTATGCTACTCGTGTTACAAACTTTGCCAGTATGTTCTACGTTCAAAGTTGAACCCAAAAGTCTAAATTAACTATGGTCCGAATATCAGCAGTTTCGGAGTTATTTCACTTTTTCTGATTTTTTAAGATTTCACTACCTTGCTTCAAATAAACAATGATAACTCGAAAACTAAAAGGTTTTGGACAAATCCGTTAATACCATGGAAAAGTACGTTAAATTTCCAATAAGATGTGACCAATATTAAATTCGGAAACGTTTTTGAAATAAGCCTTTTAGTAGCGAGAACTTTGAGGAAAAAAAATTCAAAGTTGAAAAAATTAGTATGGTGATACTAAACTACTATTTCCAAACCTAGAGACCAGCAAATTTCAGGAAACGTACTCCATTTAATATCCTTTTTAGTGGTGCAATTGCTTTTTTAATTACTTTTTTCAAAGATGAAGAAATTGATGGAGGAAAGGAAAAAAACCGTGGCTGACAGATTGTTAAGGTGGAAAGATCAATAATAATAAAAAAATTAAGGAAATTTTGAATGAATTTATTTTATCTTTTTTATTTGGGTTCGAAACCGAAATAGTGCAAGTGTTTACTTATTTACCAACACTATTGCAACTTTGATTAAAGGATTTTTGTATTATTATTCTCCGGAATAAAAAAGATTATTTTTTATTATAATTCATTTTTCCTTCTTACCAATCACGGTTTTTCCTTTTCTCCATCAATTTCTTCATCTTTGAAAAAAGTAATTAAAAAACAAATTACACCACTAAAAGGGATATTAAATGGAGTACGTTTGCTGAAATTTACTGGTCTCTAGGTTTGGAAATAGTGGTATAGAATCACCATAGTAAGTTTTTCAACATTAAAAAAAAAATTATTTTCCAAAGTTCTCGTTACTAAAACGCTCATTTTATCAACGTTTACAAGTTTAGTATTGATCACATCTTATTGCAAATTTAACGTAGTTTTCAATGGTATCAACGGATTTGACCAAAGACGTTTAGTTTTGGAGTTATCATTGTTTATTTGAACCAAGGTCGTGAAATCTTAAAAAATCAGGAAAAGTGGAATAGCTCCGACACTGTTGAGATTTGGACCATAGTTAATTAGGACTTTTTGGTTCCATTTTAAGCGTAGAATCTACTGGCATAGTTTGTAACACGAGTAGCCGAACTCATTTTAACTTATAAAATCAATAAACAGATTATTTTATTAGTCGGATCGAATAAGGATGCGGATAAAAGCCTTGGAAACAGACGTTCTCCCGAGGAGAGAAAACGAACCCCGTGTATTTTTTTTCTGTTTTTGTACGGTTTAAACAGATGCACGCTGATTATTTATCGTTCTGTTTGGCGTCATAGGCAAAAGTTCGGAAGTGAGGACGGCCGAAGCCTGTTTCCAAGAAACTGGATGGCATTGAAGTCGCTTTGCGGTAGCTGCCCACCCGCAAAACAAAGGAGTTACAGTTTCAAAAACAATCTTCGTGAATCTCAGATACAACGTATTAAAACTTTTTAAAAAAATTAGTATATAAATAAGCATTGTTTTAATTAAAAATTAATAAGGAATCTTGGATTATGAGATATTTATATTATTTAAGTTGAATTTTAATGTTTTTAATTTCCCTCTGTCACTCACTCATTCTCTCTCACTCAATCTCTCTCTCTCTCTCTCTCTCTCTCTCTCTCTCTCTCTCTCTCTCTCCCTCTCCCTCACTCACTCGCGCTCCCCTCTCTCTCTCACACACACTCACTCACTTTCCCCCTCTCTCACTCACTCTCTCGCCCCCCTCACTCACTCAGTCACTCTCTCTCACACGTACTCTTTCTCTCCCTCACTCACTCGCGCTCCCCTCTCAACACACACACACACTCACTCTCTTTCCCTCTCTCTCTCTTTCTCTCTCTCCCTCACTCACTCACGCCTCCCTCTCTCTCACACACACACTCACTTTCGCCCTCTCCTCCTCCTCTCTCTCTCTCTCTCTCTCACTCACTCACTCACTCACTCACTCTCTCTCTCTCTTTCTCTCCTTCTCACTCACTCTCTCTCTCTCTTTCTCTCCTTCTCACTCACTCTCTCTCTCTCTCTCTCTCTCTCTTTCTCTTTCTCTCCCTCACTCACGCCTCCCTCTCACACACACACTATGACACATGACCTCTGCTGTTGCAAACTCTCGTAAAAAAAAGGCATTCATTTATTAATTAATATCACTCCCTCCATTCTAGCAAATATTTTTCTCTCACTTGTGTGTGAACAGTAAATACAATCATATTTATCTGCGTTTGCATTTTAATAAGTGTAACAGGTTTGCCTCTATTTATAAATATTTATTGACCGATGAAATGAGTAATGTTATTTCAAACTAAACAAGTCGACTTATTTTTCTTTATCTGACAGATATCATTTTATCATGTAAGAATTATGACTTCATTTCTGTTCTGATGGTCCTGATCTTCACTGCATTATTCATATTGTGTATATTTACATTTTTTTTTTCATCTTGACCAAAATTTCCTCATGAAGGTATTACACAATACACAAGTTTGCATGGCTGTTGTTTGTTATTATTTATATACACCTCTCATCATTATGTTTATATTTAACTTGCAAATGATAAAACTGATGAAGTTTGACCTGTTATATAAAATATATTAATGATTTTTTTTTCTGTTTTAACAGAGAGACTGAAATGGAGATCCAGTCTGGCCCTGGGTTCTATTCTGAGCAAATGGTCGCGATCAAGGATGGATGTGGGTAGCTCGGGGGGCAGTAGCGATGCACTCAGAAAGGTACATACGGTCCTCGCCCTTTCCGAAGAGCCTATGAGGCCTGTGAACCGTCTACGGCACCATAACATCATGTGCTCGAGGTGAGTCATCGTAGGTTTGAGTTTTTTGTCCATTTTTAAATACATGTTGTAATGCTCCAGGTGTTCGTCTCTCCTTTCGATGGCCTCATCTTCGAGGTATTCCATCACCACGGACGGAAACTACGTGCAAGTAGGAAGGTCGTCGTCACCGGTCCCGCCTAGCCCGACAATCCTCTGTAAAGTCTGCCTCAGCACAATTCCAGAGAGCAGCATGTGGACCCTTCAGTGCTCCTGCATCTTTTGCATTGAGGTAATCGACTTATTTCAATAGAAACTCGAATATATCTTAAACATGGTTTGATTTCATTTTTTAAGTGTATGAGAGCGTATGTCGAATTTGAAATAAGCCAGGGTGCCTATGAAATCTCGTGCCCAGATGCCATGTGCAAAGCTCAGGGTGTAGTGTCTCTTAGCGAGATTGAAAATCTAGTCAATTCTGACGTGATGGAAAAGTATAGAAGATACAGACTTAATAGAGGTAATTGCTAATATATTAATTATTTATAATTGGTGTATTAATTAAATTTAAATTTTCCATAATAATAAAGTAAATAAAGTATAATGTCAAGAGAGATGATAGATGATAAAACAAGCACTTTTTTTGTTTTAGAAGTCGAAGATGATATCAGGTTGGCATGGTGCCCATCGGCAGGCTGTGAGACGGTCTGCCAGCTCACACAGCCATCGTCAGCCCACCGAGTCCATTGTCCGTCCTGCGCCACCGACTTTTGTTCCTTGTGCAGGGGTCCGTGGCATCCTTCCGGGCCTTGTCCCCAGGCCGGCCCTGCACCGGGCATCCCGTTTGACTCGGACCTGATTAAGTGCTGTCCAATGTGCGCTGTGCCCATTGAAAAAGATGAAGGTTGTGCTCAGATGATGTGCAAGAGGTGTAAGCACGTCTTTTGCTGGTACTGTCTTGCATCGCTTGATGTAAGTGTTTGTCATAGAACAATTGCTAATGTGTAATTATTTTATTGATTTAACATTTTATAGTGAAATTTGTATAAATAAAATGAAAGATTGTTCACCAAGGGGGTGGTTTAAAATATCTGATCACAAGATATTCAGATTTCATTATGGTAAAACCTATGATGTGTTAAACAATATTACAATTTGTTTATAATTGCTTTTTCAATGCAACAAGAAAGTTTTTAAAATATGCAACTTTTTACATTTCTTTTTAAGGATGATTTTCTTCTCAGACATTATGACAAAGGGCCATGTAAGAACAAGCTTGGTCACTCGAGAGCGTCGGTTATCTGGCACAGGACTCAGGTCATCGGGATTTTTGCGGGTTTCGGGATTCTGCTCTTAGTCGCTTCGCCGCTCCTCCTTCTTGCTGCGCCGTGCATAGTCTGTTGTAAGTGCCGTGTATGCACAGGTGGTCCTAGACTCGACCCTGAAGACGATCTTCCAGAGGAGTCAGCATCGTGAAATACGAGATCTCAGTTTATAATTCGAGAGTGTTAATTAGCTACTTTGTTTTCAGTAAATAAGAATAATTGAAAGTGCCTCGTCGAGACTGTAAAAAATTTAGAGGCTAGGTTTGAAAACATAGTCAGCTTTGTTTTCATAATTCACAACTCAACTAAGAAGAAAACACTGAAATTACTTTTTTATACTTTCGTTGGTTTAAAAATTCTGTTTCTTCTTGTTAAAATGTTTTGTGATGTTTACTGAACGCAAAGTATAAAACTATTTTGTTTAGGTTTTTTGTTCGATGTCATAAACGTGGGGAAAAAGTGAATAATTACAAAACAAAGGCTGTGAACCTAATAAATGAAAAGATTATCCTGTAAAAGAGAAAGAAAAAAATTACTGAAAATTTTCCCTCACTGCCCGTTGTTAGTCTTTATCATTTTCCTCAATTTTATTTTGTAAATTGTGAATAATTTTAAAACTGATAATAGCGATCATTTGTAAATAGAAGTAAATTGGTTTATTTTTTTATATTTTAAAATCATAATTTAATTCTCCTTTTTTTTTTTTTTTTTTTTTTTAAATGAAAAATTTTGAATTGAACTTACAATTACCTATTCCTATAGTCAAAAATTATGATATAGAGGAACAAAAATAATAAAAGACGACAATTTTTTGGGTACTACTTTAATAATTAATAAATATATGAATGATATATAAATAAAAGTCAGATCTGAGCGATTTAATGTTATATACAATTTTGCAGGTCCACATGCAAGATTATTTAAAAAGAAGAAGTTCCAACAGCATGAAAATCAAAGAAGCCTGATAAGATATAGAGAAAGAGAAAGGAGAAACAAGATAAAATAAAGGAGAAGAAACTAATAAAGGTTTTCAATAATGTAATCAATTTGCCTTTCTTTTTCTTTATATGAAATGTGGCTCATCTGAACTTTTAAGTAGGCAACGCTTCATAGAAATTCCATGAAAAGTGAATAAATATATATATATTGAAATTTATAATAATAAAAAAAATATCTGTACATATTATAATAATAAGAAGAAAAAAATAAAATCAATTTATTTTATATATGCATATATAACTCTGTTTTTACTATTTTTTTAAGTACTTAATTAGTTTAGAATTCACAAGCTTTAATTTTACAATGGACAAAAGATAGCACCCCTTTCCCTTAATCTTAAACTTATATTAATTACTGTACTTAAAAAAAATATTTTTTCTTTTTGATTTTATTTTGTGTTATTTGGCTTATGCATTCCGATCATGGAATATTACGGCTCTTGTACTTGTTAATGTGAATATTGTATATAGAACTATGATAAAAAGAAAAGTAACAAAAACTGTGCAATTTTTAAATTTAGATTTGTTAATATTTTTTTTAATACTATTATTAAAAGGACAAATGGACTATAGAGAAAAAATTTTAATTATTGTAATTATAAACTTAATGTTATGTTTTAAAAAAAATGATAAAAAGGAGCAAAACTAAAAAAAAAAAGTTTCTACTCTTTAATGAATTTTATCAGTTTCTAGTTGCGGTTATAGCTTTTCCAAGGTGCTTCCTTGTAATTTATCATCATAATGATGTAAAACAAAAGAGATATTAAAATTATAAAAAATTGTTTTTTAAGTGGAAATTATTATATTTTACCCATTTTCCTATGAAATAAGTTAGAATTGCCATAAACCAGGACACTCGTATAGAGACTGCCTCAAGAAGGAAACATTTTTCACAGTTGTGGCACGGAAGGAAGTTTTTTTTAAAGGAATACTGCCAAAAAGGTGCTTCCCCTTTCGAAAACGGTGGTTGAGTTAAAGTGGGCAAGATTTGGCCGTAGTTGTCCACATTAAAAAAAAGATATTGATAGATTATAGATTCTAATGGGTAATTATATAGATTCTAATATGTGTGACTTATCTAGCTGGCCTGTATTTAGACCATTTTCAATTTTCTAATACAAATTATCTGCACATAAAGTGCATGGGAGGTGTTGTAATAATATATTTTATTTTGACTATAAGTCATTACATGAATCAACGATAAATCAAGTAGATTCACTCACTTCACACAAGAAAAATTTGGACTGATCAAATATTTAATTTTTTAGTCATGAAGGGAGATGGATTCATTGAACAAAGAAATTCTCGAAAATTCTATTAGTCTAAGTTGGTCTTGCTCTTTTGTATAACCCCTCACTCTCATTAACATTATTTCATATATTTATATATTCACATTCATATATTCATTCATAACATCAGACATTATTTCTCATTCGCTATCCCTCATTCACACACATGCTATCATTCATTCACGCACGCAATCCCACACATTCACTCACGCACTTTTCCTCATTCACTACCCCAAATGTACTCACTATCCCTCATTCATTCCACACTTTTCACTATCACTCACACTATCCTTCATTCACACAATCCCACTCTCACACATTCACTCACACACTCTCTCATTCACGATTTCTCCCTGGCACATTATCCTCGTCATTCATTTACACACTCCCTCATTCACTGTCTGTCGATTATACCCTATCTCTCACAAATTCAATCCCTCTCATATATATATTCACTCAATCTCATGCAAACACACTACCCATACATTCTCACACACCATCCTTCATTCACATTTCTCTCTCACTCACACACACTATTCCTCATTCACTCACTCTCTCTTTCCCTCCCTCCCTCTCTCTCTCTCTCTCTCTCTCTCTCTCTCTCTCTCTCCCTCTCTCACACACACACACACAAAATCCCTATTCTCATTCACCCACTATTACTCCATTGAACAAGTCGTTCAAGATCAATTGGTTTGTCAACTTTTCTACAGAGTATTATTTCGGTACTTTCTTTCCTTGTTATATAGATTTATTTAATAAACTAATGTTTATGTCCGTTTGGTTTTGTAAGTATTGATGTCAATCCATTGTTTTTGCAATGTTATTCTTAACAAAAGTCACGCGAGTTCGCTGACCATCTTTGTGGTATGGCCATGACATTTTCAGGCGTTGTCAGAACGCATCGATTCACTGAAAAGTAGCAAGCCGAAATAACAGAGCTTTTACGACGGACGAAATTTACGGCGGAAAACTTAACGATTTTTTTCTTTATGTTGTACTGTTTAAACGCGAAAGAATCTGAAACCGATGCAGTGCCTTTTTTGACCCTTTACTATGGGACCTAAAATCATCATGGCAGCTCTAAATGCCTGCCTGGTACAAGATTAAAAAATAAATAGCACTGGATTTGAATTTAGATAGCGATTATGAGAGCTGATGCTGGGAGTTCCTCACTGAAGATGGCGCAACGCCGAAACGCACTTGAGTGAAGACGGACCCAAAAGTGATCCTGTACCGGTTCTGCAAGTGTATATGAGAGAATAATTCAATGTACTTAGACTTCCTGTCTTTTATGCTGATAGATAAGTTATTTACGACATGTAATCAACTGACTGTGAATAAAGTTTACCATAAAATACTAAGACGACATCGCCAGACCAATCCGTCACACTTCACTTATCAAATCGACGGAATGCTCTTATGAATAATTAAAAAGTCGTAGTGAACTTAAATTAAATTCTTAGAGTAATAAAATGAGTCATAAAGAGTTTCTAACAATTTGCAAAATTGTATTGATTTTTTTTTAACATATGATTTATAAATTTGTAAGATTTTCAATTTTGAAGGAAAACAAAAAATTCGATCTATATTTAAGAAGATTTGAATAAAAATAAAAGATTGCCTTGCCAGTCTAAATGCTAAGTCATATTGTTTAAAGGGAAATGTGATTTTCTTTTAAACATACTAGAAAAATAAGCTATCCTAAGTAGAATTCACAGAATATATCCAGTTTTTGAAAAATTAAAAAATGCTAATATTTATGAGAGATCAGCATAAAAAAACGTATATACATTTAACATTATACTTCAATTTAATTTAAAATAAGATTAAAATGTTTTTAAATATAGAATAGATTGTTAAAACAGATTGTATTTTCAAAAAGCACAAACAAAAAACATCGCCGAGTATTTTCCAAAATTAATAACAAAACGTAAAATTACAAGCGTACAAGGCCGAAACGGGGTGAAAAGAGAGCAATGCTGCGCTTCAGTTTCTCGAGGGGGCATCTTAAGCTTAAGGATGCAGTTTCGCGGTGGCCAGGGTTGGTATCCTCGAAATGGAAGCAGCACGCTTTGCAGGCCAGGATGGCTTCCTCGACTCCGCCGATGAAGGAAACTACTTTCGAACCGATGGTCAATAAAAAGCCCCTGCCGAATTGCTGCTCTAGGGCGAGACCCGAGTGGTAAGTCACGGAAAATAAGACAAAAACTTACTTAAGTACTTTTTTTTGGCGAAGAAAAGTGATTCGCCCGGAAATTTCCTTTTTCAGTCGTTCATTTTGGCCCTTCTAGACAAATCTTGGCAAAAATTATAAGACAGAGACGTAAAGCTCCGCCATTTTTAAAAGAAAATCAATCAGTGTTACAATATACAAAAGAGAGGGAGAGGTAGAGATAGAAAGAAAAGAAAGAAAAAGCGTTTGTGTGTGTATATTCACCTCTGAAATTTTACTGTATTTTCAAAATACGTAAAAAATAGCATTTATGAATAATTACAAGTTTTCAAAATATTTATTCACCAACTGTGCTGTTGTTTGTGACTACTGATCTCCATTTAGAAGTCTTTCCGTATTCCAAACTAATCGCTGCATGGGATAATCTCTCTCCCTCACTCGCTCACTCTCCCTCATTCTCTTTCTCACTCACGCTTTCATTCACTATCTCGCACTCATTCCTCACTGACTCTTTTTCTCAATCACTAATTATTTCTCTCTCTCTCTCTCTCTCTCTCTCTCTCTCTCTCTCTCTCACACACATTCTCTCCCTCTCTCTTACCCTCTCCCTCCTTCCCTCTCTTCTTTCCCTCACCATCTTCCTCTCTATCACCCTCTCTCTCTTTCTCTCTCACTCTCTCTCTCTCTCTCTCTCTCACTCACTTTCTCTCATTACCTTTCTCATTCACTCTTTCATTCCCTCAGTTGCTCATTCGCTATCTCGTACTACCTCCTCACCAACTTACTCACTAATTCTCTCTCTCTCTCACACTCACTCTCTCACTCACTAACTAATTCACTCTCTCTCACTCTCTCTCTTTCTCTCTCACTCTCTCTCCCTCCCCCTCTCCCTCCCCTCTCTATTCTCTCTTCTCTCTCTCTCTCTCTCTCTCTTTCACTCACTTTCTCTTTCATTATCTTTCTCACACACTCACTCTTTCATTCACTCACTCAATCACTCACTTTCTCTCACTAATTCTCTCTTTCTTCTAACTCTCTCTCACTCACTCTCACTCTTTATCTCTCCCTCTCTTCACTCACTTTCTCTTTCATTACCTTTCTCATACACTCACTCTTTCATTCACTCTTTCAATCACTCACTAATTCTCTCTTTCTTCTCTCTCTCTCTCTCTCTCTCTCTCTCCTCTTCTTTTTGTCACTTTTCTTTTTGACTTCACTTTCCCTTCGTATAGCTCCTTTCTGTTCTCTTTTGTCATTCCTTCTGCTGCCTAGAGTTGTTCATATGTGTGCTAGGTTGTCATTTAAAATTGTTTTCGATTGATACCCATGGCTCTCAGAGAAGTAGCATGTTTATTTTCACTTTTTTTTAATACTCTACCCTTGTTAAAAACTGCTCCTTAGCCTTCTATGCCAATGATATATCAATTTACTGTACTTCCTGAAGGGTATAACCATAAACTTTTGTTAAACATCCCCTAGGCAGAGGCTATTTAATTCACCAAAAATTTTGACATGCAAAATAATTGAGAATAGGTAGACAAGACTATCATAGACGATGTACTTTCTTTGTGCTTGTCTAAATTCTGCCTTATGAAGATTTAAAACATTTTAAGGAGCAAAAACTTTTCTTTTTTTTATTTCCTATTGTGCATATCAAATTTATTGAAATATTGTCGCTTTAACATAAATAATTAATTAATACTTAAACAAAACTGTAATCAAATTGTTTGACCCAAAATATTTAAAAAAGAAAAAAATCCAAGTTACTTTCTGATTGACTGCCATTAAGGAAAGTCTCCAACCCCACCAACTAATCTTCCAAACCATCTACAACTCTCTGATGTTGGCACAGAGACCACAAAAACAAAAAACAAATGCGATTCCAATATGTAAAAATAAATAAATGTTAAATTTGAACTTTTAGTGGAGACTGTGCAAGATATAGATATATGAACCCAGAATGCAAAGTTGCCGTAATCACCGAAGGAGCGAGTGGACTCGGATTTGACATTGCAAACGAGCTCTTATGCAATGAAGCTTATGTATGTTCAAAATCCAGTATTTTAATAAAAACATTGAATGAGTTCTTTTCCAGAGAGTTATTCTGACTGGCTGCAACTGGGACCTAGGTGCCAAAGCGCTCAAGAGACTCAGGAAGAAGCACGAAGAGGAGAGGTGTTGCTACATGAAAATGGACCCGAGGAAAGAATCTGAAGTTAAATGTACAAAAATAAAAATCTGAGATAATCCCAGACTATAACCACCCTTGTAGATGTTTTAGGACGGATCTCGGAGAGATTCAACGGAATCGACATCCTTGTCAACAACGCCAAGGCTATAAATGAAACTCTTTGGGAGAGCGAAGTGACCTACAACCTGGTATTGTCGCATAAAACTTTAAAACATTTCAAAACTGACTGATGAATTTTTAAGCATTCTGTAGTCCAAGGGACTTTAGTCGGCATGGAACTGATGAAAAATACGAAAGCCCGTCCGGGAGGGATCATTCTCAACATCGCGTCAACTTTAAGCTTCGATTCTGATCCCTGCCTCCCGATATTCACAGGGACTCAATACGCTATCGCAGGCTTCACAAAATCTTACGGAGTAATTAGCATTATCTGTTTATTATCACTCTTAAAATTTAAATTGTGACAACTTTTTTTTTCTTATTTAGGTAACAAAATTTAACATTGGCAATAAGATTACAATCTTTAATATCATATAATTATTAATTAATGCTTTGATTATAGTGTGCAATGAATGATAAGCAAATAAATTTATTTTGTAATACAATCAAAAATTTTATTAAACAAATATTAAAACTTTTTTTTAGAAAGAGATAAAATCACAGGCATTTAACATACAATTTTTAGGCCTTTGAGTATTTAGATATTTTCATTTTATCCGGTTTTAATATAAAAATTGTTTGTAAATGTTCTTGGCATTATTAAGCTTTTATTGCGCCCCACCATTCCAAATTATAAGTTCTTTATTTTGTAGGACAAAAAGAATTTTGCCGGTTCGGACATCAGAGTTGTCGGGCTATGCCCTGGGCCTCTGAATGCATCGCACTTGACTTGCAATCAAGGATTAGAGTTAGCGTTCGTCAGGTAAATTTATCTACTAATTTATTGTCAACGCACTAAAATATTTGTATTTTTTTACAGCAATTCATCCATCGGAAAGGCAGTCATCCACATGATACAGTACGCGCCCACTGGAACCCTCTGGGTTTTGGAAGAGGGCCTTTACAGGCTCAAGTTCCCAGAGAGGAAAACATTCCAGAAAAAGGTCACCTATGTATGAAAAATGTCCATTCGTATTTGAACACTACTCTTAAACAATAAACATACAAAAAATGTCACTGTTCTTTTATTTTACATAGTTGGTACTTATGGTTTTGGTGTATTCTTGGCGTTTGTTTTGTCTTCTTTGCCATCGACCAGCGCTTTCATACTGTCCTTGTAGTAGTAACCGCCGAAAGCTAAGACGCAGATGGCTGTGAGAATGCCAAACGGGTCGCACATGCAACGCCAACTCTTGAATGTTGAGTTCATTATTTTTGTTTGTAAAATTTGTGACTTTTTAACTTTCAAACATGTGATTTGTTATATTAGCAATTGACTTCTTTTTAAATATTATTTTTAAATATGTGTAATCAGTGGATGAAGACATTTTTGTAATACCATTTTTTTTACTACTTTGTATTAATTTTACATTCTTCCCAGGACATAGCTTTTTTATTTTATTTTTTTCTTGTACCCTAAACATATCAGTACATATTACAAATGTCATCCAGTACTTTTTATGCACATTGCTAACAAGTAATGCCAGTGCTGCATCTGAAGTACACATGCCATAAGAAATGCTGGCACTCAGTGTGAGGGTTAACGGACTATGGAGGATTAGGATTAAAGAATTGAGGGGTTAAAGAGGTCTCGAGACCATCATCAATTAAGGCAAGATGGCGGGTTCTCAAGGTGGAATGTGCTTGTGCAGTAGGGTTAGAATGGATTGAAAAATAAACTTTTGGTATCGGGAACGGATCAGTTCATTGACGAAGGGAATGTTGAGGTCGTTGACTTTTAATTAGGATTGAATGTCCTGGATGTTGGATGGCTTGACAAAACCCAACAATTCCACTCTTGGTGGTTACAGTAAAGCCTTGTATATAAGACAATTAATTAAGGTTTTTAGTTGAGATAAAAAAGTCAATGTCACGAGAGGGATTCGAACCCACGATCTTCGGCTTGATACGCCGCTGCTCTACCCCTTGAGCTATCGTGACCTCAATCCACTCAGACACCAACCTCCCCATCTCAACCCCACCTTATGAGTTTTCCCTCCTTTTGCCATTTTTCAAATNGAGGCCATGATCTTCGGCTTGATACACCGCTGCTCTACCACTTGAGCTATCGTGACCTCGATCCACTCAGACACCAACCTCCTATCTTAACCCCACCTTTTGAGTTTTCCCTCTTTGTATAAGGTTAGTTTAGTGTTGACAGACGGATTTCTTCGTAGTTATCCAAGTCTTCTGTTAAGTCTATTAAATCTTGTGTGGAGATATGCAATCTAGATATAGACCTAAGTGGTTGACCTGAAGGTTAGTCGGTATCTCCTTGTTGTTGATGTACAGTGAAGGGCAAGACTGTTCAATGCGAATGCACACTGAGTACATTTTCCTTTATTCAGTCTCGCCCTCAACTCTTTGCACCTGTCTCCGATTAACATAGCGATAATGTTGGAGCATGGATAGGATTTCAGCTATAAGACAAAACTGTAGTATAATCTGGTCCTAGGTGCTGATGATTGGGGTGTGCAGGTAGGTCAGCAGGATGGGACCAGGATTGCTTCCTTGTAGGAAGTTCAAGCTCTAGGATTTCCAAGCAGTGGGTAAGAAGTTTTTTTTAGAATTTTATAAACCATGCCCAGCCACCAGACCCTATCAAATGCTGCATCTATGAACACACCCAATCAATTTTCTTCTCCAGAATGGAGTTGATAACCAAAAAAGAAAAAGTTATAACACATTCCTACTACTTTAATTGCAGACAAATATTTCTTGCCTTCAGTTAAGTTGTCTTATATAAGACTTGACCGGAAGTCTGTATCTCTGTTGTTGGGAGGCATCAATGGCTTTTCAATATGAACTCAGTTCATTTTCCTTTATTCAGTTTCGTCCTCAACTCTTTGCACCTGTCTCCGATAAACTTAGCGATAATGTTGCAGCTTGGATAGGATTTGAGCTATAAGACAAAACTGTAGTATAATCTGGTCCTAGGTGCTCATGATTGTATTGGGGTGTGCAGGCAAGTCAGCAGGTTGGGACCAGGATTGCTTCTTTGTAGGAAGTTCAAGCTCTAGGTTGAATCGGTCTGATTTCCAAGCAGTGGGTAGGAAGTTTTTTTTTAGAATTTTATAAACCATGCCCAGCCACCAGCCCCTATCAAATGCTGCATCTATGAACACATCCAATCAATTTTCTTCTCCAGAACGGAGTTGATAACCAAAGAACAAGTTATAACACATTCCTACTACTTTATTAATTGCAAACAAATATTTCTTGTCTTCAGTTAAGTTGTCTTTTAAACCTTGTGGGGGATCTGCCATCTAGTTCTAGTCCTAAATATATTATCTGACTGGACGTCTGTATCTCTGTTGTTGGGAGGCATCAATGGCTTTTCAATATGAACTCAGTTCATTTTCCTTTATTCAATCTCGTCCTCAACTCTTTGCACCTGTCTTCAAGCTCAAGGTGTTCTCTTGGATGTTGGAGCTTGGATAGGATTTGTGCTAGAGGTCAAAATTGAGTATCATCCTAGTAGGTTCTGATGATGGTTTTGGAGTACAGGTAGGTCAGCAGTATAGATGATGCAGTACCAAGAACACTCTCGTGGGACTAGCTTGTATAGTATAGGTCTTTGTTCCGAGAACTCGTTGGTGCACCTCACTGAAGCAGCAGTCTGTTAGTAGGATTTCAGTTTGAGATAAGTTGTGGGTAGTGCTTAAGTTTATAAAGCCTGGGTGCCAATCCCTATCAAAAGCTGTCCTACATCTAGGAACACACCCAAGCAATAATCTTTCTTCTCGAGAACAGGTGGTGACAACTCTGAAACTTAAGAGGCCACAGCTAATATTGAAATGTTACTTTTTCTCCTGGTAATTTTTCAAATAAAATAATTTGTACACTTACAGTTATGGAAAAAATCCTTTCAAAATTAAATATTAATGTAAACAAATCAATATACTCTATTTTACAATAAAATAAATAGAACATTATTTCCATAAAAACTGTCTCGCTGACTCGAGAACTTTTGAAGAGTTGGAAATTGTTAATATTTCCACAGGTAAATGGATGATGATAACAATGATAACAAACAACATATTAACATTAACTTTTTTATATATAAACAAAAATGTACAAGTTTGCAAAAAAAAAAAAAACCTAAATGTGCAGATGTTTTTTGCACATGACTACGTCAATACCCTCAAATAAATAGAAAATATGGAATCAGCACCTACTTGATATATTTTATGCTTTTTTTGACAGTGTGTTTATTCCTCTTGGTTCCCAATTAAAATGAAAAAAAAAATGATAACTATTATTTACACTAAACAATATACAGAAGTTTAAATAAACAAATATATGTAAATAATCAACCATTTTACCTAAAGGATAATAATAAAAATTTAAATATGTTTGAATGTAATAGTCAACAACAATTTTATTTCTTTAAACAAGGAAAAAAAATCTGATTTTCTTTTCAATTAATACGTAAATAATACAGGTGGAAATTGGCTTATTATGTACAAAACTGATAAATTACAGAATTTATTTTTTTTTAAACAAATTAAATTTTAAAAAGACTACGAATGACACCGAGGCTTGACTGTTTTGTATTTCTGCTTCATTAGTTAATTGTTTTATTTTAAAATTGAATTAATAGACACTTCACTTCTTTGGCTCTTGGAAGAAAATCTTTCTAGATTTCATAGTTGACCATTTGCTACGTTTCCAGTACATAGTCACCAGAACGAAGAAAACGCCGATGGTTAAAACCTGAAAATTGAAAATTAAAAATTAGCAAGAAGTTTTGAAGTTTCGATTTAAAATCGGCTAACTTTTATGGTCATTTTTTTCCTATCATCGTGCTCAGGCTCGGACGTCCATTTAAGGAAAGTTGCAACGTCTTTGGCGAGTTGCGATTGCGTGGCAGGGGTGCCGTCGCCGTATTCAATAATCTGTAAAAGAAGAGAAAAAGAAATCAATGACTTTTTTTATTTAAAATTTTAAATGAACATGTTACCTCGTTATAAAGAGCTTGAGCCATGGAGATCGCACCTCCTGGGAAGTAAGGATTGTAATATTGGCCTTCCCTTAATGGGATACCTTCCGGAGGGTCACAGTATCCCGTGAGCAAATGAAATAAGTAATCTTCCTTTCCGTGCCTAGCAGGTACAATGTACGTTAGATCTGGTGGATAAGCACCGTTGTTGGCAGCTCTCGCCGCCTCCTCATTCGGATAAGGGCTCGGTATCGCATCGGAGAGCTTTCCTGGTCTCTTGAACATCTCTCCTATCTCATTTGGGCCGTCAATAATCTAAAGGCAAAAAAAAAAACGACAAAACTCAGCGTGATTTGGCACTATTCGTTTCCAAAGTGAGGATCCGAGAGCATGATATCATGCTCATCATTTTTCAAAGTGAGGTACTGAGAGTGCGACATCGTACACGTCATTTCCCAAGTGAGGTACTAAGAGCTTGATATATTGCTCTTCATTTCTCAAGTGAGGTACTACGAGCATATTGTGCTTTACTCTCTTCATTTTTAGAATCAAGTTCATAGAAGCCAAGTGAAGATGTTATGTAATATGTCTTAGTTTAGCCTTAATTAAATGAAGAGGCTTATATTTCAGAATTATAAAACCTTGATCTGTTACTTCTGATAAACCTTCTCTAAATTAAATCAGTTTCCTTTCAACTAGTCTTTGGCTTTGTTTTCCCCGGTTTGATAATTCGATGACTCGATTTGATATCAAGAAACCTGTAAGTTGATGTTTAATTTTAGGTTGATTTCTTTCAAAAATCTAGTGCTCTCTAGCAGTCACATTTTTGATCGTGTTGCAATGAAATTTGGCAGGGTGGTAAAGAATCGTATAAGGACGGTTGGGATTGTTTTTCAGCCAAATCGACTCGGAGTCACAGAGATATAGGCGATGAAAGTAAAAAATTCGATCAAATTTTTTGGCATTTTTGTGTTTTCTCCCACACAACAACCAGCTCGGTTGTTTTAACTTCACTCCCTCCAGGCTATGCCTTTCATTATTAGATTTTCACATTTTTGATACCGATTTTAAGCTGGATTCTTCCTGTAACTTGTAAGCTCGGTTTGGCTCAAAACCAAGCAGTATTTCAAATTACGACTAATTAAGGTTTTTAGTTGAAATAAAAAAGTCAATGGCACGAGCGGGATTCGAACCCACAATCTTCGGCTTGATACGCTGCTGCTCTACCACTTGAGCTATCGTGACCTCGATCCACTCGGACACCAACTTCCCATCTCAACCGCACCAGGATTTTTTCCCCAAATACAGTACTTTCAATCCTAATTTCTTTCAATTATCAAATTAATTTCTTTTTTATAATAAAATGAAACCAAAGGTGTTTCTTAATTTTTTGTTACAAATATTCCAAGATTTCTTTTAAATTAACCAAGAAATCACGGTAAAAAGCAAAAATCCTTAAAATTGTATATATTATTAATTAACATGGCATGGCCATCACACGTCAAATCTCCCATTATTACCAAAAAAGTAATAGTGAAGTAATGCGAGAAAATAATTAATTAAATAGCTTGAATAAAATTTCAAATTAGGTAGGACCATTTTATTTTCATTATTTTCAGTGGTCGAGGAAAAAATGGCCCGAATCTAATTTAACACCAGCTGTTAATAAGAAACAAAATTTATAAACTTTTTATTCTATTGCAATATGTTTATGATGTTACGTTTTGTATAACATAAATAATAATCATATACCCATGGTTTTCAAATTATTCTATAATTTTTAAAGTAGAACACTGCACAGTGGGACGAAAGGCCCAAAATCTCTGACATGGACCAAAAATTAATTTTTTTCTATTCGAAACCCCTAGTTATTTGCACTCTCTTACAACACCTCTTAGGTATAAGAAAATGCAGCAATTTTCCTGGATACAAAGCAGCATCGTTGTGTATATAAAAAAAAAAGTATTAGAAATCGGCAAGTGAGAGTTAAACATTCGTGAAATTATATTTCTTTCAACTTTAACTTTTTCTTGGTTTTCTAATAATGTTATCTGTTTTTTTTTTGTTTTTTTTTCATACTAATGAGGTATATTGAAACTGAATTAAAAACTTACGTCTAATAAAATACTGGGTGTATTAGATTGACACATTTACTAACTTTGAGCATGTTTGGATGCATTTAAAAAAAAGCTCCAAATTGCTCCAAAAAACTGACCACAGGCTTCTAACTTAAGTATTTAATGAAAGAAATACGAAGCAATTATATCCCTGTTCGTCCCATTTTGTCAGCAAAACATATTGCAACAAGTGGCTTCTGCGGTCAATGTCTATTAATACCACCGTTGTTTCTTTAGTTTTTATATTTATTTATTACATCAATGGCAAGTAGCCAATTTTACAACAGTACACATACTGAAAGTAGCTTTATTTTTGACCAGAGATGAACAGAATAAGTCCAGATCACTACTTAAGTTATTAACTTTAGCACATATTCTAGGAATGGGAGCATTTTTTTAGGTAGTTCGTTTTACATAATGGTATAAAGAACAGAGTAGTGAATCTTGTCTTCTTATCTGGTACATTAAAGGATATCTTCTCCAACAATTCAGGACAACTAATCATATTCCTTAAAAGTTTTACAAGAAAAACAATATCAATTGATGATCTACGATCTTCTAATGAACTAATTGTTCAGTACATTTCTGCGAGTTTCATACGATAACCAACTAGAATTTAGACCAAGTTTGTAAGAACAGTATTTAAGAAATTTATTTTGAACAGATTCAAGTCTATATAAGTAAGTGTGATAATAAAGTGACCATACTACTGAGTTAAACTCTAAGATTGGCCTTATCAGAGAAAAAAACAATATTTTTAGGCAAAATATACTATTAAAATCCTGTGTACTTCTTTTCAAGAAACCAAGTAGTTTCAAACATGTATTTACAATAGATTCAATATGCATGCTAAAAGAAAGAGAGAAATCAAAAATTACACCTAGGTCTTTGATATTGTTTAAAGCTATTAGTTCTACATCAAAGAAATAATATTTAAAATGTAATGGACTATGTTTCTTATGATAATGAACAACATTGCATTTATTAATATTTAGAGTCATATAATTTAGATCACACCATCTGACTAGATTAGTTATGTCTTGTAACATTTCACGGTCTGCAATAGATTTTATTATTTTAAATACTTTGAGATCGTCCGCGAACAACTTAAACTAACTATTTGTAAAACACTTAACAATATCATTAACAAATATATTAAATAACAAAGGCAACATGTGGCCCCCTTGTGGAACACCAGAGGTAACAGATATAGGTTCTGATTCCATATTATCTAACTTTACAATTTAAGTTCTGTTAATCAGAAAATCTCTCAACCATTCTAGCAGGCCACCATGAATACCAATCGCTTCTAGGTAGAACAGAGAAGTTCATGGTTAACTGTATCAAAAGCTTTGCTGAAATCAGTGTAAATGACTTCAACCTGATAGCCAGTATTGCGGGATTAAGTAACATAACATTATTGTCATTCCCGTTGCATTCTCGGTACTAACGTTTTGTGACAATGTTTGAGACTAACGGTGATTTGTTTAATTTTTTACAAAATCCTACAGATCCAAAAAATTATCTACTTCTTAAGGAAGAAATTTTTAGGAATATTTCAAATATGAGTTTCTCCAAATAATATTATTTTATTAGAAGAAAAACATAGTTTTTTGTGTACATTTAAAATAAAGATGGGTGCAATGTGGATACAGGAGGGAAACATCATCGCGAGTTTTATACTTCCAGTTGGAAAATTTTCAGAAGAGGCTCAAGAAGCTTTCAATAAAGTGTTTCGACAATGTAGAGTTTAGATCGAGGAAAATGGCGAAAAATTTGACAAATGAAGATTTTTTAAATAACCTTCTGATCAGCTCCGATCCCAGGATTTCTACCCTCAGACCAAACTGTTCATTGAAAATTCAATGGCAAAAAAATTATTTCCTGAATCCCAGATGCCAAGATCATTTGTCTCAAGATGACCTTGAAGATAAAAATGACACTTTTATGGATTGTGCTGAAGTACCTGAATCGCTATCGCTAGGAGAGACCAGCACTGATATGATGGAGTTAAATTAATTCAACACCATTGTAATTTTCTTTTATATATTCTTTAGTTTATTTTATATATTCTTTGTTTATTTTGATCGATTTTTTTTTATTTGATCAATTTATTACCATTCAATTTTTTGTAAATAATAAAATTTTAAATCATTGTTCTTATTTGCCTAGTTGTTTTCGCACTGCTCCAATCACCAAAATGACTTCACTAATCGATTCTACAATTTAAAAAAAAACAAAGAGAAAATGTTCCACTATGAAATATTTATGGAGGAATGTCAGGGTAAAACTGCCATGCCAGGAAAATCACACTATTCGTCCCACTGTGCGCTGGAGTGATTCTACAAAAGAAATCTACCTCTCATTCCTTTCTGCCGTGAGGGTTTTTTTGTTTGTTTATATTTTGTGCTAAAAAATTACATTGCAGACCATGAATTTTTTTACTCCTTTCTGTCATGAGGGTTGTTTTGTTCATTTATGTTTTGTGCTAAAAAATTACATTGCAGACCATGATTTTTTACTCCTTTCTGTCATGAGGGTTTTTTGTTCGTTTATGTTTTGTGCTAAAAAATTTCATTGAAGACCATAATTTTTTTACTCCTTTCTGTCATGAGGGTTTTTTTGTTCTTTTATGTTTTGTGCTAAAAAATTACATTGCAGACCATGATTTTTTTACTCCTTTCTGTCATGAGAGTTTTTTTGTTCGTTTATATTTTGTGCTAAAAAATTACATTGCAGACCATGATTTTTTTACTCCTTAGTGGCGTGAGGGTTTTTTTGTTCGTTTATGTTTTGTGTTTCTATCATGAGGGTTTTTTTGTTCGTTTGTTTTGTGCTAAAAAATTACATTGCAGACCATATTTTTTTTACTACTTTCTGTCATGAGAGTTTTTTTTGTTCGTTATGTTTTGTACTAAAAAATTACATTGCAGACCATGATTTTTTTCGTGATTAGACATGTCCTTCTGGTGCTTTTCTGATTTCTGCCTCGTGAATATTCTTATTCGTTCTCGTGATGTGATAATTTCTAAGTTGGTGATTAATTTTTCATATTCATTGATGTTGGTGACTAAAAACATTTACATTGCAGACTATGATGGAAAAACATTTTGGAAATATATGAAAAATATGTTCCTTTTTGAAATTAAAGTATCGAAACTTTGAAATCAAGTTTTTTTTCCATTTTTTCCCTTTGAAGGAGGAGAGCCAAAAATCAATGTGTAGAGTTTTCTCTCGATTGGAATGTTTTTAGGTCTTCTGTGCATTAAAAAAGTCGAATTTTTTTACCACCCTCCCTGATGACCAACCTGGATTCGCCTTTGGCTGTTTAAGTTATTATTTTTGTTTTCAGTATTAGAAGTATGGACCACTTTTTCACTTACGAACACTGGACCAAGGTATAGTCTTGAAAGAGAAAGCAAATTTAGTTGCTACTATCAAGCATTCGACTATTTTAAGGTCATCAGGGCAAAATAACCTTAAATAAGTACAGATTGATATAGTTTTTACAGGCGAATTTCCTTAAAGATGATTCAGTCCAATGACTGTATTGAGTCATGTTGGGCTTGAGTATGTCTTTAAGGAAATTTGAGGTCATCTGTAAAAACTTAAATATATCAATCTATAGATATATTTAAGGCCGTTTCGCCCTGATGATGACCTTAAAATAGGTCGAAATCTTGGGAGGAGAAACTAAAGAGTAGAGGTAGGGGTGAGCATGATGGCATGCACTTATTACATCACCGGGGGAAGTAAGAGCGTGATATCACGCTAGCCATCCGTAATAAAAGGTTGTTTTTACCATTTGTTCCTCAGCTTCGGCTTTCGCTTCTTGTTCAGTGTGGGTGACTCCGACAAGATTACGGTAACAGACGTACTTCAAGCTGTGGCACGCAGCACACACTTGCTTGTACACCTCATAGCCCCTCCTTACACTGAAATCATCAATGTTGCGATTGTTTAAAAAATAATAAATTTATTATCATCTTCACTCACCTGGCGTGGTCGAGGGCGTCAAAATAGCCACGGTGGGCCCAGGGCAATTTAGGCGGGTGTAGGATAAGGTCCGACGCCTGGACGCTTTTCTCAAGCGCGTAGAGTAACGCGGCACCACCCCCGACTGTAATGCCAGCCAAAGTTGCGGCCTAAATTCATCAAAACAGCAAACAAAATGTCTAAGCTTAAAATAAAAATATTAAAAAATTTGTTTGCCCACTATAAAATAATACTAACTGTGTGAAACAACAATAATATATTAAATTATTGATATTGATTAAAAATATTGACTTACAATTCTTTTCCCTCGACTCCACTGGGCATTGGCAGTTGATAAATTGGCGCCCTGGAAAGAAAAAAAAAATTGTCAGACTGGAAAGAATAAATGACACATAAGAATAATGAAGAACATTTATGGACCTATTAAATGTATGAAAATGTTATAGGCAAAAGAACTGAAAGGTGAAACTAAGGAAGGCCATCATCAAAATAACCACCCTGAAGACCTAAAGGTGAGACCTTATGGTAGAAAAATTAAACCCATACCCAAATTAATAAAATTACCTGGAGCCGGACGACCGAGGCTTTCGGCCTGAGAAACGAAGACCCTAAAATTCTTCCCAAAGAGGAGGCCATCATCTCGATTCTAAATCGGACGAGAAAGAACCGAAAAATAACCTCAGACCGGATCGAAGAGACGTGAAATTCCCAACTGGACTTAGAATCCGTCGAACACAGAATAAAATTCCTTGCTGACAATCGTTCAATCGCAATTTTAAAAAATTTAGTTTTCAACAGTCGACTATTGTTGTGAAGGGATTTTATTATTGACATACAAGAAAAAAAGTAGGGCAAATTTGCCGCCTTACTGCCAAAAGAGGTTCGGTTTTTGATTCCGTCTCCTTTCAACTAACCTTTAATTTCCTAAATAAAAGTTTTCTTTTACTCCCCCTGCCTTTATAAAAAAAGATACAATCTTTTTTAAAAATATAAAAGTTACTTGATTCAATATTGAAAATGCACAACTTTTTGAGGTATCTTCATAAACCCTGAGGATGGCCGAAAGTTTAGTGATCTGGAAAGGTCTACTTCATCACAAAGTCCTTATGAAGATACCTCAAGAAATTCTAATGTCATTACTGTCAGGTTGATAAAAACTCCAACTTTAATTACCATTTTCCTTGATCTTCTTGAAATGTATCACACTTATTTTTTTCTTCTTTATTGTCATTGTGTTATATTTTACTTATCAATCCTAAGCAGAATAATGTAAAGTACAAACTGTTAAAAAAAAAAAACAAGGTTTTTTTCTGTCGACTTTCATCTGCCTTTTGACACTGAGGTTAGAGATGCCCTGTTTTTTTTAAAAGTTTTAAATTTGCCAAATCAAGAGCAAAGTCATATAAGCTATAAAAGCCCTAAAGGATAGAACAGTATAATCAGTTTGGTCTAAGTAGGGTAGAAGTAGAGAGTTTAACTAAAACAAGGTGTTAAACAAGGTTGTCTTTTAAGCCCTCTTCTGTTAAATAAAAAAATTTCTGTTAATAAATGACTTGTGGCGAATTGTTTAATTATTTTGAAATAGATGACCTAATAGTTGATTCAATCACAAAAAGAAAAAAAATTAGCATTTGCATATGTTCTGGTGTTGCTGGACTCTACCCCACAGGCACTTCAAAAATTGAACAGAACAGATATTTTATTTATACATTATATAAACAATATATACATTATACATGCCTTATGTACATTACACATTATACAGAATGGTTTAGTGGAGTTTCTGTCTACCAACATTTACCTCCAGCTGGTTAGGACATAACGAAATTTTTGCTATTTATATTATTTTCTATTGAGGAGAAAAATATTATATTAAAAACCCCTAGCTATCATGGCCAAATTATAGGAAAGTTTTCTTTATTCTTTTGTGCGTATACTTGTCATCCAAGCAATAGTTTACATGGCAGCAGATTGTACTGGTACTAGCTTCGGATTATGTAAAAAAAAATTTTAAAGATTGCATCTCTGATGGATTCCAGCACCGTCAACATGTTCGTCACATTGTGCAGTTCCGAAATGCATGTATATCAGAACGAGTCTGTCACAAGTCTCGGAAACTTGTTCTACCCAACCTGCGGCCTGGCAAAGTTTCGTATTATATTCAGTAAAATAGTCCTGTTTTCTCTGAAAATCAACCTCCACCAACAGGGGACCCAGATACTCAATCAAGCACAATTCTCATCAGTTGGCTCTCTATATGGAGCCAAGGAACCCCTCGATTAGGTAGGACACACCGAGCAACCTTTCTCTGCAAAACAGACGCAAACGCAGACTTTGGCCCAAAAGCAAGTGTCCACGTGTCAATCTCACATGGCCTATCCCTAACCGGGTGAGGATGGACCTCGGTCTTATGTGTCCAGCTACTGTAGTTGGACTCCAGATGCTGTCAAAGCTAAGTGAAATCAGCACCCAAAACACACAGTTCCAAACCCATTCACATTCACACTCATTCTTGAATACATACAATCCTATATACATACCATTATCAAAATAATTTGATTGTTAATTTCTCATATTGTTATATTTTAATTATATTATAATTTATACTTTTATCAAAATAATTTGATGTTAATTTCTCATATTATATTTTAATTATAATATAATTTATTTTTATGTTATATTTCAATCTTTATTTCTTCTGTATTTATTTCATTTTATATTTTATATTATATTTTATTTATTTATTATTTTGTCAATATAATTTNTATTATTATATTATAATACATTTTCACTTTCATCTTTATTTCTTCTATATTTATTTCATTTTATATTATATTATTTGATATTATTATTGTTATGATTGTTACTTTTATCAAAAAAATTTGATTATTAATTTCTTATATTAAATTTTAATGATATTAAAAGTCATTTTTACTTTAATCTTTATTTCTTCTAAATTTATTTAATTTTATATTACATTATTTTATACACATATTGTTATGATGTTACTTTTATCAAAATAATTTGATTGTTAATTTCTCATATTGTTATATTTGAAGTAAATTATAATTTATTTTTATGTTATTATTTTAATCTTTATTTCATCTAGATTTTATAAATCTACTTTTCTATCCATTTATATTTTCTATTGCATTATTTTATTGTAAGCATTAGATTATATTGTTGTTGTTTTTTTACTTTTTGTACATTTAAAAAAGGGGGTGTAGCTGCCCATTTAATAAATGAATAAATACACTGAGACAGTATTTGGAAAGTTTTTAATTATAATAATATATTATAATAGTATATTATAAGGGTAGTATTTTAGTCATTGCATTGTAAGTAATTTTTTGAAAATATAGTGTATAGTTTGAAGAGGGCAACACTTACTTGTTGGTTTCAGCATGTTCTACTGACAGCAGCACAAACTAGTATTATATTAGGAACAAAAAAACTTAATTTTAGCCAATAAATCAGTTTTTTCTCTATCGTGAAAAAGTTTTAATTAGATTGTTGGAGTGAAATAAAGAAATTTTCTATCCTTGAGGTCCGAGCCTTAAGGAACAGTCAAGTTTATGGTGTAAACAAAGGACCCAAGGCGTAGAAATTAAAGGAGTTTTTTATTATTCTTTTTTTCTTTTTATATTGTGTATTTTTTCCTTTGATATCCGTGGCTTTTTATTTTTAAGTAGAGGAAAAAAGCTAGTGTATTGTGCAGTTTTCCCAGAATATTTTCGTAAGGTTTGGAGTGGGGGTAAATCTGACCCCGCGTAGGGGTAACTTCTACAGCGGATCGCCGAAGCTCGCAACCAGTCGCCATTTTTCATCCGAGCGAGTCTTGTCCTGATGATGTGGATTTGATAGAAAGGGCCGTTTCCAACTGACCAGGAGCCGCTCATCATCAACCAGCCGAAGCTTTTTCTTACCGTCGGACCGCAAACCGAGCGAGCCATGTCTTCGAGCGATATGCCCGAGCTGGGCAGCAAAATAAGCCTGATTTCAAAGGCGGATATCAGATACGAAGGGAAACTGTTTACCGTCGACCCTCAAGAATGCACGATCGCCCTCGCCAACGGTGAGCACCATTTCAAAATACGTTTATACTAATTAAAATCGAGGCGAAGCTTTCTCGCCTCCTTGGAAATGACTTCGGTGGGGAGGGGTGGAGCGGCCGACTTCGTACGGGTCAAACCCTGTTTCCAACTCGTTTCCTAGCGTTTTTATTACTTTTTCAACCCCCTCCTCTTTATTTGACAAAGTCGAAAAAAGTCGTACGGCCGTCTTTTTCACGGCGAAGTACGTGGAAACAGCTTTAAAGCTCGTTTTAACGTACTACGCCGTACCTACGAACGGACATTTTATTCAAGATTTGAAAACGAAATATTCCTTGTAAATAAGGGAAAAACGCGATTTTTCCAATTTCCACGGCCGAAAAATGTTGATTTTTTACCCTTTTCAGACTTTAGTCCTGATCTGTCCAGACATGATAGCATGCATGCTGCGACATGCACCCGACCAATTGGGAAGTTGCACCCAAGCCGGATTTTTTTTCTTTAAATTTTAAAATTTCACTTATTACACAACAATTTAGCAAAAAACAAAACTTAAAACTATTATTTGCACTATAGTACCTGATTTCTAGGTACGTGTACGAAGTTAATACTACTATAAAAAAAAATATGGTCATATTTTAAAATTTTTCCTGCATTCTGCGTTTGAATCTTCTTTTACAGTTTAATTACATAATAATTTTACAAAAAATAAAGCTTTGAACTTTTATTTGCTTTTTCAGTATCTGATTTTTGGATATGAATTAGCAAATGGAAATACTATCATTTAAAAAAAAATCAAAAATTGGTTTCCTGCTTTCAACTTTTGATTATTTATCCTGCTTTGTACTTATTTTTCTCAGTATTTTTTAATGAAAAATGTTCTACCAGGGGCTGGCTTTTTTTTTGAAGATACCATTTATATATCGTTCATGATTGTTCAGGCAGGAATCGTGTTGAATTGCAATTGGCCCAAGATATGGAATACAGGGGGAAACATGAAAATCTTTGTATAAAATTAGCTATTGAATACATTTAATTTTTTTTTCTTTTTTAATTACAAGCTTTTGAAATAAAATATCTTTGAAAAACTGGATATAGTCGCAGGAGCAGACGCTTGTTTTATTGAAAAGTTTAGCATTCATTCGACTTACGAAGTTGACTTTTAACTAAAACTTAATTCCAACAGGATCAATCAAGAATGCAACCCATTTTAAAGAAATTTTATTTAATTTTTTTATTTATTTTTAAGATTAGTTATGTTTTTCATTTTCTTTTACTTCTTGTTAAACTTTATGTTGCAGGTTGTTTTTTATTTAGTCCATACTAGAAGGTAAATTTTAAAAAAATGTTTTGAAATTCTGCCATACTCGTGCAAGCATTTTTTCTTTTTCTTTTTACCTTACACATTTTATTACATTTTAATTAATTGGGAACACAATACGTGTCGGACTATCTCAAGTAACTGATCTTTTTAATTGTAATCATTTACTAATTTTTTGGATATTGTGAAATTGTTGTGGTCTTCTTTTTCTCCCAATTTCACTCAACACCAATATGGACACCACTAGAATAACACCACACTTTATTCTCCCGAAGATGAACCAAATAAAGGTCAAAACATAGTTAAAAAAGGGAAAAAGTGTTTTTTTCATTCTTGCCACTCCTCGCAAATTCAACAAATTATTAAACAACCAGTCTCTTAAAAAAAACAATCATTTACATTATGTACAGTTCTGTTATAAACATAAAAAAAATTAGCCCTGAAATTTTCAAAAAATTGGTTGATCATAGGCTCAATAAGTGATTCAAGTTTTAACATTATTTGGAAATATAAGTTGGGTTAAAAAAAAATCCAGCATTAAATGTATAACATCATTTGAAGAAGCAAAAAAGTGGACTTTGAAATTTGTTTATGCAAGATTTCACAAGCTGAGACTTGTTTATTTAAACAAAATGATTGAAACTGATGAAAATTGTTTGGTTTTTCAACAGTTATTTGATGAATAGTAGACAATAATTGGTGTTAAGACTTTTGCAGTGTGCGAGTCGTTTGAACAATTCACAGCGTTATCAACTTGGTCGAGTTGTACTATTCACAAGCTTTAATCACCTCATTCAGAGCGAATTGAATTTATACAATGATGTATACAATACAGAAATTTTAGGTTTAATCTAAATATTTGTACTCGGTCAAAATGTGTATACAGAAAACATACACTTTGAGCGAGCGAGCACAAATACTTAGATTAAACTTAAAATTTCTATATTGTGTATATCATTGTATAAATTATTACATGTTTTGTATAATTTAAACAATTTTTATTAATCCCAGGCTGTGAAGATGATCTCAATAAAGATCAAAACGGCATGATAAAGAAAATGTTTTTCTAAACCTACATCACACCAGATCGCATCTCATAATAATGTGGATAATACTGTGCAAAATGAAAGCTAAATGGAATACTACAAGACTATATTTGTGTTTGCATTTTTTTTCTTTGTTTATAACAGGAAATTAGAGGTTCTTTTGCCAATAATTTGCTTACTCTGGATCTCTATGATATATTTTAGAAGTGTTTTTTCCCTTGCTCATTGTTGACAATAGAGATTTTATTAATATTACAAAATCTAGCTATTAACGTAGCCAATAAGTAATCATTTTCTAATAACTATCATAGATAATAAAACATATACACTAGAAATCTTGAAAGGAAGTATCTTAGAAGTCATATACACTTGAAAAGACCAGGACTTGTCCAGATGATCGAAAGTCCGAAAATTTGTAATTTTATTAGTAACGTATCATAAAAATGGAAAAAACATATGAACATGAACCTTTTATCCGTATATCAAGTACATTGAAAGTAATAGATAATTTTTATCAGTTTTATTTTTATTTAAGTCCAGACACGCATTTCTTGAAAAATTTATACGTAAAAACCTAATAAAAATGTATGTAATAAAAAAAAATTCAATGAAAGCCAACATACAAACAACACGACAACAATTTCTAGTCTTTTAAAATGTTATACACCTTTTATTTTTTTTTATTTTTTTTTTACAAAAACGTGCCTCTCCTGCCTCTTCGATCGTGTGACTAGTGGAAGGGCGATTTGGCCTTTATGAATTAAAAAAAAAATAATTTATATACATTGAGAATTATGAAAATGATAAAAAATGTGGTGTTTAGTGACCGTTAATTAATGATTATTTGGAGATTGTGAGTCTATACCACTTACACTATTATACCAGACCGCATCTCACGATCTCCAAATAATTTATAAAAAATATTTTAACAAAAGGGTCTGGATAATCTGGAAGTCCGGATCATAGGGGTGTGGATAAACGGGTTTCCACTGTATGCATAAAATAATTTTTTTTACGTTCTTAAATGGCTTGACACGTTTAACTTAAAAGAATCTTTTTGATTCGGCTTCTGTATTGATGTGTCCTACCCCTTTGATGGCGGTGACTTAAATAGGTTCCTTTTACGTTTCCATTTTGTGGTCAAGGTGTCATAAGTCCACATAGGCTTGAGAACCTGTTGATAAAATAAAAACTTATTTTCAATACCCATTAAGCCCAGTAAATTTGCCAGAATTTGATGGCTCAACACCCTTTTTCATCGCAAGCATGTAACTATTGTAATACAAGGTATTTTGCCTCTGGGTATATACAAACCAATATAAAAAATTAATGCTTATCTCGGCACGGTCTTTTAAATCTGCCACGTAATTAAACAAAACTGCTTCCACAAATTTCTGTCAATAAGAAGATGTAGTTCATCATAAATTATTGTTCAAACAGATCGTATTATCGGTTTTAATACTTGAATTTTATTTTTTTCCTGTTAAAATTTCTATCAAGTTTATGTTTTTATAACAATAATGTTTACAGTGAAGTCATTTGGGACAGAAGACAGACAGACGACACATCCTGTTCCGCCTCAAAATCAAATTTATGACTACATCCTTTTTAGAGCTTCTGATATCAAGGATATCAGCGTCGTCCCACCGACCCAGCTCTTATACGACCCGGCAATACTCCAGGTAATTAATTATGAAACCGTACCAATTAGATGCGATTCAGCCCCTTATTGAAAAGCGGTTTTGTAAACAGAATCAATCTCCCTGTTACAGCTGTCGGCCACACCGGCAATGGGAAACAGCAACCGGTTCTCAAACGCCCCAGTCAGCGCTTCATCACAGGCGGAAACCAACACAGGCTACCACCCGATAATAGGCAACATGAGCAGCGGTCAATATCAGGGTTTCAACCCGATGCAATCTGGACTGCAGACACTTGCGAGACCTTCGCCAAGTGAGTTCTTACATCAAGGAAATCTGGGTATGTGACCTTTATCGTGTCATAACTGCAAGCAGCCTGGTAGCTTTACTTATACGCTTAGAATGGCATGCTATTGAAGTATCATCCATCAACATAAAGGCCACATTCCACCATTTAATTAATTATAATAATGCACTTTCATATATATTTATAATTTTGCACGGCTTGATTTAATTTTATTATTGCACTTTTCTCATCCAATTCACTCTTACGACTTACGTACAAATTATTTTGCTCGCAGGGGAAATTTTCATTGGGTTTCATACTAACAATAAAATTAAATAATAAACCTGTAGTTAATTAATTTAATTTTAATAAACTGGCATAACAGTGTTTGGAAAATTAACTACAGGTTTAGGGGGTGTGTATTTCAACCTTTTCCAACGTTCAGTGGTATCTTGAGATACGAGTGCCAAATAGCTTGGTAAGCATGAACAAGTACGCGGAAATCTGAGCTGCTTGTTGGTTGTGACATCATCGGAAGCTCGTATCTCAAATCCAGGCTTATTTCGAGACAAAATTTCGACATGCTGAGGGCTTGCATGTTGGGGGCAATTGTATCTCAAGGTATCACTGTATATACTTTTTTTATTTAGATTAGGCTGATTGAAAATGTACCGAGGAGGAGATTCAAGTGCCTCAAAATGAATCTAAAGAAAAAATGATATAGTTGGACAAGCTTAAATAACACCTAAACCGCATAAGTTGAAATACAACAAAAAGAAAAAAAAAAAATAGCTTTTTATCATTAAAATTGGCGGGTTTAAAAGTATTTTAAGCTTTTGAATGATTAATTGTATTTCCCATTAATATTTTCATTTTTTATTTAATCCACTTAATGTACATCATGTACAGGTTGTAAGTAAATAACAAACTCGAGACAAATGTATTTTATAGATGTTGAATTTGCATTTATAAATAAAATCAAACTGTGTTTCTCAGTTAGTTCGAACAGGCCTTGTAAATGATATTGGAAGGATATGTTCTAGATTTCCTGTCTGGGTCGAGGAGCAGCACCCCCGGGTTGCACAAGCCTTCCCCTTCGATGGATCAGGCCACCCAAGCCAACAGGAAGTCGAGCCCGCCTCATCAAGAAGTCCGCAATCGAAACCAGCGGTAAGGAGGTACGTTCGGATGCTTGGAATCGGAATTTATTTTCGATTTGTTTCAGAGAGATGGGAAACCGAATGGATAAGCAGATCACCCGCACATTCAACATGAGAAACGACAATTACAACCAGAACAGAAACAGGAATAATTATAACCAGCAGAGCCATCAAAATCACCAGAACAGGGATTCGAACGGGCCTAAATCCTGGGGACAACAGCAACAGTCCAAAAACAATCAACAGCAAGGCCTAGGGCAGATGAACCGTATTAACAAGGGGCAGAGGACACAGCAAAGGCAACAGCAGAATTTCCCTAGAGCACCGGGTGCATCTCGAAAACAGCAACAGCCACTGAAATTTGAATCTGATTACGATTTTGATAAGGCCAACAATGAGTTTGAGGAGATAAGAAGCAAACTTTCATCTATGAAAATCGGTAAATTCATCACTGACAAAAACTTGGGAAAGATGATAATTTTTTTTTAACTTTCAGAAACTCAAAATGCCGCACCAGCAGCCCCAGTGTTGAACGGTGATGATAAGAAAGATGATTCAGGCAATGAGACAGTAATAGGGAATGACGTCGAGGCTCTCCAAGAGGATGTTTTCTTTTACAACAAGACAAAGTCCTTTTTTGATAACATCAGCTGTGAGGCCGTCGAACGGAGTAAAGGGTAATTTATAAATTTGAAACAATACAAAAATTCCGAACCTTAAGCCGAGCCTGTGAATACCAAATATATCTTTCAAAGGAGTATCCAGAGGATCGACTGGAGGAAGGAGAGAAAGTTAAACACAGAAACGTTCGGTTTCCTTTCTGCCCGTAGGGGTGGTAACGGCATGTACCGAGGAGGCCAACGCGGAGGCTACTACTACCAAGGTGGAGGACGTGGTGGTTACGGCTATGGAGGACGAGGTAACTTTAGGCCCTTCAGACAAACAAAGCCGACGCCAAGACCACAGCAACAGCCTCAGGTACATTTTCACCATCAATTATACAGTAATATACAATGTAAAATTGTGGTGTTTTTTTTTTACAGGCTGCAAATGCTTAAAAAGAATTATTGGACCTAAACTATTGAATAATTGGATAAACGAGGAAAAAAAAACTATTGAGCGAGGATTTTAATTTGAAGTATCTGAACAAAAGAGAGAACGAATTGATGGTATAAATAGAAAAATTGAAGATTCCGAAGAAGAAAAAGTCTTGTAATAAAGAATAGGATGGGTTTTACTGTATTTCTGTTTTTGTTTTTTCTTTATTTATTTTTCTTTTAATATTTTTTAAATTGCACAAAAACTTTTTTTTTTCTATGGAAGTTTGTAAGGGGGACTGCGTACTCGGGCTTTTAATTTAAATATTTAAGATTGGTAATTTTGTATGGGCGTATTAACCTTGAAGGGATAATACATTGGTATTGTGTGGTTTGTATCCTTTTAGAGGAAGTTGTTGGAAAATTTATTAAAAGTCCTGAAAGACATGTTTTTGAAGAATGCGCATGTTGTTTGTTTTATTTTATTTTTTTAATCATGTGAAATGTCTTTATTGCAGAACAAAAAAAAACCTTATTTCATTTCTAATCAAATGCCAATACAATTAAAGAAAGAGGTGATTTTATTTTGTAATTTCTATTTAATGTTTTTACTAGATACCAAAAAACATATTTTTAAAAAGAACCATGGTTTTTTTAATTATATTGTTCCCATCATTTGTGATTTTAAGATATTAACATGATCCTTTTTTTAGCTTTAAAATGTCTTTTTCTTTTCCCCCTTTTTTAAAAGTTTAATTTTTTAACGAATCTCACCTCTTTTTCCCCCCTATGTATGTATAAAATGAATGTAATGTTAGCACCCTCTTTTCTTTTTCTTTTTTTAAATTTAATAAGAGATTTTTTTTTTAATCGTATTGATGAATATAAAAGGGAAAAAAGCATTGTATAAACACTTTAGATGTATAATCTTAATTTTTATCTCCAGTTAATATAAAAACTTTTGCTTAATTTTTTTCCTACTTATTTTATTCATTTAAGAGAAGAAAAAACAGGATTATATATTATTTTAAGCATTTATACTGACCAAAAATATGCAATTTGCAGTCAGAGGAAGAAAAAAATGCATTAAAAAATGGAACAGAGATAGAATTTATTTTAAAAGAAATTAATGTAATATATTATATAGATAAAAAAAGAAAAAAACAAGGTTTTATTTTTTATCAATTTTATAATAATGTGAACAATCCTTATCCTCATTTATTCATTATAATTTTTGTAAAAAAAAATAGACCAAAAAATAAGAAAAAAAGCAAGATTTTTATTTAATAGATCTCAAGTCTTCCAAACTATGTTTTGGAATGCAAAATTGTTTACTACCAAAAGGAAATTAATAATAAACAAAACTGTTTAGCAAAAAAAAAGTGCATATTTTAATATAACAAATAAAATCCCATTTCGGATCCATCAAGAAAGAATCGAGGCCATGGTGTTATTGTGTAATTTTTATTTTTTGTAATTAATAAAATGCAGCCTTTATGATGTCCATAATCGACCCTCAGAGAAGTTAAAAGAAAAATGATTTTCTCAATAAAAAATAAAAGTCTGTACAGTAATTTTGGTCGTTTCCACTTATCCTCGTCGCCTACCCCCACTTGCTTTGGTCTGCCAAAACCAATTTGTTTTGACAGTGGTATAATTGTTTACATTTTACTTAAACCATAAATGAAAATATTAAAGAAATTTCATATCCCTTAAAATTCTTGACATTTTATGCTCATCTTGTAAGGTCGTAAAATAATTGACTTTTTAATTTAAATTCCCAGTCAGAATACATATAAATGTCTCGAGATTTCCTTTTTTTCTTTTTTAAAATATTTATTTTAAGCTTTTGGTCTCAATGCATTTTTTATTTCGAGTCAAAAAAAGACACTGTGTTGACTACAGCCTTATGCTTGGCTATTTTGATTGCTCATGGTGGAACCCTATTTCTCACTTAAAATTTGTACTTAAAAATTATGTAAATTTTTTTAAATTGATTTGTCGGGTGAGTAGTCAAATAAAAGTTGTTTTAACTTTATAATAATTTTTCATTTATTATATTAGGGAAATAATTAAAATAAGAAATATATATGCATAAAAGCAAACTATGTGGTTTTCATAGAACAAATAAAAAAATCCACATCGTTGAAGAAAAAAAAAATTAAAATGACTGTAACCAATGACATTTTTGCACTTTCTGATGTGGTCAGGTATTTCGAATTGAGCAGTGTAATGGAGGCACAGTTTAAAAAAAGTCTAAATGGGAGGACATGGTCTGTGTGGCCACTACACTCAGTACTCGTGTAATAATAAAATGAATAGGCAATTATGGACACTAAATTAAATTCCTTGATGATAAAACAAGGCTAAGGATCACAGCAATCGGTTTTCTCTCTGCCAAGAGCTGTACTTTCATTAAGCCCATAGGTCTTTTATTTTTTTAAATTTTAACGAGTGTTTCAACTACGTGGTTATGGGTTCATCCTCAGGGTGCCGGTGTTTTTGAAAAAAAAACATTTGTAAGTATGTCAGGTTCAAATACAGGGCCGCCAGATTTGAACTCAGGACCATTGCCTTACAATCATGAGTATGTCTAAAATGTAGTAACTACTGTCGCCCCCTGAGAGACACCTTATGTGAAATGTTTTTCTTTCCGTAAATTGTTTATATTTCTAATGTTTACTTTTTAGTTTTATTGTTCATATTTTGCAACTTCTATCTATATATCTATATATGAAATTATCACCAGAGAAATATTTTAAAAAAATTTGCTAAAAAAGGGGTTGGTTAAACTAACATACCTGCAATCAGACTGAATGTTCCCAGCGTCTGGAAACTTGCATAAGTCATCATAATACAAAAACCGGCTATGAGGTGAAATCATAGATCAGTATTATCAAGTTTCTAAGCTTTTTGAAAAATTATTACTAAAAATAATAAAACCCATTGTAGAAAACAACGAAATCATCCCTGGCCAACAGTTCGGATTCCGAACAAGATATTAAACAATAGACCAAATTCACAGAGTAACATACATGATAGAAAAATCACTCAAAGGAAAACAGATTTGTTCTGCATTTTTCTTGATATCTCAGAGGCTTTTGACAAGATCTGGCATGAAGGACTCACCATTAAACCAAAAGGGATTCTACAAAAGGAATATGTATTTATTATCAGTTCCTGACTTTTTAGAGTCAAACAAGAAGACCAATGTTCAGAACAAAAATTAATAAACGGAGTGCCACAAGGTAGTATACTAGGACCGATACTTGTTACACCAGTTCCAAAAAATGGATGCAGTCAAAATTGCAATGTTTACAGATGTCTCAGCGGTGATATCAGTAAGACTGAGCATCAACCATTCATCCAAAACCTTTCTGAAGGCACACGATAATTAGACAAAAAATAAAAATGGACTATCAGGCTCAATCAGCATCAAGCTTTTTATATAAATTTTACAAATAAAAAGTTGGGACTTGTTCCATCTCTCACCACCGATGCAGCTATTATTATACTATACAGCGATAAAGTCAAATTTCTGGGAAGTTGAGACTTAAACATAAAAAAAAAGAAAAAAATAGGTACCTATACACGACATCGAAACAAACAAGAAAAAAAATTATTAGGTGCCAAAAAAAGATCTAGGGAGTTAACCGTAGATGAATGAAAGCACGGTATAATGACAGTTTACTCTATACAGATTGACAGAACCCGGCTCCAAGAATATACAAGAAAGCCCTTCAGCCTATAAATATTGAACTATGTGGTTGTACAAAAAAACCAAATACACTCCAAAATAAAATGTTATGTAACATGGTCAATGTACCCTGGTAACTAAAGAATAAGGACTTACATATGGATCTTAAGATACATTCAGCCAGCATGAAAATGTGTAAGTGACCTGGTTGGTTTTGGACCAATTTCGATAAATAAAAGGGAAAAATAATTCTCTTTTGCTCAATATTTATTTAATTTAGTGTTCAATATAAACTGATAACCTCTGGCCACAATGAAGATAAGTTTATGGCTCAAGGAAATTCAGTCCATTTTCAGTAAAATAATAAACAAAAATGAATTTTATAATTTAATAGCTGGAAGAAGTGTCACTAGACAGAAACTCGACTAAACCATGAAACAGGAATGGACAATAAAAAATTTGGAGAATCTTTTGATTAGTTCAAAAGTTGAAAAAATCAGGTTGAACAAGGCAAAGTAACACAACAGCTAACTCAAGCAATGGATTCTCTCCGACAAAATTTCCAGCAGATGAAAACCCAAAACTTTACAAATTCATCACCATTTATTTAACTCTTTCTTTTTTTTAAGGCCTTGTTGATGTAACTATTTTGTTTTCCTGCATGGAATTAACGTAAATTGTATTTTTCTTATGGAATATATGTACATAAGTTATACATAACATTGACAATAAGCACACACAAAACAGAAAGTGCCTGAATGGTACATACAAAGAAAAAAAATGCTTTGAACCCTAAAATTCGAGGTGTTTCCTATCGCAGATGACGAGAGCCTACCGTACTTCATTTATTTATTCCTTCTCAAGTCAGAAGTTTTCCAGCTTCTTTCAATGAAGAGTAAAATCTCTTTTTTACCCACTCCATACTTACTAAACAGCACTGAGTCTTGAAGGTAGCTGTTAAATCTCTTAATTATTTTCAATATTTAAAAATAATGGTTCTACTCACAAACTGGTTTTGAAATTATCTGGGTTTTGAACTGTGTCGTTCATCAGATTATTAGTGATTACACGAAATCTGGACCACTGAAAAACTGATTTGTGATTGGAATTTTTTAATTAAATTAATATACTTACCCAATCGTAGCCATTTTTTTCTTAATTATCTTTAGGAGGCAGTTGAACAAAAAATTGACCCATCTATGACAGCTTCAAAATTTGTTTGAAGCAACTCTTGAAAATTATTTATAAATCATAAAATATCTTTAAAATTAAATTTTTATAATTTGATTACTGAGATATCGATTTGATCATATTTCTTTCTTTATAGTAAAGACTGATAGAATAGAAAAAATCACATAGTATACTAGTAACAGAACAAAGACAAAAATTGTAAAAAAAAAGATTTATATTTATCTAGGTTGTATCGTTTGTTTTGTTTAAACGTCAAACGTATTTATTTTCAAGCGTACATCTTTTGTTTTAATATTTTCCATTCTAAAAAGCCTAGAAAAATAAAATATACAAATGAATCAAAATCAAAACAACTGTTTACTTTTATTTGTCTCTTAAATATAACGGATGTTTTTTCTAAACAAGCTTCTAAAAAGTTTTTATTTATCAATCTTTTATAGAAACTCACATTACAATTATTTTAAATGTTATTTTAATAATATATATAGAAAATAAATAGTAATAAGGATTTAAAGGAAATGTACCTTTCTAAGCAGGCTTCACTGGTAAGTCTTTCATTGGGAAAATGCCTACAAAACCCAATTAAAAAAACAAACAAAATGTTTCAGTTAAACGTGTAATTACATTTTTTTTTGTAATAATTATACACAAAAATTAATAAAAGGCGTAAAAATAAACAGACCGTGTCACACTTGATGGCCAATTAGAATTTTAGGAAATTTCTTAATTTTAAAAATTCCAATTTACTGGAAAAATTTCATTTAGCAAAAGCTTTGAAAAGTGCTATTTTAAAAGGCTGTACAAGTTAATAATTTTGTTTGCTATCTAATTAAGTTTCCCATCGTTTTAAAACTGGTTGAAATATATGTACAAAGAAAAACTTGGTTGGGGGAGGGCAAGGGGATGTTGTAAAATGAAAACTGAACGCAATCACTGTTTCTTTTGTTTTAACCCTAAATTTATAAATCATACCAATAAGTTTTAACATTCTTGGTTTAAATACGAGGATAAAATAAAAATTAGAAAATATAAAGTAATTTGGAAAAGAAAATAATGGGCCGTTAGAACGTACTTCCTTCAGGCGGTTGCGTGAGCTTCATGTTATCTTTAATTGTCATGAGTCGACGTAGCTCTTGCAGAAGAGATTTAATAGTACAATCTCTCTGCCATCTCGCTAATAGTGGAACTGCTTTCTGGTCAACCTGCCAATCGACATACACAGCAGAATAAAACAGAAAATAAACATTTTAAAAGAAATAACTACCTGCCCAGTTGTACTATTAACGCAAGTCATATTAATTCGAGAAAGGAAACGAGCCGATGGCGATTCTTCTGGATATTTTTGTCCGCATTCTATCCGTAGGCTATACATTCGATTTTCATACGGAGTCTGAAATTTAAAGTAAAATGAGTTGTCTCTACACGATTTATTTTAATTTTATTCGAAATTTAATTACTCTTGGGGGTCCTATGATCATTCCTGTCCAATGAGTTAGTGTCATGTCATCGTCGTTCTCTAAGCCCCAGGAAATAGTCCCATCACCCACACCTCGTTGGCCTTGCTCCAATTCTTCTAAAAGTCTGAAGTTGCGGGGCACAACTGGAACAAAAAAAAATTGTCAAAACCAGAATCAGCACATTCAAGACTTTTTGTAGGAACAAAACAGTTGAAAACAGCAAAAGTTTAAGTTAGACAGTCAATCAGCATTAAATTATTCCTATTTATAACTCATGTTCACAAGTTCAAATACAATTTCCCAAGTAATAATTCATCAAAATAGAAATAAAAGGTGTAATTAAGGACTTGACTTTTAGGAAACAATAATTTTTTAAAAGTAATCCTTTTTAATAGCATTCTTAGGGAAAAGATATTATGGAAAAAAACAGGGATGATGATGGGAACTGAATCTACAACCGGTCTATGGGCCTAGAGCATAATACTGCTACAACGTTCCTCATTTAATTGACAATTTAGCTTTTATTAGCCATGATTTGAGAAGAAAAAAAATCTTACACTCAATCTAACGACTGTATAAAGAACATTACAAACTACTTTCACATACAAAAATTTAGAAAATGACTAATGATGGATAAGAAGTTCTATTATTTTGTAAATCATAATGTGTTTTTTTTTATATTTATGAGGTGATGAACAGTGCAGATTGGTTGTTTCAATGTGAAGTGGCAGACCAAGATGATCTAAAATTGCAAAAACATCAATATATGTACTTGGAAGAATGTCGTGCATGAGGTTTTTTAATTTTTAAATGAAAAAGCAGGGATAATTTATTGCATTTATGACATTCACTTCTTTGTTCAGATTGTACACATTCATACTGTTGAAATGCTGCCACAATCCCTTGAGCCCTAAACGGGCCGATAAGGGACAGTGTCCACAGCTTGCTCTCATACGTCCTTGCTTCCGTGCAAAAAATCCCGCCACCTGCCAATAAAAAAGGTTCGGACGGAACCTAGCAGATATCGTAGTAATCTAAGCCATCATACCAGGGACTTGGTTACGTTGAGGGTTTAGACGCTGAACTGCTGAGTACTAAAAAGAAAATCAGTTAGGACTACACACCCTTCACCTAGGTTTTAGAGGAATTTATTTAATTTTAGTGTAATTATTTTCATTAATGGTTTCACAACCACACCAGCACACACCCTATTCAACAGGGCCTACTTAGATTAATTTAATTATAATTAGGCCATGTTTAACAACTATAATTGACCATATTATTTCAATTAATATGTACTTTTTATGTACTTATTATTAATATGTACCAAGACTTTACATAAAGTTACTTTTTTTGTAAAGTCTTGGTTGAGATGAAAAAGTTAGTGTCACGAGTGGATTTCAAACCCACAACTTTTGGCTCAATACGTCGCTGCTCTACCACTTGAGCTATCGTGACTTCGACCCACTCGGATACCAACTCGCCATCTCAATCTGCAACCTTTCAAATTTTTCATCATTTTTTCCTTTTTCAAGTGTCGTGTAATCAGGATTCGATTCCCTCCGACTTAAGAAGTGGCCTCGGGGAGCTGTTAGCAAAGTGATAGCTGTTATAATTGATCATCCTTTTTATGTAAGGTTTTGGTTGGAATAAAAAAGCCAGTGACATGAGCGGGATTCGAACCCACGACCTTCAGCTCAATACGCCGCTGCTCTAACCACTTGAGCAATCGTGATTTTGATCCACTTGAGCATCAACTCATCTCACAACCTACAAACTTTCACATTTTTCATCTTTTTGCCATTTTTCAAATGTCGTGTAATCAGAATTCGATCCTCAGCGATTTATGAAGCGGTCAAGGGGAGCAGTTAGCAAAGAGATTACTTCTTTAATTATTACATTAATTCCTGTACGTTTAGCGGCATAGTTGTGTGTAATATTGTATAAAATTTTGTCTTAAAAAATGTTTTGAATATAAAATTTTAAAAAAAATTGTCTATTTTTACATAACAATTTGATTTTTTAAGGACAATGTACAACGGATTGTTGTAAAGTAAGAAGAGTAAAATAAAAAAGTAAGAGAAAATTCGTATTAAAACTAAAATAAATTATTGATCTGGGCTAAAGTCGCGCATGTAATTTGACAAAAATTCGATTAAAAAATATAAAAAAAGGAGTGAAAGATTTCATTTTACAAGCTCGTTATCTAATATCGACGACCTTCACTTGGCCCTGATGAAAATTTGTTTATTCTTTTTAAGTTCTTCTGTTGTTGGAGGGTATTATTTATTTAATTTTTTAATTTGTATGGGGTTGGTTTTTTTGTTGTTGAAGGGGTGTTTAAAAAAAATTCGCGTTTTTTTTCCATGTTTCTCCTTTAAGAGAGATTATTATTATTAAATAGAATGGAGCGTTCTTATTTTTATTTTTTTATGTAGTGTAGTGAATGTACGGATTTTTTTTTTTAATCGACTGTAAAAAGAAAGGATACAGTTGAGGTTAGTCGCAGGGTCGAGGGATACGAACCTCATCCACTGCGTTTTCATGTCAAAAATTAAAGGATAGTCTCGTCTGTTGAAAGGGCAGACTTACCAACACGTCCCGTAGGACTGGCCATGGCTCCGCCTCTAACCGTGCGATTCGAGAAATGACGTTACCGCCGGCGTATCGGGCCCAAACACATAAAAGCTAACCGGGCAAAATTAAATTCGATCCAATTCGAAAAAGGGCCGGATTATCCTCAGGGGGAGGACACGCGATTTGCCACCGGCACGAGCTTAATCCGCGAAAACAACGAGTAGAAAACGAAGAAAGAAAAAAAAAGAAAACGGCCAGGGGGGAAAATCCAAAAAGAAAAAAAATCTGTCAGAAAATAATATTTCGCGTGTCTACTGTTATAGCCGCGGCACGTTGCGATCGGCTCCTTTCCAACTCTACTCGGACTTCTGGGACTCGGGTGGGAAAATCACAAGCGACCGAGTTCCGTGACTCTGCCACTCTCCCTAAGCGGACAGCAGAGCAGAAACAGAAGAAATCCACGGCCACCGGTATATAACATTGCCGGCATGCACCTAGATTCCAGGATATTTTACACAAAAATAATAATCAATCAATTTCGTCGTTTTGTCCGAGAAGGAAAAGTTTCTCGTATGACGAGGCAAAAAAATAAAAATAAAATAAAAGTGTGACTAAGCCTTGTGGGCGAAGCTAAATGCATATCCCTTACCCTCAGGATTACAAGTTTTACTTAAACAATAATCTCATTTTTTTTTCTATTTCCTTTTTATTGATAATTTCTCTCAAACTAGAAAAAAATAACAAGGAACATTTTTATCATTGACTTATAAAAACTTTTTTTTTTCTTAATGTGAAAATTTGAAACCTTCAGTTTTTTTTATTTTGAGAAGGTCAACTTTTTCAAGTAGAGAGAGAGTTGAAAGATCGGCGAGACGACGGTCCGGAGAGCGGTCGGGGTTCGAGTTTCGAGGATGTCTTTCTGGCGAATTTCGTTCCTGCTGGAAAGGGCGAGGAAGGCCAAGGAGATCATGTTCGACAGACACCTGTTCCTGACTAACGTCTCTATTTCCGTGACCCTCTCCGGTGTCGGTGACCTGATCGTTCAAAGTTACAGGAAACACCACGGCAAGTGCAAAGAGATCGACCTGACCAGGACGAAGAACATGTCGCTGACCGGCGCGACCGTCGGTGTCCTCTGTCACAACTGGTACAAGTACCTGGACGTCTGGCTTCCGGGTCACACTGTCTCGATGGTCTTGAAGAAGGTGGTCGTCGACCAGATCGTCTTCTCGCCCGTCATGCTCACAGCTTTCTTCCTCACCCTGGGTGTTCTCGAAAAGTCTTCGTGGAAGACTATAAGAAACGAATTGGTCGAAAAGGGAAAGATACTGTACATGGCAGAGTGGGTCGTATGGCCCCCGGCTCAAGTGATCAATTTCTACCTACTACCGACAAAGTATCGGGTCCTATACGACAATACCATATCTCTCGGATATGACATATATACGTCACATATCAAAAATGACCTCGATCCAGATGGTAAATGACACTCGATGTTAAAAAAATCTCATTGTGTCAAAGTACTTACAATATTTGATCTGTGATATTTGCCTTACGAGTTGTACATAAATCACATATTGAATATGTATTTAAAATTTGAATAAATTATTTTTATCGAGGAATATCGTGCCAAATTTATTTCTTTATACAAAACCTTAAATTTACTCATTTCCATTTTATCATGACAATTTTTATTATCTTATCTTACAATTAGTTTTTTTTTACAAATTAATAACAATTAATTATTCTTTTTATGTAAGGAATTGGTTGGGATGAAAAAGTTAGTGTCACGAGCGGAATTCGAACCCACGACCTTCGGCTCAATACGCCGCTGCTCCAACCACACCGGCTGTCGAGACTGAAGTAGTTAGAGCAGCGGCATATCGAGCCGAAGGTCGTGGGTTCGAATTCCACTCGTGTCACTAACTTTTTCATCCCAACCAAGTCCTTACATAAAATGAATAATTAATTGAATTAAAAATAGTTTAAAGTACAGTTATACAGCAAAATGAAGATTTTTCTAATATTTCTTTTAAAAAATTCCATGAAAATGTATATAAAAGTTTTGCAGTTACGTACACCAAATAAAGTTGTAATCGAATAATTTTTATTGCTTCTTAAATAGATTTCCATTTTAGTATGTAGACCACGTTTATTCTTCTTCTGTGTAATTGAGCCTCTTTGACATTATTTCAACATTCCAAAAATCAAATTTTTGCCTTCTTGATACTGCATGTTTTGTTAGTCTGATACCAGTTCTGGATTAATTACCACAATCAGAAACGACCATAAATTCTAAGTTTTATTATAAATTTTGTTTGACCAATGTTTTTTGGTTGGACATTCACTACATGAGATCCTAAAAAAAAAATTCACCTTTTTCCTTACCCTTGCATAAATCATGTATTTGAACATATATTTAAAATTTGAATAAATTATTTTTTTCGAGGAATATCGTGCCAAATTTATTTTTTTAATCTTTTTATGTAAGGTCTTGGTTAAGATGAAAAAGTTTGTGTCATGAGCGGGATTCGAATCCACGACCTTCGGCTCAATACATCGCTGCTCTAACCAAACCAGCTGTCGAGATTGAAGTGGTTAGAGCAGCGGTATATTGAGCCGAAGGTCGTGGGTTCGAATTCCGCTCGTGACACTAACTTTTTCAAAAAATAGTTTAAACTACAATTATACAGCAAAACAAAGACTTTTTCCAATATTTCTTTTAAAAATTCCATGAAAATTTATATAAAAGTTATACGGTTATATACAACAAATAAAGTTGTAATCGAATAATTTTTATTGTTTTTAAATAGATTTCCATTTTAATAATTACGTATAATTGAGGCTCTTTGACAAATATTTCAACATTCGAAAAATCAAATTTATGCCTACTTGATACTGCATGTTTTGTTAGTCTGATACCAGTTCTGGATTAATTACCATAATCAGAAACATGACCATAAATTCTTCGTTTTATTATCAATTTTGTTTGACCACTGTTTTTTGGTTGGACATTCACTACACGAGAGCCTATAAAAAACATTAATCCTTTTAAAATTTGAATAAATTATTTTTATCGAGGAATATTGTGCAAAATTTATTTCTTTAAAGAAAACCTTAAATTTACTCATTTCTATTTTATCATGACAATTTTTATTATCTTATCTTACAATTAGTACATAATTTTAATAAAAATTAATTATTCTTTTTTATGTCAGATTAAGCGGTATATCTGGATTCCAAAATTTATATTATTTTTAAAAAAAAATCAAAATGTGTTTAGTAATTCACTCAGGCTCTGAAGATGACCCAAGTAAAGGTTGAAACATTGGGGAAAAATATGAAAAAGGTGTTTTTCAAAAATTCATTCCTGGCAGCTCCTCACTACTTCAACAAATTATTAGTTTGTTAAAACTTTTAATTATATATTTTATACAACATATAGACTGTAATATGACAATTATTTTGTACCATATCTTACAATTAGTTAATAATACAAGATTTTATGTTGAACCGGCACAGGGTCACTTACTGGGTCTATCTACTCTCAGGGTTTTTTTTTTTTTGAGTTATTCAAACAAGAACTCCTCACTGAAGATGGCACAATGCTGAAATGCTTTGAATAACTAAAAAACATCCATGAGTAGAGACAGACCCAGTAAGTGACCCAATGCCAGTTCGACATTTGTTCACCATCTCCCAGACCAAAACCATGATCAACAATAGAAAATTTGTTGGGATCATCTCAAACTTAACATTTCATGCAGGAGTATTCACTAATTGAAATATTTAATTCATAAAAATTTTCATAAACCAATCACAATTTTTTTTAAACAAGGGTTGGCAACAGCAGATATCAATGTGTTTGGAAAAAAAAAAATTGTATGTAAGGTTGGAATGCAGAGCCGCTGGATTCGAACCCGGGATCTTTTTGAATGGCTACATTTCCAGAAAATTATTTAATCGAGGTAGTTAGGTTTGTTTTTAATAAAACTATTACCAACGATAATCATATTTTATTATCTTTAAACAATAACAACAAAGGTAACAATTTTGTCATGATAATTAATATTTGAAGTAATTTGAGTTTAGTGATATACAACCTAAACTATTGACCCTATTAAAAGCCTAAGCAAAAAAAAAAAAGGAAAAAAATTCAAATTGAAATATACAATAAGTCTATATTTTCTCCTAATACTATTACGAACAAAGTTGCTAAGACTTTAAGACACCATTATTATTATTTATTTTACAGTTTTACAATCTCGGAGTATTCAATACTTTTTTTTTATACAAATGTTCTTGTATAAAATGGCAGTAGTATAAAAAAATATTTACAATGTGAGCATTCTGCTTAAAATCTGTATAAGACACAAATACACGCACACACAACCTCTCAAAAGTTTAAAGCCAAGATTGTAATATAAAAAACAGCAGCCAGCTTTATCGACCGAGATAAACATTTTCTTATTCTGAATATATATACTTTTTTTGCACTTTGGTCCCAGGTTCTCGAGTCAGTCGATTTTCCTGCAAACTTTAAACTTTCGAGGAACGATGGTTCAAACATGTTGTGGGGGGGAGAGGAACCGAGCCTCAACATATTTACAATTATTAAGAATTAGGAAACAATAATATAAGTAGTCACAACCATAAACTCAACTTGTGAGGTGTCGGTAAGTTTTCAAAAGTAGTCGGGTTTTGTACTTTTGAATTAAGAAATGTTTATACTTAAGAGGATTTGTGTCGTAATTTTGTAAATTTAATAATTCGCAAAACCCTGTTGATACTCGTGCTTTCCTCTTTTTATTTTCTTAGGTCTTTTTATTTTATTAGGTTTACATAATACAGGGTGTAAAATGTAAAATGTCATATTTTTTTAAAGCTTTTTCTTTAAAGAGTTTTTTACTCTTGTTGGTTCTCCATCATCACATCGATGGTATATTTTAATCTCACTGTACCTATTTTAGAATTCATAAAAATTTAATTATCTGTTTTATATTGTTTTCATATGTATAATAATATTTAAATGCAGTTATTTCGACAATAGATTATCTCTGAAGTTAATTGCCATTTGATTGTGGGACATTTTATTAAAAAAAATATTCAGTCATTTGCTTTTTTCTGTATAATTCCACAATCATTTTCAGCTGGGGGGGGACCAATTTATGAAATATCACATGTCTCAAGTCATTTTGCATGTCTCTGGGTGGTGAGGTTAAATTAAAATGGAAAAATGAACTATACATACAAAACTCACCACTTTTGAAAAACTACCCCTTTGATTTTTTTTTTCTAAAAAAAAGTATTATTTACACAATTTTATACACACAGACATGCATTCGAATTACCGTACTAATAAACTTCTGATATGCACTGCACTTTACACAATTAAAAATGAAAAAACAAAGAAAAAAAAAATGACTAGAATAACAAATATCATGAAGAATACAGACTAAAACGATTAAGTAGGAATGAAAGTGTGTCTCTTACAAGTGAAAATGTTCGTGACATGAGATCCTTCAAGTTAAAATTTTTAAATTTTACCCTAAACAATGTGGTAACATGTTATCCCCTAACAATCTCTCCTTTTCTTCCTTTCACTTTTTACAAAATATCTGTCATTTTCTAATGCAACAGAAACATATCTGTTTTGAAAAAATAAAAGGCACATAACTCTAGAAAAAAAGAAAAACTGAACCCCCTAATTGACAGTTTTCTTTTCCGCATTTTTACATATAGGCGGAGGGGGGAATCCAGAAGTGTTATAATGAAATATGGTCAATTGCCAAGATTTTTAAAGGCTGTACGAACGAATCATTAACCACGGGTGCCTCAGAACATCCCATCGTGAATCCCAATCGGGACGAGAATCATCAAGAATATGAAGAAATTTCTCAACACTAGCCTCCAATCGGATGGAACGGCATAAGGCATCAGAATACCAGTCAGTTTATGTATCTGCAACATATATAAAAGATATTAAAAATACCCTGCAACAAAAAAAATTATTGATTACAATATTTAGAATTAACAATATTTTATATAATTTTTACTCTTGTTTTGCAAATATATAAGTTACATCAACAAGAAGATTTGTTAATAATAATTGTAGGGTAAGACCAACTTAGTATTTTTCTATTTTTAATAAAAGTTATTTTGGAAAACAAAGTACTTTTTGTCTCAACGTCAACTTATGTAAGAAATTGATTAGGTTTCGTAGTCCGATTGACCAATTATGTTCTTTTTCAATAAATTAAACTTTAAGTAAGGTATTGGTTAAGATAAAATTTAATTTATTTAGAGATTTAATTGGTCAATCGGACCACGAAACCTAATCGATTTAATAAGGATAATTAAGTACTTCACTAAAGCTCTCCGTGGTCATTTCATTTGTCGCCGAGAATCAAATAGATTACATGACGTTTGAAAACTGGCAAAAAGGAGAGAAATTTAAAAAAAAAATAAAGTGAGGTTGAGATGGGAAATTGGTGTCCGAGTGGATCGAAGTCACGATAGCTCAAGTGGTGTAGAGCAGCGGCGTATTTAGCTGAAGGACGTGGATTCGAATCCCGCTCGTGGCACTGACTTTTTTTTAACTTAACCAATACCTTACTTAAAGTTTAATTAATTGAAAATAATTTAAGAAATATTTTTGTATCCTGAGGCAAAGTTACAATGATGATAAAGTATTTGCTTATATTGGGTGTGGCATTTTTCCTAGCAAAAACAGTCTAACTTTCAAAATATAATGAATTTTTTTATATTTTTAATCTAAACCATAATTTCCTTTGTTTTCAATAACTTATTGCCAATGTTTTGGTAGCAGAAACAACTATTTGTTGTAGTCTTGTTCCTTTTTTGGACCTTTTTCCTTCATCGCTGATCCAAGAAGTAAGGATTTGGTTGCACGTATGCAATAAATTATTCCTTGAATATCCCGCTAGACAAGAGGACTTTATGAGAGGGCTCTTAACCCCTACAGCGTTTCATTCTTCTTGCAAACCGTCCTTCGGCATTTAACATTTTTATAAAGGACTTCTCATACCTAGCGACCAATAGGAAATAAATCTTTTCTCTTTGATATTACTTAGGCGTTAAACACAACAAGCTCTTTGTTTCTCAGGGATGATTCATGAGTTCATGGGTTAAACAATGAGTCCCAAGGATCGAATTCTTCTTTCTACATTGTATTCACTAATTTCGTGGCCCGCTTGACCAATTAAATCATTACAATTAATTAAGGTTTTTAGCTGAGATGAAAAAAAGTTAATGGCACGAGAGGGATTCGAACCCACGACCTTCGGCTAGATACGCCGCTGCTCTACCACCTGAGGGTGGAGTTGAGATGGGGAGTTGATGTTCGAGCGGATCGAGGTCACGATAGCTCAAGTGGTAGAGCAGCGGCGTATCTAGCCGAAGGTCGTGGGTTCGAATCCCTCTCGTGCCATTAACTTTTTTTCATCTCAGCTAAAACCTTAATTAATTGTATTTCTACATTGTGTTCAGTACCTGAAATCTCTGATAGCTCATGCAATTAATTAGTACTCATCATCCAACGCCACTAATATATCATCATTTCAAGCTCATTAGACATTTCACGAGTCGTATTTAATTTGTCTTTTTATTACGAAAATGTCAGAACCCCCATTCACTCACACATTCAGTTACTATGTTTTAGCCTTAAACAAATTTTATCTGCTTCTATGTTGCACTTGTATTTTATTCTAGACTGACTTTTGGGATCAGCTACCCCTTTCAAAACAATCTTATTCAAAAGGAGTTTTCCCTTTTGAAGTTCCCCCCCTCACCTAGAGCTAATGGGGCTAGCAGGTAATAATCACCTTTATAAGAGTAAAAGTCAATATTTGAAGAAAAAAAATTTTGCACACACCCAATACATTTATGCTTATAGAATTTTTTTTTCCACAGAAAATACTCTACAGAAACAAAATACTATTTATAATGTTAAAACTACTGGGTATGTACATACTATATTTATGTAACAACTCAGGTAACCTAACAATTTTATTTTTTTCTATTTGGGCACATATTGAAGATGACAACAAAATACCAGTGATTTTTCCTTTGCATCAAAATCCCAACTAAAAAAAAGTGTAATCCAATATCAACTTGAAAAGCAATTTAATTTTATTTTTAAAAAATGCTAAAAGCAATTTTCCATTAATTAATCTTTTTATGTAAGGTTGTGGTTGAAATGAAAAAGCTAGTGCCACGAGCGGGATTCGAACCCACGACCTTCGGCTCAATACACCGCTGCTCTACCACTTGAGCTATCGTGACTAAAAAAGTTAGTGTCACGATCGGGATTTGAACCCACGACCTTCAGCTTAATAACGTGGCTGCTCTAACCACTTAAGCTATCGTGACTAAAAAATTTAGTGACACGAGCGAGATTCGAACCCACGACCTTCGGCTCAATAAAGCGGCTGCTCTAACCACTTGAGCTATCGTGACTTCAATCCACTCAGATACCAACTCCCCATCCCAACCTACAACTTTTCAAATTTTCAGGCCACTTCATATGTCGCCAAGAATCAAATCCTGACTACACGACATTTGAAAAATGGCAAAAAGGAGGGAAAATTTGATGTTTTTGGAGTTAGTGTCCAAGTGGATTGAAGTCCCTACAGCTCAAATGGTAGAGCAGCGGTGTATTTAGGCGAAAGTCGTGAGTTCGAATCTCGCTCGTGGCACTAGCTTTTTCATTTCAACCACAACCTTACATAAAAAGATTAATTAATTGAAAGAGGTAATTTAGTCAATAGACCACAAATTATAATGGATTTAATAAGTAAAACGAAGTATAACTATCCTGATTAAACGGCATTTGAAAAATGGAAAAAAGGAGGGAAAATTCGAAAAGGTTGTAGGTTGAAATGGAAAGTTAGTGTCCGAGTGGATCGAGGTCACGAGAGCTCAAGTGGTAGAGCCAAAGGTCATGGGTTCGAATCCTGCTTGTAGCTTTTTCATTTCAACCAAAACCTTACATAAACACATTAATTAATTGAAAGAAGTAATTTGGTCAACAGACCACAAAATATAATGAAGCTAAAAGCAATGTATTCTTGCAGTGATAATAAACCTTGGCTGGTTGCATGTTTAGAACCAATAAGCCTGTTGTTTGGTTATATTAATGTTTTCTATTCCTTACCTCATGGGCTGCACAGACAAATATGAACGAGGTGATGAGCACATTAAGTACTGGGTAACCAGGCACGAAGACTAGGACCCCATGAGAGTCGGCAGCAAGCCAGATGTGATACTGGCATATGCACAGTTCAAGCGATATTTTCCCAAACCAGGCGAACATTGTAGAATACCTTGTCCTGAGGATCCCGCTGACGTTTCTCAACGCCAAATACGATACGATCTGAAATAAACAAAAAGATTCAAACGTGTTTCTGGTTGTCGTTTTAAATTGATATGACGTACAGGTACAAAAGTACTGTAGGAATGTACTTCATCACAGTCGAGGTCGCTCGGGCATAAGAAAGCGTATGCAGACGCAGCACTCAGACCGAGGAGAGAAAGAAAAATGAGTGCTAAAGCAGGTCTTTTCGACATAAGATTGCTGTGGTTTGAATCATCCACAAGATTGAATCTCTGGGCTGTCACGAGTGCTAGACCAAAAATAACACCATAGCACATGCTTAAAAAAAGAAATAATATGTTAGCTCATCATTATTTTGCGGTTTAAATATATAAAAAATCATTAGTTGTATTGATAAAATTGTTTACATAACCAAGAAAATAAATCACCTATAGCGGTTGAGTTTCCATCTGACCCACCACTCATGGATATCATCATCAGTAGTGACAAAAAGAGCCTTCCAGGGACGTGTGACAAAAACTTTTTCAAAAAAGACTTCCGACATAAAAAGAATGATGATAAGACTGAAAAGGCCGACCATTTTTAAAACTAGGTAGAGGTAATGGAGTGGATTCGCTTCTACACTCGTCGCCGTCACCCTAGGCGGCATTATAAGGACGAGATAAACCAAAAGAAACCAAAATGAAATCAATGGAGCAAATGAATAAAATTGGTACGGCCGGTTCATGCAAAGACACAGTAGGACAGGTAGAAAGTTCAATCTGAAAAGCATCTAAACAAAACAAAAATTAATTTTGAAATATTCGAATAAGAATATTGAACATTGTACCTGAAAGAATCGAACAACACCGGCGTCAGTTCTATGCCAAAGATAATAGAAATGTCCATAACCCGAGAGGAAAAAGTATGCTGAAATGAGAATCTGAACATGGTTTCGAATGTGAGAGTTTTCACTGGCCCCAGTCATATTATAAATAAGCAATACTAACTGCATCCATCCTTTAAATGAAATTGTCATAATAAAAACAATAACTTTGCCACATCTTATTCGTGCATACCTTTCCATTCTTCAGATTGGTCTCTGTGAAGAACTTTCGTGTAACGGCTGTCCTCGGTGAAGAAAACCCCAAGGGCAAAAATATACCCGAGGGGAAGCCAGAAACTCACCGAAGAGTAATACTTGTTTTCTTTCATAAAGAAATTAGTTCTAAAAGCAATGTAAAGAAATTGATTAATTTAATAAATATTTAAATAATAAGTAAATCTTACCTATCACAAAGGTAAAAATATGCCATGATAAGGCCAATTTTGGCAAGTGCATTGATTAAAATATAACCACTAGAGGGTGGTTCTAATTTCATTTTTGTTTTATATCTTCTTATAAAAATTACAAATCCTAATATACAACTAGAAAATGAAGTATTATTAATAAAACATTTCTACCGTCAGTAAATTAAATTTAATATTTCTTTTAAAACGTACCAAATTCCTAAAAAAGTGTAAGTAAGTGATTGTAACATTGTTCGGTGCTCAGGTGAAGAACAGCAAGTACCGTCGTTGAAAGCCATGTGATCGTTACAGTGCAAATTGGCAAGGATCTGTGTATGATGGCGCAAAGCCTTGACCGGGATGTGTAAACCGTCCCAAGCGTCATTACCAGAAACGAGCATGCGTGTGCTCGACCAAACTTGAGCTCCGCTCTTGTACAGGGCCTGTAGAATTTAGCTTATAGTGTATTTTTTCTTGGTTATTGTCGTTTAAAACTTTACCTCTCTTGCTGCCCAGTTGTACTGGTCTATGACACGATTGGTCAGCGCCGCCCACTCCTCTGGTACCTTATCTTCATTCACCGGTTCTAAGAGTATCCAGAGCACCCTGCTCTTTTTCGAATTGAGGCTGTCGATAGGCTGGTTAAAATGAATCGCTTTCAATTAATTAATAAAACTGGGATGTTTAGTTTCATTAACTCACTGCGACAATTCTAGTTAAGTTAAGAGCGTATTCTTTAACACCTCTCGATGAACCGTTTGTTCGTTTAATCGCATAGTTCCCACACCCAGCGACTATAAGGCTCGGGGGCTCAGACTGCTCCTAAAATTATAATGAAATCAGTGGCTCATAACTTATAAAACAAAACTATTTAGCATCCTAACAAATAAAAATGAGAACTAGATTGCAAGATAAAATTGGAACAAAAGTTAACTTAGCAATTTTGATAATTCAGCCAATGCTTCATTTTGTTAATATAAATTAAATTGGAAACTATATTATTAAGCCTATTGAAAAAATTATTTATGACTTCATATTAAAATAAAGAAAAAGAAAAACCGAATAACTAACCAGTTCGTGATTTGAATCAATATACCTTCCATTTTTTAAAGCTGTTGACCATCACATCTGAGACGTATGGGCTCCAGATGAAATCTACGGTGACACGGAGTTGTGAATCAGAGACAGAATGGTTCCGGAATGCCTGAGGCTTGTTCTCTTCTTGCTTCGTACGCCCGCCCTCCCACCCGATCAAGTGGTTCAGGAACGCCTTGTATATCTCGAGAACTCGATTGTCTCCGATGAAGATGAAGTGGTTGTGGCGGCCGAAAAATGCCAAGTACCTTATACACCGCCTGGTGTCCCTGCAAAACCAAAAGTACTTTCATAATCATATTTAAACATAAAGTGTTGTTTACTCACAGTTGGCTGTATTGGTGCATCATACAGCCGTACGGCTGCCACTCCATGTCCCCTTTGTACTTTCCCCCGGAAAGTAGCCATTTGCAAGAATCGGTTCCTAAAAATTTCATGAAATAATTAAAATTCTAATTTGTAATTTATATGCATATAATTAATTTAAGAATTTCAAATTAAACAATATTAGGCGTTTATGAAGATAAACAACTTTTCCTCTATTGAAAATGATAACAGTATTTTTGATAAATTTACACATTTGTGTATATGTAATTTGAAAACCGCATTTCAACAACCTGAAAATTTATCAAATTTTTTCTCACGCTACTTTAAAAATTAAATAACAATAACACAATTTTATCCTCCAACTTGAATCCTATCCAAGCTACCTTCAACATTCAAGACCTTGAGCTCATTGAAGACTAGTGCAAAAAGTGGAGGACAAGACTTGAAGAAAAATTTACTCAATGTTGAATGTATGTCCACATCGAAAAAAACAGTATTGCCCTCCACTGTACATCAACAACAAAGAGGAGATATTAGGGGTGTTGGTGGTCGCAATGGCTTAGGGATTGACCGGCACTCATCACGGTAAGGAAAGGTCCCGTGTTCAAATCCAGCTGCCCTGCATTTGAATCCAACATACTCACAAATTACAATTAATTAAGGTTTTTAGTTGAAATAAAAAAGTCAATGGCACGAGCGGGATTCGAACCCACGATCTTCGGCTTGATACGCCGCTGCTCTACCACTTGAGCTATCCTGACCTCGATCCACTCGGACACCAACTTCCCATCTCAACCGGACCTTTTGAATTTTCCCTCCTTTTTGCCATTTTTCAAATGTCGTGTAATCGGATTGGTTCAAATCCCGCTCGTGCCATTGACTTTTTTATCTTAACTAAAAACCTTAATTAATTGTAATATATTAATTGGTCAAGCGGACCACAAAATTAGTGAATTTAATGAATACTCACAAATGTTTTTTTTTTTTTTTTTTCAAAAACACCAAGGGTTTAGGTGACCTCTCCTGTTCCTTCTCAACAGATTTAACCCAAAAGTAGATTATTATTATTATTTTTTTTTTTTAAGTGCAATCTATTAGCATCGGAAGTTGTGGTGCTCTTTCCTTGAAAATTAAGCCTCGTCTCATTAATTTTAATAGAAATATCTGATAAATGACAGTATACATTGCCATTTTTCGTCATTGAAAACAGTTACCAATTTGACATTGTGGTCCATCATCACAGAGGGTTAAAACTTCAAAACATAATCCCTATAATCGAGAGAAAGCCACCTCACTTCTGTACAGACAAGTTGGGAATGATAAAGTTTCTCATATCATCAAATAGTATCGAGAAAAGTCTTGACTTTAACATTGATTTAATATATTTAATAATTTGAACAGACACATCCAAAACTTTTTTTAAAAGAAGCTGGCATTTGTTTCACGGCTAATGCATGTCAGTGGAGAACACAATGACTGCTGCTGCAAAATAAAAACTTTCGTTTTCAGTACTCATCATCATTAATTTTTTAATTTTATTTATTCATTCCCCATTTATTTTTGTAATTACTTCTTCTCTAGGTTTGCCCGAGATACCCCTGGAGGTCTATGGACCACAGTTTGAGAAGGCTACTTTAGAGTATGGTAGTATCAGAGAGAGGGATAAAAATTCAGACTCACTTCTGTACGGACAAGCAGGGAATGATGAAAGCTGCCCATATCGTCAAATAATATTGCAAAAAATCTTGATTTCAATGGCAGCGATTTGATATATTTAATAATGATTATTTGGAGATCGTGAGGTGCGGTCTGGTGTGACATAGGTGAGGGGCACTCTCAACACGACACAACAATGACGCTTCTACTTGGAAAACAAACACTTTGAGCCCAGAAGATGATCTCAATAAAGACCAAAACATTGGCACGGTAAAGAAAATGTTTTTCTAAAACCTACGTCACACCAGACCACACCTCACGATCTCCAAATAATCATTGGCTAACGGTCACTACACACCACACATATTTAGTAATTTTAACAGACTCATCCAAAGCTTTTTTAAAACAAGCTGGCATCTGTTTCACGGACAAAGCACGTCTGTGTAGAACACAATGACTGTTGCTGGAAAATAAAAACTTCCGCGGAATTAAAAAGACTTCCATTCGATGCAGACTCCCAAGTTAGGGTCAGCAGAGCACAATTTGAGATACCCCGCTTTAGAGTATGCGCTGCATCCTCACATTTTTCTTCTCGTTATCTACGTAACTTATTACACTTCGCATTTAAACTCAGTAAACTGTTACTTTAAGTCTATTTTGTTTTTTAGGCCAACCGCTCGATAATTTTCTTCAATCCACAGACCTCTGCAGTACATTGATATTTTATGTGCAGGGCTTATTTCCCAAGTTGAGAAAACTCTAACATGAAGAAAATGTGCAGTCAAAGTCACATGTCTTTTAGGGCGTGGATACTATTTAACATAATTAAATAAATCGAGTTAAAACTGGGGTCTGTTCGAAAAATGTCAAAAATCTCCAGTTAGTTATTTTAAAGGAAAGCACAATGAAATTGTTCTGATTATTACTTCTTGATTACAAGTCATCTTATTAGGAAAATAATTAATTGTTAAATTGTCACGAATGGAAGTTAATGTAAAAATGATGTCGACAGGGCCGATTATCATTTCCAACCGACTCTTTCGTCAATGGAACGTATTTAAAAAACTTTAGGTGATATTTAAATTGGCGATGAAAGGTCGTACCGTATCTTAAATGTACGATTCCGTGGTAGAGGATGAAGCCGACGACGAGGCCGACGGCGACGTACTTTGCGTTCTTGGCGTTGATCTGCTTGACGACGTCCACCGACTTTTCTCGGTCCTCGCCCTCCCAGAGCAGAAATTCGTTGGCACCGTCGCTTTCCAATGGCATGTCTTTCTAAGTAAACTGGGAGGGAATCGGGAAAGCGAGGAGCAGGAAGGAAGGTCCTCCCTCTGATATCTGCTTGGGAGGTTGGAGGGAGGATTACGACTGCAGCTGCGCAACTGGGCACGCCCAGTCCCAAATGCGCGCTCTCTTTCGTTTTCCTTTAATTTCAGTCTTTCTCCATCCGTGCCGTTTCAAATTTTCAATTTAAAACTAAAGGAAAGGAAATCCTTCTATTGAATTGCACAAACTAAATAACTCTTTTTATGTAAGGTCTTGGTCGAGATGAAAAATCATTAGAACCCACGCATTCGAACCCACGACCTTCGGCTCAATCCGCCGCTGCTCTAAACACTTTTCATCTCAACCAAAACCTTACATAAAAAGAATAATTAATTGAAAAAAGTAATTTGCTCAATTAGACCACTAAACATAATATGGATTAATACATATAAACTTAACAGCGAAACTTCAAAGATTCACTGAAAACGTTTATCAAATCTTTATTATTGCAGTTAATTCAGGGCCAATATTTTTGAAGGATCTGAAGGAAAAATTATCACATACTGCTTTGAAACTCTCTTAAGCCAAACTTTATCTAAAATCTGTCTCAATTTGCAAGGCAAAAATGCAAGGATGTTGACAATGATAAATTATACCCATAAATACCCCTTAGCTTTTTCATTCCACCGAAACCGTACATATTAAATTTATTTATTTCCGCGAAAGGTCCAAATAGGGCTTTAAGCCACCTTACATGTACACATATTAGAAATAAATTTAGTTTTATAAACATAGTAAAATAATAATAACAGTAGTAATAATAATAAATGATTATTTAAAAATTGTGAGATGCGGTCTGGTGTGATGTGGGTTTAGAAAAACATTTTATTTATCGTGCCAACGTTTCAAACTTTATTGAGATCATCTTCAGGGCCTGGGATTGATAAGGGCATAAAATGTGGTGCTATTCACAACAATTTCACACAAAACCAACACGACACCACTAGAATAGCACCACAGTTTATGCCCTGAAGATGCTCCGAATAAAGGTCGGAACGTCAGCAAAAAAACGAAAAAGGTGTTTTTCTAAACTTCCTCATTCTCACAACTCCAACAAATTATTAAACAACCAGTCACTAAAAAAACACATAATATTATTATTAATAAGACTTTTAAGACTGATACTATTACATGTAGACAGTGTTTTGTTAATAAATACAAAGTGTGTTACCAGAGGATGCTTCAGGTGAATTTGAGCATTGCTAAAATGTTCTGCTGTTTATAGCATTATTATCATAAACGACTATGCATGGTCGAATCTACAAAGGAAAACAATTTAATTTGAAATATATTTATTAAAACTTTTAATTTTTTAAGTGTTTGGAATGTTAAGGTTGCGGAAGACATTAATATAGGAGGAAGTATGATCCCTTGGTTTAATACCATAACAGTATCTAATGAAGGAATAAGCAATTTGAAGACGATGAGCAGTTGAGAGTCTAAGGAAAGTGAAAAAATAGCACTAGAGTAAGAGTATAAAAAAAATTATTAGGGATTTAATAAGGAGAACTCTAATTTTGTATGGAGTCAAAAAGCCAAGGCGTCGAAGAGAATGGAGGCTTGAGTAGATCTTTTTAATAATAAAGCTCACATGATCATGCCATGTAAGCTTGGAGTTAAAAATAATGCCAACTTTAGAGCAAAAATTAATATGAGATCGATTGATATGAGGAGAGGATAGGCAATCTGTACTAATGGGTCTATTGAAAATTAATAAGGACTGGGATTTTTTAGGGTTTAAAAAATATTTCTTGTATTCGGGAAGGTCTGGAAGAGGATTCCCATTTTTTTGTACATATTTCGATTCTTTATTTATATTTACATGTTTATAAAACTATATTTATTTTTAATATAAGTACGTGTAAGGAGGCTTAAAGTCCTGTTTGTACTTTTAAAATAAATAAATTGTCTCGTTAAGAATGCAAGGTTGTCCAATTGAATGCACAATTTACATTTTTTGATTGATTTAATGTTCTTTATTTATGATGAGTTAAAAAAAAATCATAGTTAATATACTAGATGACAATTTCAATGAGTGTAGTGCAGTAATAAAACCCTCAAGACCAATCACCCAAATAACTTTATTCCGCATTCTCAATGAAATGGAATGTATTCAAATTTCATGCTTGTTCTTCATTTCTTCAACGTGAACAAGCTCACAAAAGTATGTGCTAAATTAAAACCCCTTATCTCATTATCAACAGAAAATCCCAATTAAAACAAAAAATTTTATTCTGACTCATTTATCAGTATAAATCTGAAGTTTGGGGAAGCACCTCAGTGATAAAAATGAACAAAATCCAGGTATTCCAGGATAATGAACTGGTAGGAAATCTGGTTTAACATAAGCAATTGACTTTATTAAAGAGAAATTTAAAAGGTTCCAAGAAAAAATAAGTCATACGAAATCCTGTCCTTTCGTAAAATATAAATTATACCAGTCAGAAATTAAACTGTACAAATCACTTTGATCAGAAAACTCAAACTTAAATTATTGCAAGACTTTATGTATGAAGTTAGTGATTTATTATAATTAATTACATCATACTAAAATTACCAATTATTCAGGGTTAAATTTGGTCTACCTGATGAACCAGCTTTGAAAAGTACAAAGTGATTTGACCCATCACCTGTGGCTAGTTATTTGACAGGGATTTTTTCTTTCAATTTTTAGACAGCATAAGTGCAAATCCTTGAATAAATGCATAATAATTGTCATTAGAAACTTTCAAGTTCATCTCATGAAGTTTTCATTTGAACATTTACAAATCTATTACGTATTTACACAATTTTTACAATCAAATGGCAACTTAAAAGGGCCATGGGAAAATATTTTTGTCTTCTAACTTTTACGGTTAAAACAAACGATATCATTTTAATTATAAACATGTGCAAAATTGCTAAACACTGTTGGCAAAACATTTATTCAAATTACAAAATTTTTCCTGGTTTTGTTAATTCTATGTAACTCAACTTACAAAATTATGTAAACTGATTACAAATGTATAAATGGTCCTTTATATAACAAGCTATGACAAAACCTTTATCAAACGCAGTTTTTTTAATAAAATTATTTTCAATTATTTAAGGACATTTTACTGTTCTGCTAATTACAACAAAAAGTAATACAGGCAGTTTGAAAAATAATGCAAATGTGACAACAACATATTTTAAACATTAATAATATTAGAAGAAATATAAAATTATCTTATATCGATTATACCATAAGAGACCAGTCTGCAAAATCACAAGAATGATGGGCTTATTCGTAAACCAACTGTCCTAGAACAGATATCTTAAAATGCCTTCTACTTCCTTAAGCAGATCTCTTCCTTTACAACCTTATTCTTTACCGTATAGATTGTCCTGAATTACTTTCCTCCCTTCCTTTCCATGTTTCTACAATGATCACTCGTAATACAATAATTTTTAACAATAATCAACAAGAATTGTAAGATGATTGTGGTTATCAGTTGTTATCAATTATTCAAATTTATACTTACTGTTCACAATTTATTCTATAAGTTTCAAAATTTTTATTTGTGGGATTTTATTTTACATTCAATCTTTTTTTATCAAGTATTAATATTTTTCTAATCTTAGTACTTATAATTTTCATTTTATTTTTATTATTATTTCCATAGTCACTATTCTATATTATTTTGTGACTATTTGCATTATAATAATATATTTCATACACTTGTTTAACATAAAAATGGGGTTGGGTTTAACAAAATAAATAAATAAATAAATATTTTCAAATTAATAACTCTTTGAAATAAATGATGATGTAGGATGCTGTAAAATAGTCCTTATAAACAAAACCAAATAGGAACTATTAACTACAAAAGCATATTAAAAGTTCATTTCTTTATACTTTGTTCTTTTGTTAAAAAAAGTAATACTTTGTTTGTTTAAAATATTGTTTTCTTTTTATTTCTATTTTGAACTTTTTTGTTTTTATGATCACTCACGTCTTATATCATCTGATGTATTTATACGAGGATGTTTTGCGCTAGAGCAAGAAGGTCACACAAAACGAGAATGTTTTAAAAGTTAGATTCTGGTTGAGAATCGCAAGATTTCCATTTGATTTACTAAAAGCTAACAAATTATTTTGGAACACAATTGTGCTGAATGTTATCTAAGTTGACCTAGATTGGAGAAAACAAAAAAATTTTTTTTAAACAAATATAGTCATATAAATTGGCTATAATGGAAAGCGAGAAGAAAAAAATATAAATAAAAAATTATATATTTTATTCAACAAAATATTTTGTCTCATTATAATAATAATATATGCATAAGTTATAAATTGTAAAGAATAATGTATAAATTATTACAAAACTTTATATATACATATACATTCATAATACAATACAAATATAGTAGGAAAGGACAGGTAAGATCTCTACCAGCTTCCTTGCCAATCCCTCATATGGATTAGAGAAAAATGTCTTCACTGTCTTCTCAGGAAATTTTTTATGTTTTAAAGTTTCTTCCATCTTCTTTCTTCTTATATTATATGCTTTCAGAGGCCTTTTATTCCCCAAGTGAATTCTACAAATTTATAGTTCTACTAGGGTTAGTATTGTCTTTTGTCTTAAATGTCTCTGGCAGAGTGAATTCCATTGGAGGTTCAGTCCGATCAGTAGTGTAGGAATAAAAAGTAAGCAAGTAAAAAGTAAAAGTATTTCATGAAAGAGTTTCAAGAGATTATGCCCAAATAAAATATAAAAAAAAAATATTTCACACATTATACAATTTTTGGGCATAGTTAAATATTTTCTTTTTAGCTAAATATATTTTAATAATAAATATTTATTTAAAAAAAAGTAGTATATTCAAGTCATCAGATAGAAATTATTGCCAAGACAACAAATTTTTAAAGACAATATTTTATTTATTTTTATATTCATTTTATTGCATTTCAAATGACCCAACAGTCAAGAGGTCAAAAAACATTCATAAAACTTTCTAATTTAAAAACTTAACATTAGATAAAAAGAATAGATCACAGCTTAAGAATAACTGCAATAGATGACAATAAAACTTGTGGTCAAGTAATTTTATTAATTTATTAATTAATATAATTTTATTATTTTTTTATTGCCATCTATTGCAATTATTATCAAGTTGTAATCTATTCTTTTTATCTAATGTTGTTTTTAAATTATAAATTTTTATGAACGTTTTTTGACCTCTTGACTGTTCAATTTGGGGTCATTTGAACTGCAATAAAATGAATATAAAAATAAATAAATAAAATATTGTTTTTAAAAATTTGTTGTCTTGGCAATAACATCTATCTGATGTGATGTATTGAATATACTATTTTTTTTATAATAAATATTAATTATTAAAATGTATTTCGCTAACAAGAACATCTAATGTGCAATTTAAACTATGCAAAAAAATTGTCTAATGTGCACTATATTTTTTTTATATTATTATTTTTTTGGTATATTTTATTATCTTTTTATATTAGATTATAACAGTAATTTTAGCAAAGGAGAACGTTTAGCAATGTCGATGTGTTCATTTTCTATGTTGACATTTGACAAATGACAATAGGAAATAATTATTGTTGATTTTTTGTAAAAAATCAATTAATAATAACAATTAATATGTCACTATTTATGTATAGTTATAATGCGGTATTTAAGTGATTATAAGTAATTTTGTACATTTTAAACAATGATTAGTTGTTAAATGCGCTCGTTGTTTTTAGTTTTGGACCTTTCTTTTCTTTTCTTTTTTTTTTTTAAAGATTAATAGGGGGTGTTTGGAATGGTGGCAGCCCGTGTCTCAGGTAGGGCGAGTCGTCAGGTCCGAGGGCGGGAAAAATTCCTTTCCAACCACCCAATCGGTGGAAAAGATTCGGAGATCCTCATGGAAACAGCAGCGCCGTCGGAAATCCCAACCCGCCTCCTTGCCAAGTGCCAAGTGCCAACCCCCGGCGCTGGACCGAGTCGACCCGGAAAAAAAAGAGGGTGCATCCGCGAGATCCCAAGTAACCTCTCTCATTTAGTTTTTAAAGGTTACAAACAGTTCGGCGTGTCGGTTGTATTTCCTCGGCGATTTTCACCCCCGGAAAAGCCACCTGGGGGGTTTTCCGAGGCGTCGAGGCATTTTTGTGACGTTTACGCGAGTTTCCTGTGATTTCCTGACCCGAACGCCGGGATCCCGAGGGAAAAGGAGCTACTGTGAGTCGCATGTTTTTTCTACCCGACCGTTCAAAATAAAAGAGAGTTTCAAAAAAACACTAAAACTATAAACATCAAGAAAAAGACTCATTTTATATTGGACGGCCACTATTTAGCATTTATTTTAGTTATTACTGTTACTGAGACCGTTGCATAGCCTTTTTATCATGTTTTTTCCTCCATCGGATGGAATGTTTGTTTCCATTCTCGACTCAAGGTTAACCCACTGTTTTTCGATTTTCCGCTTTTTACGGTTTCGAGACTCGGTTTAGAAATTTTCCGAATGACGCGGAATCGAAAAGCGGGACTTTATTTTTCCAGTTCTCGAGCGGCTTGAGTCCTGTCTTACCGTGGAAGCCGTCCAGCCTTTGTCCCGGATCCGAGCGCTGACCCCCGTGCCGGTGAAATATTTTTTTTACTTTACGGCTCCCTTTCAGGGTCTCCGCTGTTTTCAACTTATCAGGAATTCATTTTCACTCAGGGAGAGAATCCCGCCGGGCCGATACGCTTTCCTTAACCCTAGCGCTATCCGTTTTTTGACTTGGATGACTCTTCTTGTCCAATCGTTCCAGATTTGTCGACTCTCTGTCCAGATGAGAGATAGCATTAATTATGGATTTATTGATTTGGACGAAAGGCGTTGATGATCCTTCATTGACAGAGACAAGAAGAAAATGGTTTGCCTTGTTACAACTTATCTGCTCAATCGTCCAAACCAAATCCAATAAAGTCTATATTTCATGCTTTTTAATATTCGAGTTCCCTAAAATGCCTTTACAATTAAAATTGAGGGTTCAAGAACAACTCATAAAACTGAAACTGAAAAGCAATACATCATTTGTAAATCATCGAAATATTTCTAACTGTATTGCTTATTATTCTAATGTGTGTACAATTATTTAAATTGTCTGTTTTCAATGTGACTGTTTGTACAAATATTTAATTTATAAACGTGCTGAGAATAACAAACCAAAATATAGAAAAAAATATGAAATGATTCAATATTGATGTTAGCTTTGTCACAAAGATGGCACAGTTCATCTTGTTCTCCTTTCCAACTGTCCAGGCATTTCATACAATTTACCGAAAAACTATAAGATGTTTTTTTTATACAAAATTTCACAGTTTTAAAATCTAACAGATTGGTCATGTTTGAGTGAGTATTCCATTGGAGAGCATTTTTTATTTTTTGTTTAATTATATCAAATCATTAGTGTAAGTTACGAACTTACAGTAAATATTGATGTTAGTTTTGTACCAAGGAGGGCATAGTTCATCTTGGTCTCCTTTTCAACCAGATATGCATTTCATAGAATTTACCAAAAAAAAAAAACAAAAAAAAAACACTGTAACATGTTTTTTTATACAAAATATCTGTTTTAAAATCTAACAGATTGGCCATATTTGAGTGTGTATTCCATTGGAGAGTATTTTTGTTTAATTATATTAAATCATTAGTACAGTACATATTGCTATTAGTTTTGCTTGTTACCCTTTCCAACCAGATAGGCATTTCATAGAATGTACCAAAAAAACTATAACATCTTTTTTTATACAAAATTTCTCAGTTTTAAAATTAACAGATTGTCCATATTTGAGTGTATATTGGAGAGTATTTTTGTTTAATTATATCAAATCATTAGTACAGTACATATTGCTATTAGTTTTGCTTGCTACCCTTTCCAACCAGATAGGCATTTCATAGAATTTACCAAAAAAACTATAACATCTTTTTTTATACAAAATTTCTCAGTTTTAAAATTAACAGATTGTCCATATTTGAGTGTATACTCCATTGGAGAGTATTTTTGTTTAATTATATCAAATCAGTAGTGTAATTTATGAACTTACATTACATATTGATGTTAGTTTTTGTACCAAGGAGGACATAGTTCATCTTGTTCTCCTTTCCAACCAGACATATATTTCATAGAATTGACCAAAAAACTAATATTTTTTTATACAAAATTTCTCAGTTTTAAAATTAACAGATTGGCCATATTTGAGTGTGTATTCCATTGGAGAGCATTTTTTATTTTTTGTTTAATTATATCAAATCACTAGTGTAAGTTACGAACTTACAGTAAATATTGATGCTAGTTTTGCACCAAGGAGGGCATAGTTCATCTTGGTCTCCTTTCCAACCAGACAGACATTTCATATAATTTACCAAAAAAACTATAACATCTTTTTTTATACAAAATTTCTCAATTTTAAAATTCACAGATTGGCCATATTTGAGTGTATATTCCTTTGGAGAGTATTTTTGTTTAATTATATCAAATGATTAGTACAGTACATATTGACGTTAGTTTTGTACCAAGGAGGGCATAGTTCATCTTGTTCTCCTTTCCAACTGGATAGGCATTTCATTGAATTTACCAAAAAACACTGTAACAAGTTTTTTTATACAAAATTTCTCAGTTTTAAAATCTAACCGATCGGTCATATTTGGCATTTCGTAGAATTACCAAAAAACTGTAACATGTTTTTTTATACAAAATTTCTCATTTTTAAAATCTAACCGATCGGCCATATATGAGTGTGTATTCCATTGGAGAGTATTTTTGTTTAATTATATCATGTCATTAGTACAGTACATATTGACGTTAGTTTTGTACCAAGGAGGGCAAAGTTCATCTTGTTCTCCTTTCGAATTCATAGAATTTACCGAAAAACTGTAACACGTTTTTTATATGAAATTGTTTAATTTTAAAATCTAACAGATTGGACCATATTTGAATGTGTATTCCATTGGAGGGTATTTTTGTTTAATTATATCGAATCATTAGTGTAAGTTATGAACCTTATTTTAAGTCAACAGCATATATTTCCACATCTCCATGTCATGATCTTTTCATTATGTTCAGATATGTTAAAATCTGCCATCCTTCCTTGAAGTAGTTCTTGTACATTTACCCAGTGCTTTCGTAGCATTTAAACATTGAACAAACGTGAGTTTTCTTAGTTTGACTCTTTTTCTACTACCAGTACCTCCATGTATATCCATATCACCTACCTCCATATCAGAACCCATGATTTTTAAAGATGAAAATGTTGGTTAACGGTTGGAAAGTGATTTGACCCCGTGTCCACGATACCTAATAGTTGACTTTTATAGTCTGTGAATACATATAAAAAAAATCAGTTTATCTCATTGATTGGAAAGCATCTCTGCCTGGCACGTAACTTATTTTAAACCATAAACCTTAAATTGTTGTCTCAGCAAACATGCTATTTGGCTAGGGAATTCTCTAATCTTTACTACAATTTATTGTATCAGGTTTAAGCAATTGACTTTGTTTTTAGGCAAATTGATTTATATTTGCAGCATCTCTATAATTTGGTTCTTTGCATGATGTTAGGACGCATTGAAAACAATCATGCTGATTTGACGACATATAAGCCCAAAAAAACAGCATTTTACCCACAGATTCGCTCTAATTAATTTGTGCAGTTATATTGAAAAATAAAAATTTCCGAGCCACATAATTATCGTGTTGATTGGGAGGTACATTTATCAATTACAAATAGCTATTTTATGCTTAGCTAGTTTGATCCATACAGTTCTCAAATCTTGGCATTTATTCAATTAGTTTTTCAATAACATTTCAAATATTGACTGGCATTTATTTTAAGCACACGGAAATATTAGTCCAATTATGCTATACCAATGACTTTGGCCTTTTAAATTTAAGACAACAATCCAATTATTACAATGATCAGTATCATGGAATTTAGTACTCAGATTAGTACAAATTGTTGTCCCAAAAAGGTAACTGTTTGTAAAGTATCTTCTTCTACGTGCAATTGCTAATCGTACTTTATTTTAGTCTAGTTTGGAATAAATATTTGTACAAACTATCAAATTATCATACTGATAGAAAACATCTTTGTTTCACAGCCAAGCTGTTTATGGCAGTCCCAAATCTGCATTGTATTTAATCAAAATATTAAGTAGGCTGATATACATACCAAGGTCATATACTTTTTCCTGTATGATTACAAGCAATTATTTTTTATTTATATTCTAGTAATCAGTGTATTTTAGCATTTTATTGACAAATAAAGGGGGATCGCAGTGGCCAAGTGGTTTTTGCCATGCTAGTGGTTCTTGGTTCAAATCTGGGCAGAGCCCATGATTTTTTAATTGAACGTATGAAAATGTCTTATAAAATAGTTTGACCTCTTTTCTGCAACACCTAATAATTGGATGTTAAGCCCTCCGGTATGACAGTAATCACTGAAATTACTTTACTTTGATTGAGAAATAAACAAAATATTGTGATGTACTATGTTGAGGTATGATAATTTAATCATAAGCTGTTTCATGGTTAACTTTCTCAATAATTATCCAATAATCCTGTTGATTGGTAAACATCCTTAGCCTATTGGCAATGACAGCACATTTTCACCCTAAAAATTATCACAAGAATAATGGTATAAATAAAATCATCAAATATGTTTATGGTTAAACCGAATTTACCAAGTTATAACCCATTCATTATCTTTACATATGTTAGATGCTATACAGGCATTGATTGAATATTTGCTAAAAAGCAACAGAATACCCACATATTCCCAATCAGCGTTTGTATGCTTAATATAGGCTCATAAATTGTTGTGGTTATATTGTAATTATCATGCCTAGGACTTATTCCTAGGCAAAAATTAAATTATTAAGCAATTAGATGTAGATGTATTATTCGGGGTTATTATTATATTGCACCCTTTGAGAACTGTTGAATCACCCGTTGTGTGCTTATAGCACACCAGTGAGTTGTATACCATTAAGGAATTTGATTAGTAGGCCTGGTTTCAGTGGTTGAATCTCTTCTATGGTTACAATGTACATCCCAAAGCACTTCCTCCTGCAGGCAAGTGTTGCACCACGGTTTGTCAGTAGGTGTGTTGGTGTTTCCTCTGCTTCTTTGCAGAATCTGCACGTGCCGTGTTGGGTTTTGCCAGTGTTCTTTTGTTGTCGATTTAGTTTTCTGTTATTTTCTGTTAGGATTCGCAGTTCTTTTCTGCTTCCTTTAATGCATTCTGTTACCTCTTTCCTTCCAAAGTTTGTTAGTTCTTGGATTATCCATCATTTTCCTTTTATCATAATGTCTGAGGTGCTCATTGATATTGTGGATTCCTATGCCAAAGAAGGGATCGGATCCTTTTAAGGGATATAGCAGCCCTTTTTGGCTGGGCACCCACTGCCTCGTTGCCTTCTACTCCCACTTGTCCTGGGACCCAGCATAGGGTGACTTTGTTTTGCATAACTAATTTGTTTAGTTTAGTTTTGCAATTCAGCACCTTTGAACTGGGTATATCTCGATTGCATGAACTTCAAAAGTATAAGAATTTGGGAAAAGGAAATTTCTTCATGAAATATTCTTATTTTTGAACCTTTTGTTCATATTGGACTGGGTATATCTCTCGAATGTATGGACCTCATCCTGGAAGATACTGCTGGGGTATTTGCCAATTTATCATCTTAGAGCTAATGATGTCTGAACATAGCGTTTTGATGACTACTTGGCTATTAGACATGATTCCTCATCATGAAGTATTCTTATTTTTTAACCCTTTGTTCAAATTGAACTGGCTATATCTCTCAATTGCATGGAATTCAGCCTGAAAGATACTGGGGTATTTGCCCATTTTATCATCTTAGAGCTAATGATGTCTGAACATAGCGTTTTGATGACTACTTGGCTATTAGACTTGAGTCTTCTTCATGAAGTATTCTTATTTTTGAACCCTTTGTTCAAATTGAACTGTGTATATATATCTTTCGATTGTATGGACTTCAGACTGGAAGATATTTATGTATTTCCCATCTTTGAGCTAATGATGTCTGAACTTAGCATTTTGATGACTACTTGGCTATTAGACATGATTCCTCTTCATGAAGTATTCTTATTTTTGATTATTTTTGAACCCTTTGTTCAAATTGAACTGGGTATATATCTCTCTCTCGATTGTATGAACTTCAGCCTGGAAGATACTTAGGTACTTGCCCGATCTTTGAGCTAATGATGTCTGAACTTAATGCTTAGATGGCTGCTTGGCTATTAGACATCATTCCTCTTTATAAAGTATTCTTATTTTTGAACCCTTTGTTCAAATTGAACTAGATATATATCTCTCTCTCTCGATTGTATGAACTTCAGCCTGGAAGATATTTAGGTACTTGCCCAATCTTTGAGCTAATGATGTCTGAACTTAATGCTTAGATGGCTGCTTGGCTATTAGACATCATTCCTCTTTATAAAGTATTCTTATTTTTGAACCCTTTGTTCAAATTGAACTAGGTATCTATCTCTCGATTGCATGGACTTCAGCCTGGAAGATACTGGGGTATTTGCCCATTTATCACCTTAGAGGTAATGATATCTGAACTTAGCGCTTTGATGGCTGCTTGGCTATCTGATAGGATAGCTATATTCTCATTTTTGTATCCTTTACTTAGATTGAATTGGGTACATCTATCAATTGTGTGAACCTCAGCTCAGATGATTCTGGTGTATTTTCCTGTGGGTTCTGAGTATTTGATTCCAGGACCAAATACTCCTGCCTCCTTACCATCTTCCGTTCTAGATCTTTCTGTGAACCTGTTGGTGGCATTCTTAAAGGAGGTGTTTTTCTTTCTTTCTCATTAAGCAGTTAACATGAGCTGTTCTGTACATATGCAAAAACGTATTAAAAAAATTCATTATCTTGTTAATCAGAAATCTTTGAAGACCTTTAATGTTATGAAACTATCCTTTATTATAATTTTTATTTCATAATCAGCTTTCTTGTTAAATTAATAATTTAAAATGCAAATTTGGTTAATTATTGATGTAATGCTTGTCATGTCATGTAAAAGTTCTCAAATTGCATTGTGTTGTTGGTGCTCACCGTTTTGTCTGTACGCAGAGCTGCTTAACCACCCTGTCATAAAGTATGTAAGGTTATGAGTTGTAAGGTGTAATAAAACCTGAGGAGGTTGATCACCGTTTTATTACTTGAAAAAAAAAGAAAAAAATCTGTAGTTAGGTCGTTTGACTTCCATTTAAATATCATTTATTATGTTTGTATTTTTAAATTTTTTTTCTGACACTATCGAAAATCCAGCATTGGCATGGCGAGGTGATTCAATATTTTTCTGACTGACCACCTGAAATATTATTAACTTTCATTTTGGTATTTTTAATTATATAACACAATTAAGAGCAGGAAATTATCTATTAAAGGAAAGTTATCTAAATTTATATATATAATTATAATTAAAACACAAAATTTCACGGTATTGAAAGTTTTTGTAGCCAATTATATTTTGTTGTACAAAATTAAACAGCTTATATTTTCTATTCCATACTATCATTAGAATTTATTATAATAATCCATTGTGCTAAAATGTGTGACTTTTGTAAATCAGCCTAATCATTCTTCATTATTGTACAATAATTGGAGGTTCGTTTATCTGCATTACAAAATGTCCTATAAGCCTAAAGCTAGTTTGAAAATGCTTGTCTGAATTATGTTAACAAAAACAAATTTCCTTAATTCTTACAAAGTTGAAGCATGTAAATGTATGAATTTTGTTTAGACATAAAAATATCAGTCATATTGATGAAAAAATACAGGTAAATTGGCTTTTGGAGACATTAAACATATCAAGACATGTAAAGATTTGTGGTTATAACATGAAGTGAATGCACAATTGATATTTTTAAATTATTCTCATCTTACCTGTTTTTCATAGAAGGATAAAAGACGCGGCCACAGGGCCTTTTTCACCTCGACCTGAATAGATCTATTGTGCTCCCCTGTTTTTATAACTCATTGGCCAGCTTCAGGTTGTTAATCAGCCTCCACAGCTTTGCCAGCTGCTCCTTAGTGAAGGATCTTGCTTGTTGTTTTGCTTGTCCTAGTTGCAAGAACCTGCACCTACCTTCACAGAAACATAGTGTTCTGTGGACTCCTCCTCTCGTCCTAGCAGTATATGCACAATACTTCTTCTGTCTGTACTCCTATCTTCTTTCTGCTTAAGAAGCAATGCCCTGTCAGGAGTCCAACCAGAATCCTGGTTTGGTTGTGGTTGCCTTCCAGTAATCCTTTTGTAAGCCCTTCTAAGAAGCTCTTCGCGTGCCTCATACCTGTAGTATTGTTCCACCAGGTTTTGGACTCATTAAGGATCCATTATCCTCTTTTGCGACAGGATGCTAAACCACAGTAGGGTTTAGGACCTGGAGCCCATGTTGGCTCCCCAGTTGACCAGCATGTCAACCTTTTCATTGTCTCTACTCTCTATGCCCTGAGTGCTCTGGAACACATACCAGGGTCAGGTCATTAGTGTCACTGACTTCCGTCAGGGCCTCCGTGCAGTTCCAAACACTTTGCTCCGCATGAGGCTAGGGCCCTTAGTGCTGCCTGATGTCAGAGAAAATGGTTATCTTCCTAGGAATGTATTCCTAGCCTTTTTATTTCTCTGGCGCAGTGTTCAATCGCTATAATTTCAGACTGCATATTTACCTAGGTTTACTGTCAGTTCGGTCTTTGGGTTCATCCCGAAGACTCCAGTTACCGAGCCTTGTCGGTTTGGAGCTGTCAGTGTACCAGTAGGAGGTTGCCTTTAGCAGTGTTCATTTGGTCCATTCTTCCTATTCTGGTATTAGAACCATGTAAATTTTAGTATTTTGGAGTAGTGGCATCGATTGGCATGCCTAAAATGGCAATTGCCTGTATCTCCTCCCTCACTTTTCATTGTTTATTTACACGGCCTATCCTTACAGATGATTGTCCATTTATGAACCTGTGGGCTGCTGCTCTGGCTTCTCCTTGGATTAAAATGAAGTGTGGGAGGTTTAACAACACTTCCAGGGCCACAATTGGCGTTGCGCTCATGGCTCCAGTGCCACTGGGTCAGGCTTGTCTTTAGGTGCCAATTATTAGGTGCCTGATTGCTTTGGCCTGCAGAGTCTTGGTCCACCACACCACCGACCCATTGTCAACATTGGTCTTAAGTGTGGTGATTAGTGACTGTTAATCGATAATTATTCAGAAATCGTGAGATGCGGTCTGGTGTGATGAAGGTTCCAGAAAAACATTTTCTTTATCGTGCCAACGTTTCAATCTTTATTGAGATCATCTTCAGAGCTCAAAGTGTTTGTCTTCTGTGTAATTGTGCCATTCTTGCATGTCGTGTTGAGAGTGCACAATTACACAGAAGACAAACACTTTGAGCCCTGAAGATGATCTCAATAAAGATCGAAACGTTGTTACGATTAAGAAAATGTTTTTCTGAAACCGACATCACACCAGACCGCATCTCACGATTTCTGAATAAATATTGGTCTTAAGACGCAGATTTATAGCCACAGGGTCATTTTGGGGTTTAAACCCTAGTTCAGAGAGGGAATATTTAACTATAATGCATACATCAAATAAAAACTTGCCATCATATTTGTTTCTATAGTTAAATTTTGTATATTTATTCTTTTTGAGAAAGATAATGAATAAAAGTCAAATAAATATATTTTAATGTTATTTACAAGTAAAAATCTTTTTCTTTAAACTTTTTAAAATCACTACAAATTCATTAAATTGATGGATATGACAAGAGAGGGTAAAAGGCTGTAATTTTTTTACTGTTTATTTTATCTGCAGGTTTTATGTCCTGAGTCGGTTAAAAAATTGGGTTTTAAATTCTTTATGCTGCGGCTATAAAAATTAAAAAAACAAACTTATCCAAATCATTTTCTCAAATGGATTTTTAAGGCTGGCTCCTTCCTCTTGTAAAACATGGTATTCAGTCGCTCGAGAAGGGAAAATAATGTTATTAGGCCGTTTTGTACAGCGTTTCTATTTTGTTTTTTCGCGATTTCAGGTTTGAACTTCCAGTTTCTTCGAAAGGTACGTGGAAATTTTTTTTATGTAGTGCATGGATGTATTCGGCCATTTGACCATAACACATACACCATTAACACTAGGTTTACATCAATTGCAAGAAGTTAAGTCTACTTACAAAATTTTTTGACAATAAATTAATAAATGAATGATTTATTTAAAAGAGAATAGTATTTTTGAGTCCCTAGACCACAAGATTTTAGAATTTGGAACTAAAATATAAATATGAAGAACACAATTGTTTAACACCGTATAGTTAGTTAATTTTAGTTATTAATAAATAATCTAACATATCAAAATAATGAATTGAAGTTTAATTTTATTTTTGTCCAGCTTTTAACATTTTGAATTTCCCTCAATTAGAAATAGAAAATATTCCAGATCGATCCAATTTCATTCAAATAATAAAATGAAATATGCATGTTTTAAAAAATATTTTTTATTATTCAGTTAAATAGTCCATAACACAAAATTTATATCTATATTTACCAGCTATTCCAGTCTAAACAATTTTTATTTTCACAATTGATATGCTTCATTCGTCCCGTAAAAATTAGAGTTACAATTCGAACTTGTACAGAATAAAATAATTAAAATACGTTAAATGTTAATTTTACACGTACCAACATTGTAATAAAAATGGCCAATACTTGTAGCTTTTCCAAGGCTATGCAACGGAACCCATCGTAGAAATCACAAGGTGCGAATTTGTCAATGAAGCAATAATACAAAATTAACGGTAAATTATAAAACTCACACGCTTTATCGGTTCTGAGATTGTACATATTTTATTGTGATAGTGTAACAGTGTAGACCGTCAGCATACTCCTGAAAAGATGACAATTTTTTTTTTTAAATCTGAAACAGTAAGTATTATATTTGCATTTTATTATATTATAACTACCATTATAACAATACCTAACTATATATATTTTATTCTTTTTTAGAAAAAAAAAAACAAAAAAAACTGTTGTTATTGTTTTTTTATTTTTTGTTTCTTTTCCTCAGCCTTGTTTCAGGTTTTATCTAAATTGTAAATTTTCTATTAGTTGTTTTGGAAGGTATACTTTTACATATCAAAATGGTAAGTACAAAACAGTAAAATGTTAAGATTTTCGATTTTACTTGCGGGAAATATTTGAATAAATGTGTTTTCAAATTTTTTTTTAAAGATTATAGAAAACAAATTAAGTAGATAGTTATCTACTGTTATATTAACTTATTAGTTAATAGGGTTATAATTTAATTAAAATGATGTGTATTCTAATATTAATAACAGAGATTCTTTATACTATTCATAAGATAAATACTGGTACAACTTATAATTAATTGCCTTTACTTCATAACACTTTCAGTTTTTTTCAGGTTTAGCTTTATTTATTTAGTGATTATTATTGTTATTATTAATTTTTAAGGGCGTTTTAACGGCTAAGGTCATTTCATGCCCTAACATCCAAACCTTCTATCTTAGTTTAGTTATATCCCTTCTGAGTGCTATAAAGTTCTGACTCCAAACATTCACTTGTAAACTAATTGCCATCCAAGCTTTAATTTATCCTTTTAAAATTCTTAATTTGGAAGGCCAAATGTAGACAAAAATCCCATTTTAGTGATTATTATTATTATTGTTATAGTGTGTAGAAAAGGTAGTTTTTTTAAATCTGTATGATTTTTTAATAAATAAAAATGCTTTTCTTATATTGCGTTATTTTACTCACACCTCATTACCTTTTTTATTGTCTAATGAATGACTGAGATGAATCAAATATTATATATACAATATCAAATATGATATATATATAATACAAGTTAGAAAGAGTTTTTAACAAACATTCGAAAAAGTACATGAAATATAGAATATGTTGTCAACTCATAAGATACAAATAAAAAATGGACTACAGTTATTGAAACAATTAATTGGAAATTGTACAATTTTTATAATAGTTTTTTATAATTCAAAATGGGAAAATTAATTTGATTGGAAGAAGAGATTAAATAAACAGTAGTAAAAATTTATATAAAATTGAATAAATTGGTTATATTTAGTGGTCTATTGACCAAATTAATTCTTTCAATTAATTAATCTTTGTACGTAAGGTTTTGGTTGAAATGAAAAAGTTAGCGTCACGATCAGGATTCAAACCCAGCCAAAGGTCAAGGGTTTGAATCTCACTCGTGACACTAACTTTTTCATTTCAAACAAAACCTTACGTAAAAAGATTAATAAAATTTAATGTCGGACTACAACAGTTTATTTATTGGAATAATCTGTTTTATCACTTGGAATAATCGGTCTGGCTGGGCCGATCATGGACCAAGGCATGGGGGCTTCCCAGATGGATGTTGACTATATATAATGTAAACAGTTTTTATCCATATCCAGGAAAAGGGCTCTAAACATCAAGTGAAAATGTATAAACAAATAACTTTGTAGGTGAGCCCTAGGCTTCGGTTGGCTATAGGCACTGGGCGGGCCTTCACCCACAACCGTCAATCAGTGGTCTTACCCTCCCAATTCTGTACAATCACAAAATATGAGCATATTTCAACGGGAAAAAAAGTTGGCATAAAGAAAGCAGTTTGTCGCATAAACTCGATTATCTTTTAGTTCTTTTTTCTTAATTCAAAATAGTCACAAATAATTTTTTGGTATTTAAAAACTTTTTTGTTGAAGCAGTTATTGAATTTTATAAATATTTATCCTATGATTTACCATTAAAACATTATACTTAGATTGTAATGTTTACATATTTTGGTTGGAATTTAAAATGCTTATTATTTGTAACAAAATCTTATGGTAGTATTCAACATAGAAAAACCCCAAACTAATTATTTATGCTCATTATTCTTAACAGTATTTTTGAATTAGACTCCATAAAAATAATTATGAGAATGTTATAACATTTTGCCTATGAGTTGTTGATGGGTTGACATAATTTTATTAGCTTGATAGGGCTGTATGTTTGCACAAAAACATATTCAACAGGTATTTTATAAGAAAATGGTTAGAAATTAGGTGGGTGTTATAAGCAGTGATAAAAAATATATTTCAAGCAAAAAGAAAAATACTAAATTTTGTTAGGGAGGGTAGTTTATTATTTGTTTTGATGTTGACCTTGTGATGCTTAAAGGGATAACAATAATTCTGTATTGACCAAAATTGTTTTTTCCAGCTCCAAACAGGATTGTGATAAGAAAAAAATTAAAATATATTTATTTGTTAGATATATTTTGTTTGAGGCCTGGATGGTAATGTACCTTGACCTGGAGATTAATTTATGAACAAACTTTTCACAGTTTTTGAATTTATGTTTGATTCTGAAAAAGAAAAAAGTCTTATATACAGTGTTTTCAAATTGTTTTCCTTTGTAGATTCGACCATGCGTAGTCATTTATGATATTAATGCTACAAACTGCAGAACATTTAAGCAATGCTCAAATGCACCTGGAGCATTCTCTGGTAACACACTGTATTTATTAACAAAACACTGTCTACATGTAATAGTATCAGTCTTAAAATGTTACATTGTTATTATTATTATTAATAATAATATGTGTTTTTTTAGTGACTGGTTGTTTAATAATTTATTGGAGTTGTGAGAATGAGTTAGTTTAGAAAAACACCTTTTTCGTTTTTTTTGCTGACGTTCCGACCTTTATTCGGGGCATCTTCAGGGCATAAACTGTGGTGCTATTCTAGTGGTGTCGTGTTGGTTTTGTGTGAAATTGTTGTGAATAGTACCACATTTTATGCCCTGAAGATGCTCCGAATAAAGGTCGGAACGTCGGCAAAAAACAATAAAAGAGGTTTTTTCTAAACTACCTCATTCTTGACTGCTTCTCATGACTCCAACGAATTAATAATAATAAAGAAGTAAATTCATTGAATTTGAAATTTTTTGATTTATATAAAGAAATCTACAATAGAAAATGGGCGATAGTCCATCTGACAGATTAGTGGTTTCATCGAATAAAGCACATTAATAATAATTGAATAACAGAGGAAAATTATAAATATTATAATGATCTATGGAATTTGTAGATATATTTTATTTTTAACTTACAGATAAAATCATTAAAGTATTAATGTAATAATTCTTTCCTCCAAACAAATAACATTTTCATTTTTTTTCTTAACAATCTGCATGCAAGTATTATAAACAATATCCAAATACATGCCCATGCAGAATATTTTTAACCAGGGTTCTGCGTTGACTCGCCACTGTTTACATACGAACAATAACCCTTACAATAATGTGTGAACATTATTATTTTTAAAAAAAGTTTTATAATATTTATTGTACAAGGAACAAGAAATCTCACTGCTCTGTATTATTAATTTTTAACAATTGTCATAATGACAGTATGAACTTTGTGGTAACAACGAAACACAATGCATATGGAATTACTTATGATGATCGCTCCAAGTTTTCAAAAGGAATATTCAGGTAATTTTTAAAATACATAAATAAATTTAAAAAGAAAGAGATGGAACAGTAGCTGAAAATTAAACTACAGTTCAATTTACTGAGAAGGTGTACTTTAAAACTAAGAAGGGTAAGTTTATTATCAAATTTTTAATTTTTTTTAAATTTTCAGAGGAGTAAAATTTTGTAAGGGTGCTTTCTAAAGGTATAAACATTCGTTTTACTCAACTGTTATAGCAAACCAGTTCAGTTTGTTAATTTAATGCTTTCAGTATATCACCTTTTCTTCTATGAAATTGAAAGGTAACATTTGATTGGATTAAAGCTTTGTTGAAATTCGATGAGACATGAATGAAGTAAGTTGATATTGAGATAAGATTAAGCACATTTAAGTTTTCTTTTGATTTTTTAAAAATATATTTACAGTACAAAGGATTATACAAAATTTACAGTTTATTAATGTATCGGAGCTTTCCTAATGCACAAACAAATTGAATTTCAGGCACAACGAAAACGAGGTTCATGTGTGACTGCGGAAAGTCTTACAAGCACAAGCCGAACCTCTTGAACCACAAACGGTTGGAATGTGGAAAGGAGCCAAGCTTCCTCTGCCCTTACTGTCCTCATAAGTCAAAACAGAAAGTCCACATTAAGGTGCACATAGCATCGAAGCACATGCATATGAACAATATTGTGTAAAATTGTAAAACTGTACATATATAATAAAAATTGAATTTGACCGACTGTCGATTAAGAACCTTTGAATCTTTGAAAAAAAGGGGGGTTGTGATGTTTTACTATGCAGTGAAATTTTGCTGAATTAACACCTTTTTGATACTCGCACTTAGTAGTTGTTGTTTAAAAGCCCAAAAAGCACTTAGTTTGAGAAAGAGCACGTTTCGAAAACTTTGGCCTTTGTAAAAGCTGGACAAAGTAATAAAACGTTTTTCAGAAAAGGAAGAAGTTGAAACTTCGTATTTGGGGGAGGAAATGAAATTTCATATGACCCAAAGAATGAAGGCGTCCTACGGTTACAAGGATGCGGAGTTCGCCTGCAGGAGGTGCGGTTTCAGGACCAAGAGGATCAACTCGCTCAAGAGCCACATGTTTTTCACTCACCACGAAATATTTTCATGATACAAGTTTTCAAATAAAAAAGTCCCATAACGTCACCTCTGCCGGCCTCTTCATTTTTCAGTTTTATTCCTGTTATAATTTTACACTGTTAACTTTCAGGAGTAAAGGCGAATGCTTCGGAAGAGTACCGATGCTCAAAGTGCGACAGGACTTATAAATACAAGAGGAGCCTGGCTCAGCACGAGAATTACGAATGCGGGCAACTTCCTCGTTTCCACTGCCCGCACTGCGATTATAAGTCCAAACAAAAAATACACCTTAAGATCCACATTGCCAAAAAACATGCTAAAATTTATGATTTATGAAAAATCGGTTTAAAACAATGACTTATTAACGGTTGTTATCGACTTACCTTTCAATATAAATTTGTGTATAAATTGTCTAAATTTTTTAAAATAACCCACCTCACCACCTATTAAATACATACAAAATATGTCCGTAGGTATGTTTTTTTTCTAGTCTGTCATCTTGCTAAAGTGGCAAAAACTTGTATGTTGTTCAAAAATATTTCCGTCTTCAATAATAATACTTGGATATTTTATTGGATGAATAATACATAATACAAAAAATAAAAAAGTATAATCATATTCGTCTGCTGGAGGACAGAGCATGGACGAATTTTCAACTGCAAACTTGGTTCATTTAGAAGAGCGACTAGTTCTTCTGAGAGAACTAGCGGTTAAAGTAAAAAGTGCGAACTGCTGGCAAAATAGTACATTTTCGTCAAAAATTCAGTTCAGGTCTCAGATTTGTTCGAATTGTCAATTTAAGCATATATACTTGACAAAACATACTATAAAAAAAGGCTGTGAACAGGCAGTATGATTTTTTTTAACACCCAAAGCCAATTTTGATGATATTGAATCCCACGTTTCAGAGTTAGATTTTGGGACAATAATGCGATTTTTGTAGGGGTTTTTAAACTGAATTTACTTTCAAGCCTTGATGGAGCCGAAACAAGCTGCTGTCATATTTCAACAACAATCAGCATGGTTTTTAGCCAAAACCCTTTGTTAGAAGTAAGTACAATTATAGAATCCATGCTGAACTGTAGGGTCACTTATTGAGTCTGTCTTCACTCATGTGTTTGTTAAATTATTCAAACTCTTGTCAGCTATTGCGCCATCTTCAGTGAGGAACTCCCAGCATCAGATTCACTTTTTAAATTCAAATCCAGTACTATTTATGTTTTTGGGCTGAAGATGGTGAAATTCTAAACTGAATGAGGAACTAAGGAATAGTTCCTCACTGAAGATGGCACAATGCCGAAATGTGTTTGAGTATTCAACAAACCCGCAAGCCAAGACGGGTATAAGTGACCCTATGCTGGTTCAGTACGAGTTCGCTGGCTCGCAGACCAACCTATCAACATCAGAATGAAAATATTTACTACTGAGGGTGTCAAATCTCTTTTTTTCAGTTTACAGTAACTCGGGGATTTATAAAGACGTTGGGTTGTTCTGCCTGTATTTTTGTGTGTTTCTCTGCAGAAACGCTTGGTATTTTTTGAAGGGAATTTTTGTCCATGAATTCCACAAGACTTGTTTGGAACAAGTTCGTCACAACAGATTTTTCTTCCGATCTTCTTTTTAATTTTGTTTTTTGTCTGTCAATGCCCGCAGGTACCGTCTTCCAGTGTCCTACCTGCCCCAGGACGTACAGGCACAGGACATCTCTAATCAACCACCGGCGGTTCGAATGCGGAAAGGACCCGAGCTTCATATGCCCCTTCTGCCCCTACAGGTCTAAGAGGAAAGCGACTCTCCAGGGTCACATGATATCCAGACATGCCGAAGAAATCCGACAACCCGGGATGCCAAATAGCTAATCCCAACGGGTCAAATTTTAACAAATCTTTATAACGGTTTTAAAACGCATACCTTAAAAGTATATAAACTTGTAACTTTTTTTAAATGATAATTTTTACGGACTGTCTGGTCTTTTGGAAGGTCCACCGGAGAATTTCTCGGTACGGTGTCGAAGGAAAATCGTCCTTGTTTCAGGCATCAAATAGAGAACGCCCTAAGAATGCTTCTAGTGGGAAAAAAGAAGAGTTCCACCGTTGTTCCTATATACCAAGCAATAAAGTTTTTTTAGGCGCATTTGTCTAAACAAAACTTGTCTTGTATTCTTAATTTAAATAAAAACAATTTTTTACATTTTGTTTCGTACCTTAAGTCTTGTCAATCGGAAAACAGAAATAACCATAAAAGGAAGTTTGTTCAATCAGGATATGGTGACAGATGATATCATTAGAGTTCAATCCAGCAGAATCCACAATAAAAAATGTCCAAAGGTTGACTTACTTCTTCCCTCTTCCCTTCCTGCCTTTTACATCCATATGAAACTTTTTAATAGAAAAATTTCAGTTATCCAACGGTTAATGGTCTTATGACAACTACTGCCATAACCTAAGAAAATAGAAAGACCTGATTTTCTCTTCGTCGTTAAAAAAAATGTGTGGTGATTAGTGACTGTTAATCGATAATTATTCAGAGATCGTGAGATGCTGTCTGGTGTGATGTAGGTTTCAGAAAAACATTTTCTTTGAGTCCTGAAGATGATCTCAATAAAGATCGAAACGTTGGCACGATAATAAAATGTTTTTCTGAAACCTACATCACACCAGACCGCATCTCACGATCTCTGAATAGTTAAAACAAATATTTTCTAGAAATTGTACACTGGCCAAGTGATTTTGAAACACAGCTTTAATCAGGCTGACCGAAGAAAAACGCCCTAGTCCATTGAGACATATTCGGTAATGATATATATAAAAAAATGTGCATGTTAATTTCATGTCCTCTCGTCAAATTTTCTGAACAAAAGCTAAAAAGAACCATATATTCTGTTTTTGCTTTTTCAGATGTGTCATATCAGGTCAGGGAAGAGAGTTTCAGTTGCCCAAATTGCACTAGGACTTACAAACATAAAGTCAACTTAACTTCACATATGAAGCACGAGTGCGGTCAGGAGCCGAAGTACCATTGTCCTTATTGTGCCTATAAGTCGAAACGTCTCGGCAACCTCAAGACACATCTTTTCAATAGACATAATGACAAACTGTGACCGTCGTGACGATCGTTTGCTGACCGTTGTTGAACTTTTCCAGGGTCTTCAACGAACCAATCTTTCCAATGCCCGACTTGCCCGAAGACGTACAAGTATAAGCGAAATCTCTACAACCATAAGAAATTCGAGTGCGGCAAACCGCCGGGCTTTTTCTGCCCGTTCTGCGAGTACAAGAGTAAGCAGAAACAGTCCATTAAATCTCACATCGCTTGCCGACACCGAGACAAATTGGAATTCGACTTTAAGATTTAATAAATAAAATTATTGTTAATTTTTTTTTAACTTGTTTTAATAAACCTGCCCTGCGCACTATACCTCCTACTATGCCGTGGGGTTTTGGATCGCACATTTTCATTTTACAGGAAAGACATTTTAAACATTGACTACAAGCTGAAGGGACTTGAAATAGCAAATATTTTATTAACAGAAGGGATGATATAATGTTGACTGTAATATCAAAATAAGACAAATTTTGACGTGGTTTGTCAATAATATATACGCTTGTTTCTTGGGTTGCCAAATTAGCTTTCATAAGGTGCGGTGTTTATGATAATTTATTGGATTGAACTTAATTTATTAGTGTGAACGAAAGGGATTATTTAGCCCTGCCCCATGAGTGTATGATTCTGGAAAGTAAAAGTAATTTATTAGCGAGAATGGAGTGAGTTCAACCCGACCCGAGGAATATCGAGTACTTGGGGGATTGAACGTGACCAGACTTCTACGTTTGTAGTGATATTTATTTTCGACAACCTGAGGTACAAATGAGAGACTAGCATTTTAGAAAATCGACTTAGTTTTCATATAAAAGCAGAATCTGATACAGATCGAGACGCACAAATGGCTGCAAGTTGAAAAATATACATGAAAGTCAAGAAAAAGAAGTTCAAACAACGACGATGACCTCAGTTGTTTGTCGACCCCTTAAATTTTCCCCATTATTATTATTGTGGTGACCACCTGCAGTTACCAAGTCAAGCACTAGTTCAGAAATGATCTCGTCCAGCAAAATGAATAAGCATGCAGCAGTCCTGTTTTTAAGCAGGGGCACTGCCCGCTGACTTCCTCGAAGCCGACCACTCAGCTCAACAGCAAGGGTACTCGCAGCATCAGCTCTCGCTCATGCCTTCTCAACTGCCGATTTGGTTACCGACTACCTGCTGCACGAGTCCTCCCTCTGCCGAGTCTACAGATCCTCTATATCGAACACTGTCAAAGACCTTGACCATTGACTCCACACACACAACACCAGCCCTTATCAAGGCAACCAAAACTCTTGGTCTCTAAAATTATTATTGGAGAGGAATATCATATTTGGGTGTAAGGAGACGATTAGATTAGAAATATAAATAGCAAAACTAAAAAAAAATGTACTCCCCAGAAAAATGAGACCTTTTGTTTGTTTGCCCTTATGTCTTCTGTTTTCATATTTTATTTTAAAACATGCTCTCAACAGCATTTCATAATTTCTGTCCTTAATCTTCTTTTAAACGAATACACTTGTTATTTGTTTGTAGTTTAATTATCCTATTGTACTCGCAAAAGTCGTAACTCTCCTTTTTATCCTTTTCCTGCGTTTACAGAAATTTTTTGACTTGATGACTGCCAACCGCTGATCTTGGCGATTTTTTCTTCCAGACAATGAAATCTTCCCTTGCCCGGAGTGCAACAGGGTGTACCGACGGAAGTCGAGCGTGAAATACCACATGAGATACGAATGCGGGAAAGAGCCTTGCTTTCAGTGCCCTTTCTGCAGCCACAGGTCGAAACAGAAGCAGAACCTGAAGAAGCATGTGTGCTTGAAACACCCTGAACATGTACGCACCTTCGTTCTTTTACAGACATCTTCTTTTCTATTTCATTGTGTTATTTTTTTCAGGCGGCCAGATTCACAACGATGGTCCGAAGGACTTGAGAAGTTGTACGTCGCGGCCAAGTCCCCTTGGACTAACAAAGCAACCGCTTTGGACTTCTGACTAACCGACTTCTTTGTTCTAGACTTAGATTGGACGTGCCAGAGATGTCAAAAGCCATACAAACACAAACGGTCACGCGACGCCCACCTTAAGTACGAATGCGGGAAGCCACCCCTGAACAGTTGTCCTTTCTGCGGACACAGGACGAAGCTCAAGAAGAACTTAAGATCCCACATAATTTTCAAACATGCCGACCAATACAATCAATGAAGAATACGTTAAACCTTTCGAAATGTTAAAAAACAGTATTCGTTAAATGTTTGTAGATTTTCCTAATAAATTTCTTTTAATAGTTGATATTTGTTCTATTTTCAAGAAGAATGCTTGTGATTTTTGCCTTTTGGAAGTTAAAGCACTGCCAGAATAAGAAATGATGGCTCTTTAAAAGCTTTGATCCTTAAAAAAACTCATTAACATTTTTCTTAAAATAATTAATCTTTAAGTAAGTATTGGTTAAGATAAAAAAAAGTCAGTGTCACGACAGGGATTCGAACCCACGACCTTCGGCTAAATACGCCGCTGCTCTACCACTTGAGCTATTTAGCCGAAGGTCGTGGGTTCGAATCCCGCTCGTGACACTAACTTTTTTATCTCAACCAATGCCTTACTTAAAGATTAATTAATTGAAAAGTATTTATTTGGTCAATCGGACCACGAAACCTAATCGATTTTTCTTAAATATGTGGTTTAGGGTCCGTTCCTTGATGATTATTTATTGGTCAATTGACCAAGTTACATCTTTCAATTAATTATTCTTTCCATCTAAGGTCTTGGTCGAGATAAAAAAGTCATTGGCACGAGCTGGATTCGAACCCACGACCTTCGGCTAAATACACCGCAGCTCTACCACTCTCTCAATTTAGCCGAAGATCCGTGAGTTCGAATCCCGCTCGTGACACTAACTTTTTTTATCTCAACCAATACCTTACTTAAAGATTAATTAATTGAAAAGAATTTATTTGGTCAATCGGACCACGAAACCTAATAGATTTTTCTTAAATATGTGATGTTTAGGGTCCGTTCCTTGATGATTATTTATTGGTCAATTGCCCAGGTTACATCTTTCAATTAATTATTCTTTCCATGAAGGTCTTGGTCGAGATAAAAAAAGTCAGTGTCACGAGCTGGATTCGAACCCACGACCTTCGGCTCAATACGCCGCTGCTCTACCACTTGAGCTATCATGACAAGTCGAGGCCGTGGGTTCGAATCTCGCTCATGACATTGATTTTTTTTCTCGACCAAGACCTTACATGGAAAGAATAATTGGAAAATGTAACCTGGTCAATTGACCACTAAAACGTAAATGAATTTTCTAATAATACTACATCATCTATCAAATACAGACAAACCAACATACATTTCCATGCCATTCATTCTCGGCCTATCACATAAATTAAACACATTTCTCTCTTCTGACAACATTAAAACAGCTTTCAAAAACTATAAAACAATTCACGCACTTTTTTCCAAAGTTAAAGTTACCACACCAGTAACAAATAAATCTGACGTAATTTATAAAATCAATTGTTTAAATTGTCAGGCAACTTACCTCAGTATTACATCCCAATATCTGGATAAGAGAGTAAAAGCAACATGTCTATGATTGCAAAAAACCCAAACAAAATCCTACAGCACTGGCTACCTACCATTTTGAACACCAACACAATTTCGACTTCAACAATCCAAAAATAATACACATAGAACAAAACAAACACAAACGTAACTTTTTAGAAATGTTTATTTAGAAATCGTGAGATGCGGTCTGGTGTGATGTAGGTTTTAGAAAAACATTTTCTTTATCGTGCCAACGTTTCGATCTTTATTGAGATCATCTTCAGGGCTCAAAGTGTTTGGCTTCTGTGAAATTGTGCCTTGCGTGTCGTGTCGAGAGGTTTTAGAAATGGTTTAAATCAGCAGGGATAAACACAGCATCAATTACAGAATAGATACATGTAAACTCAGTCGCAGCTACTCTAATATCATTAATCAAATTCAATATAGATAACATACATATATCATAATCATTTCACACAAAACATATAAAACAGTCATCACATTCCACACATCAAACATTTCTACATAGCCTAATTTTTCATATTTCTTTCCTTTCCCTAATATTATCCCCGTATATATAATCCTGAAAGGATAATCAGGCCGAACCATTCCCCCTTTTTTCCTATTGCTGCTGTCGGCTCCTTTCATCTCAAAGAAGCCGACTCGTCATATAAAAATGCCTTTATATTCCCGACTTCCCTCCCCACTCCTTCAAAATCTAAAAAACCTAAAACATCAATATCTCACTGGCACTCTCAACACGACAGACAAGAATGACACAACTACACGGAAAACCAGCACTTTAAGTGAGTACAAAAACTTTGATTGAATCTAAAATTTTTTAGCATTGTATAAATTCTTTTTTTTTTATCTAAAATTTTCTAGCATTGTATAAATTCATTTTTTTCGCATCCTACATGTATTTGTAAAATTTAAACAATGTTTATAAATCCCAGGCCCTGAGGATGATCTCAATAAAGACCGAAACGTTGGCATGATAAAGAAAATGTTTTTCTAAAAATTACGTCACACCAGACCGCATCTCACGATTTCCAAATAATCATTTTTCTTAAATTTAAATTAAAGGATTTGTCGAAAAGGCCATTGTCACCATGAGCCAAATCGACCATTGGTGGAGCAGTACAATAGAACCATGTTTACACTTGACTGTATCGTCTTCATCACAATTTTATTGTTTAATTCACTTGGTTTAATATCGTTTTAACGTTTTCCTATTCTTCTATTAAGCAAATTACAAAAAGGCCTACCATTTATGCCTGCAAACTATTCAAAAGTAAAGTTGAATTTGGATTTTATAATTTCAAATCTGCACTTGTCTGTATATACAGGGTGTTAGTCTAAAATAAGATTTATTTTGAGTGTGAATTCGACCTAGCTGATGACAGCACCTGGAGCCCAATCTTGGTGGCTGGGTGGATAAGACTAAGGTCTGACTCCGGATTGCCAACACCCAGAGTCCTACAATTTATTGCAAATTCCAAAAACTGGAATTGATCTGGGAGAAGTGATAGGCTCTGTACATGAGTGTATACAGGGTTGAAAGTCAATACTGCCATGGTGGATTCACTAAAAAAAAAAAAAACAGTTCAGTGCCACCAGAATGAGGTTTCTGTCTTGGCTCTTTATTGAAATATTAACATTTTTGTGATATTTGTCTAAAAACATAAAATTGTAATTTCTCAATTCTATTATCATTAAAATATAAATCTGACCTTTATTTCGAAAACTACAACAAATTTTCCACAAGTTAGCATTTCTTTTTTTTTAAATACTCAATTGTGGCTTATGCAATGACTTTTCTATCAAAGTTGCCTTATTTTATAAGTATTCCAAGGACATACTCACTTTTACCTTTTTTTAGAGCTTTTCTTAATGAAGTCTACTTTGCAAGGTTAAAAAATGTGACATAGAATCCAAGGAGAGCAGCAACTCAAGAACATCGTAAATGTCATATTTTTAATGAAAACATTTATTACTTGGTAACAAAAATTAGATGCATTCTTCTCATGGCATGACCAGCGAGGTGCCCTGAATTGACCCCACTAGATTTTTAAATATGGAATCACTTAAAAGTTCAGTGTACAGCACACCCATGGAAACAAGGAAACGGCGTGCAATGACATGAGGGAAAGAAGGGAGGAAAATGGATTTTTGTTACCAGCTAATAAATATTTCTAAAAATTATGACATGTAGATATTCTTGGGTTGCTGCTCTCCTCGAGTTCGAGATGACGTTTTTCAACCTAGCAAAGGATATTTCACTAAGAAAAGTTCTAAAAAAAGGTAAAAGTGAGTATGTCCTTGGAATAATTGTAAAATAAGATAACTTGGTGAAATCCCTGAAAATTTTGATGGAAGAGTCATTGCACAAGAACACACAACTATTTAGTATTTCCAAAAAAGGGTTTTGCCATTTGTTATTCTTTGTATGGATACTGTTTATTTGCAAGTGCGCATTTTTCAACGGAAATGTTTTCTCGTGGAAAATTGACTTTATTAATTTACTGTACTTTGCAGCATAAAGGTCAGATTTGAATTTTAATGATGCTAAAGTTGAGAAATTACGTTTTATCTTTTTAGACTAAAATCACAAAAATGTTAATATCTCAATAAAGTGTCAAGATAGAAACCTCATTCTGGCGGTACTGAACGATGTTTTATTTAGTGAATTCACCATGGCAGTTTTGACTTTCAACCCTGCATTCACTCATGTAGAGTTGGGTCTTATCACTAAGTACCAGTTCAATTCCAGTTTTTGTAGTTTGCAAAAAATTACCGGCAGGCCTTGAGAATCACCCACCCCGCGTGTTGTCCGGGGTCAGACCTTGGTCTTATCTGTTCTCCAAGGTTTGGCTCCAGGTGCTGTCATCACCTAGTTCAGATTCACGCCCAGCATATGCAGTTCCTAGATCCAAAACCATTCAAACATTCTTAATTATTTCTACGCCATTCACACAATTAGGGTAGTGGAGTACTCGATATTCTTCCACCACCCTTTACACCTATTATATAATCACCTGACTACATACACACTAATAAATACATTCAGTCTCAATATACACAAAGAAACACAAGACGAATATTTGTAAAGTACTATATGTAGTAAAATAGCCATGTTACCTTTAAAAATTGAAACAGTGGGCCCAGATACTTGCTGCCATAGTACAATTCTAATATTGGGTGGCATCCCTAAGCACTCTATATGGAACCAAGAAATGACATAGGCGGATGATGGTGGTGGTGATGAGGATACTAGGAAGCGAAGTTTGTGCTGCCCAGGCACTGCAGTCTTCTGGCTTATTGTACCTTTCAAGTTCCCTAGTTCGGTGCAATCGACTCACTCTTGCTTCTCAGAAGTCTTAGGTCATTGCCTGTTGCTGCTATAATTTCATTCCCTAGGTATTTTTCTATATGCTAGGTTATGTCTCCATTGAACCGTTGCTTCGCATTCGAAGATGTTATGGGTGGCTGTTTCTTCTTTCTCATTACATAATCTGCAAATGGGATCATCGTTATACATGCCCGTGTTATATAGATGTTTTCTCAGATGTCAGTGACCAATTAATAGCCCTGTCACTCCTCTGGCCCTCTCCTACTGCAGCCGTGAGTTTGCCAGTCTTGGTTAGGGTTGTTTTAGTTTAAGTTTACTGTGTTTAGCGTCCCTAGAGTTTGTCCATTTCTGTTTTTGTTTTATTTGGATCCATTCTGCAATGTAGGATTCTGTATTTGTTTTTGTTATCCCAAGTATATGTTCGGAGCCTATGGTCTTGCAGATCCTCTTCTGCCCAGTCTCTCTGCTTTCTCATTACCCAAAATTCCTCTATGCCATGGCACCCAAGATATCATCAGGTTGTGCTTCTACACGTTTTGGAGATTTTGAATGCATTACTGACTAATTTTGATGTGATTCTTTTACATGCTAATGCTTTAATGACTACTTAGATGCTGGTTAGATCTTACGAGGATTTTTTTGGCAGTGTAACCTCTTAAGATTTTCTAATGCACAAGCAATAGCGGCATGTAATTCTGCTTGAAAGACCGAAGTTTACTTCCTTCGTTTGATTTGGAGCCACTGTATTAAAGAAAGTTGTTCTGCACAGTCTGCAGTATGGCAAAGTATACAGTAAAATAATCTTGTTTCCTTTAAAAATCAGAACATTGGACCAGGTACTCGCTGCTGTACTACAGTTTTCTTATTGGGTGGCATCCCTAATTACTCTCTACATGGAACTAAGTAATGACACCCTACAATTAGGCAGAACATATCAAGCAACCTTTCTCAGGTGTACATTCTTATTTATTTACCTACCATTCATTCAGTTAGGATGGTGGAGTACACACCTTACTTCTGACACCTATAACTAACCTGAGGATCAATGAGGTACCTATTCCTTCATGCTAATAAATCCTTTCAAACCTAATCCACACTTGCTAGGGACCCAAATTGTGTTATATACTATAAATAACCCTGTTTCCTCCAAGAATCGGAACGAGGGACCCAGATACTCGCTGCTTGCTCAAGCACGATTCTCTTCGGGTGGCTCTCCATATGGAGCCAAGGAATTGCTCCCTTCCATCAGGAGGGACACATCAAGCAACCTTTCTCAGCATTCCAGAAACACGCTTGCTTTGGCCGAAAAGTAAATGTCCGTGTGTAAAGTTAAACTTCAATTTATAGCTGATTTTTATTATTGCCTTAAATTAAAAAAAAATGTTTGTTTACTCTTAGGACAATAAGATTTTATCAAATCTCAGAACTAAGTCAATACTAAGTTGTGGGAATTGTCGTTCCATGGAAGGGCTGGGTATATTTTATTTTAAATGTATGCCAGTTTTTTGGGCCCAGTTAAAAAAAGTCAAATTGGAAATACATAATTTATAAGTACAACATATCCCATGATTTCTGTTATTTTTAATGTTTGGACGTTTTTCGCCAGGATACGAACTCTACAGTTGTCCAAATTGCAACAGGCAGTACAGGCATTCTTCAAGCCTTTTTAACCACAGGAAATACCACTGCGGGAAAGAAGCCGTTTTTCAATGCAGCCTTTGCCCACACAGGACCAAGTGGAAGCATCGCTTAAAGACTCACATGGCGTTAAAACATACCGACAGTTGTATATCGGGGTTTTCTGAAAATAAATAAAAATAAGAGCTCAAGTCTTTGATTCCCTGCCCTTTCACAACAAGGACTACCGTGGTAGCAAATGATCTGACATTATGCTTTTTCAGGACAGGAAAGTTTTCCTTGCCCGGATTGCCCAAAACAATACAAACACGCAACCAGTCTTTTTACTCACAGGAAATATGAATGTGGGAAAGAGCCTCAGTTCCATTGTACCAGTTGTAATTACAAGTCGAAGAGGAAGCAAACCCTCAAGGCGCACTTCGCTCTCAAACACCCAAGCCAGATGAAAGACTGGCACTTGGTTTGCAAATCCAACAACTGCTAATTACAATATTGTGAACCATTATTTTATTCTCTTAAAATCTGTCCTTAACAACAGTTCAGTTAAACAGTTGTCAACATTTTAAAATAAAATTGTTATTCTATTCCATATTTTTTCTTATAAAATCCTTATTTTTGACTGGCATTCAGGACGGTTTTTAATGTGTGGTGAATGTTTTTAATTTTCAGTATTCCTTCGCTGATACTCTAGTTCAGAGTTCAGGAGTTCATAGTTGAAATGGAATACTGAAGAAAATCGTATTTCGCATGAAGATTCTTTCAAAGAAAACCATACACTCAAAGACAGTTTTTTAAAAATTATTATTTGGAGATCGTGAGATGCGGTCTGGTGTGACGTAGGTTTTAGAAAAACATTTTCTTTATTGTACCAATGTTTCGATCTTTATTGAGATCATCTTCAGGGCCTGGGATTTATAATCATTGTTTAAATTATACATTATTATATATTACATTATTATATATTATTGTATAATTCATACAATGTTTATAAATCCCAGGCCATCTGAAGATGATCTCAAAGATCAAAACGTTGGGATGATAAAGAAAATGTTTTTCTAAAACCTATGTCACGCCAGACTGCATCTCACGATCTCCAAATAATAATTAAAAGAACAAAAAACTGACTTTGAGTGTGTTTTCTTTAAAGAATCTTCATGTGAAATACGATTTTCTTCAGTATTCCATTTAAACAGCCAGTTAACACATCTCGTCGATCCTTCTAGTCCAATGTATTCAAATATGGAATAACAATGGCTTTTTTTACAGCTCTCTTCGTCTGTACAACTTGCTCCAAGAAGTACAAGCACTATCCGAGCTTGTACAATCACAGGAGGTTCAGCTGCGGGAAAGAGCCTGGTTTCTGCTGTCCGTACTGTCCTCACAAGACGAGACTCAAGACCAACCTGAGGAAACACGTCATCCTCAAGCACCCCGAGAAGATAGCAGAGTGGCCAAAAATCAATTTTGACTTATGATTTTAAATGCTAGCCTTGATGTAATAAAATCACCGTTCTCTCACATTTTATTTCAATTTTGTTTTTGTTCCGTAGGTCTCGCCGGAATCAGTAAGAGGAGATACGTCTGTCAAACTTGCTTCAAAAGTTACAAACATGAGCGTTCGCTCAACACCCACGAGAAGTACGAGTGTGATAAAGAGCCGTTGTTCTCCTGTACGTTTTGCAAGTACAAAGCGAAGCGGAGACAGTCTCTCAAATCCCACATCGTACACAAACACCCAGAAAACCTGAACGCCTGGATGTCTTCTAACACAACCTAGCTCCCCTTCACGGAAAAAAACCCGAACAAGTGGAAGAAATGTACAGAATTAAAACCATTACTGTTGTAAATGGGAACAAATAATAAAATGATTTTAAAAATTATGAAATTTCACACCCTAAACCATCTCCTGTCCTAATCGGCTTCAGGGCTGGAAGGTTTTCTCAGTCACTCATACTGTTGAGCATACAAAGCATCGAAAAACCTAAATCTCGGTTCTGCATATGTGATATTTTATCTTGGTTGGCTTAGGACTTTTAATGAATTTTATTTTCCCATTAAGACCAGACCTTCCGGTGCAACGGGTACACCAAACAATTAAAAGAAGAGCTTTCAGGACCAAATGCGCTTTGAATTCGGTAGAGTTTCATTTGTAAAAAAATGTCAATAAAACTAAAAATCCATTGTTTCATGAAACATCCCAATAGAAATGTACTTGGATGCAGTTGTTTTCACCCTGATCTTAAACGGACTGTAATGCTATCAGACATTAAGATTCAACTGGCAAACACGTAAATATTTTGTACATTTACAAATGAATAAAAAGTTTGGTTTATTCTGTATTACTTTTTTCTCCTTTAAAAACCTCCACCTTTAGTGATTTGATAGTTAAAATAAATTGCCCTACAGTAATAAAAGGTCGAGTACGGTTCAAATAAGCAGAATCAAACAATCTTCAAATTCCACTAATTTAATGTGTATGTGTTTTTGTAGGAGATACAGAGAGACCGTTCGCCTGCGTGAAGTGTAACAAACGTTACAAGCACAAAAAGACCCTAGTCTTCCACGTGAGATTCGAATGCGGACAACCGCCAGGGTTTGTCTGTCCTTATTGCAGTTACAAGTCCACGCGGAAACAGCATCTGAAAACCCATTTCTTCTTCAAACACCTGGACAAAAGAACCTCGTGGCCCAAGCTTTCGGGCAAAATGTATCCAAAATATTAAATCGAGCATCAGAAGAGAGGACGGGTTTGTTCTTTTTTAATTTCAATTTGAACCAAAAATTTTCTAAACAGCCTCCCGGCCATTCTGCTCTTTTTTCTTTCGCGTATATTATACTAACAATGGAACAGCAGTGAAACCGCATGAAAACAGTATTTGAGGGCATCAACCGTTTCAAAGATTATAAGACCAAAACTAGTATTTTCATTTAAACATCAAGTGCATATGAAAAAGTTGCATGCACCATTTATATGTACATTTGTATGTAAATACATATTTCTAAGTACTAACAATCAAGACAAATCAAATTCTACAATAATAATTTAAATTATTTTTTCAGCCGATAAACGCTTCCCTTGCCCGGTCTGCTGGAAGACGTACAAGTACCAGAGGAGTTTGAGCAGGCACAGAAAATTTGAATGCGGGAAACTGCCGAGCTTCTATTGTCCGTTCTGCTCTCACAAATCCAAATTGAAGGAACACCTCAAGTCCCATGTAATGATGAAACACCCGACGGAGAGGCAAATGTGGCCATTCATTGCGCGACCGCCTCCAAAACCACCCTGTACCAATATCAAATAAAAAACAAAAATTATTTCATTGTTTTTTTTTTTATGCCTTAAAAAAAGATTTTCTTGTTCATTCTGTGGGTGAAAATTAATTTTTCCTGCTGGCCAGCCCGGGCCTTTTAAAAATTATTCACCTTTTGATCCGGATGACAAATAATTCTGTCAGTTTTCACAGTTTGATGTTTAAGTAGTGAGATTATTTTAGGAAGAAACCAAAACCCTTTTTGAAATAGAAAAAATAAGGTTTACCGTATGCCTGTTAAACGAATAACAAACAATCAGCAAGTATAAGCATTTATTACAAATGATATAAAAAAAGCTATCGCGATCATTGAATTGACATTAATTTTTTCTTTTCCAGGCCCCTTCGTTTGTCCAGTCTGTTCGAAAAAGTACAAATACAAAAACAACCTTGTGAGTCATAGGAGGTTGGAATGCGGGAAGGAGCCCATGTTCCCCTGCCCTTATTGCAAGCACAAGTCTAAACAGAAGCAGCACCTTAAATCCCACGTAGCTCTCAAGCACCCAGATGGCTTGAAAATTTGGCCGCAGATATCAGCCTCCTTGCCAAAGTTACTTCCTCAGTATTTGTACAATAATGGATAATGTTTTACGGTCAGAAAGCGACCTGAAAAATACTCGAAACATGATGACGCTTATAATAAGCAAGGATGGATTGCGTTTAACCGATTTATTAAATTAATTATGTCAACTAGAAAATACATTTCTTTAAAGTAAATTTCAATTGAATACATCAAGCTCCCTTTCTCTGATTGTACGTTTCAGATGCCACACAACCGAGAGAATCTTCACTATCGCCTGGAAATCTGAACACAGAGAAAAATGGAGAAATGAAGATTTCAGTTGGAGCTAGCTTTCTAGACTTAAATTTTTAGTTATTTCGTTTAATGATTAATTTTGAACGGTTGTAGATTTCACTAAAAGACTGAGGGTTTTTATTTTGTATATCTACTTAGTGTTGTCTTCTTCACTGATTTTGAAAATTCGGGTTGAAAGGGAGTGAATGTGTCCAGAATTCTAGGTTTGTATCGGGTGTTGTGTGTATGTTAATTTATTGGATTGAATGTTTTCAACACAATTTATTAGTGTAACATGTGTTAACCTCACTCTATCCCCTAATATGCCGCGAGTCTTGCATTGCATATTTTCATTTTACAGGAAAGACTTTTTAAACATTTTACTATTGCTGAAGGGTCTTGAAAATTAACAGAAGGGACGATTTAATGTTGACTTTTTAATATCAAAATAAGACAAAATTATGACATATGTCAATAAAATTTACATTTGTTTCTTGGGTATCCGACGTGGAATTCAATTGAGAACCCTGCCCCGAGAAATTTCGAGTAGAGGAGAGTGACTGTGACTTTGTGCCGGGTGTGATATTTATGATAATTTATTGGGATGGATGTAATTTATTAGAGTAAAAGGAAGGGTTTAACTTTACCCCAAGGAGTATTGAATGCTCTGGGGTGAGTGTACGACTGGAGATTAAAAGTAAGTTATTAGTGAGAATTGAGTAAGTTCATCCCCACCCTAGGAATATGAAGTACTGTGAGGGATTGAATGTGACTGGACTTCATTTTTCTGATCAGAGCCCAAAAAGAGAAGAAAAATTATGCAGAGGACCAAGGACGACCTTAGCTTTTTGTCGGCCCTTAAACTTCCTGCATTATTATCATTACAAGTCAAAATACTCGGCAGTTAACAATATCTGTTCATTTTAATGCGAGAAAAGGTTGAATTTGATTTTTTTTCTCAACCAGTTATTGAGGTTTTGTTAAGTAATTTATTATTCACCAGAAAAGCCTACCAAGCACGCCTGACACCAAAAAATATAAATAAAATAATAAATAATTTTATTTCATTTTGTTTCTTTTCATTGTTAATTTTAGCACGAGGCATGTTTGTGTGTCCTTCCTGTGGAAAACGGTACAAACACGTTCAGAGCCTGCACAACCACAAGAAGTTCGAATGCGGCCAAGAGCCTCGTTTCAAATGCCCGCATTGTCCCCACAAGTGCAAACAGAAGCAGAACTTGAAGAAGCACATCGTTGCCAAACACCTGATGGGAAAAGATCGAAGTAGAAACAACACCAATTCTTGTAGATTAACTATTTAAAATTTCTGACAATAAAATCTGACTTATTTAATTTTGAGTCTGTCTGTTTTTCCCATCGGCTGTTTTCAGATGTTCTGATTTATGGACATTTTTCTCACAAGGTTTCGATTTCGTTCACTAACAGAATCTCTTTTTCAGATTTAAGATGCTGTAAGGGTTGTTGTTGAGGAGGGAGTGGAGCTGGAAAGCGGGATCATTTATCTTTACGCTTGAATCCGGGAGGAGATAAAATTGACTGGTCGTTGTAACCGACAATAATGATGTTTTACTCCTGTGTCGTTTTATTCACCTTCTTACCGGTCCTTCTGTTTCTCCTTGTGCATGTTGTTCCTAGCCAATCTGGTGACAGTTGCAGCTCTAGCCCAAGATTCGTACAAGATCCTAAGGGCTTTTTTTAAATTTTTCTTTGTTTTCTTTTATTGGTTTTTTTAATACAGCTAGAGCTCATGACTAACGCCTCGCTTTGTTTTAGTGCATGCCTCTCGCGTTCAAACACCGGGCCCCTTGGGGCTTGTTGGCTTATCTCGACCATTTTTTGATTCTAGTCATTGGCTACTTACCGGGTTTCATATTCAAGTGTCCGGACTGCTCCAAGCAGTACAGGCACTCGCAGAGTCTCTTCCGTCACAGAAAGTACGAATGCGGGAAGGAGCCACAGTTCGTGTGCCCCTTCTGCAGCTACCGGACCAAATGGAAGCAGCACCTGAAGACCCACATCGGGGTCAAGCACAAGAAGTTCGCCTCGGCTCTCACCATGATGTAAATCCATAAAATGAATTATCAAAATTCTATCACATTCGAGAATGGAGTACCTTTTAAGGGCACGTAGCTTTCAGATTATCGAATCAAACCACTCCTTGTTAATTGAACAAACTTCTAAAGTTATAACACAAATTAAACATGAAAGTGTATTATTTATGAAAATTATAATTTGTAATATAAAGGTAGAAGAGTTAAATAAATATTATTAACGTTTTCTTTAACATTTCTTTATATTGGCCCTAAAAATTTCTAAATTTAATTTGGACATCGACTTCAGGCTTTCGTTTTTTGCCTCCAGAAGAAAACAGAAGTAAGTCAAACTTCAAACAAATTTGTACTTTTGCTCATAAATTGCATTAATTCATTATTTTTCCAGATAAAACTTTGATTTGTCTCGTGGATTGGATTCATGGGGTATTCAAGCTTGTTTAAATCAATATGCCATATACCGAATATAGTATGGTGAAGTACAATCAATACTACTTCTTTTAATTTGCCAGAAAATTTAAAATATGTGTAAAGAACTGATAATTGTGATTCATTTGTTTTTATTGTCAAATAAATTTTTATGTCGCTGTGCATCACAATGGATTATTTTGACAGGACGTTTTGTCAACTGCGATCCCCTAGTCTATCTATCATCCTTCTTTCGCCTTGGAGACCTCACGAGCAAGTCCATCGGCTCCATGACGATTATTTTTATATACTTTTGTTTTAAACTTTATTTTAGGCGCATGGTTATACAGATGCCCGGACTGTTTCAAACAGTACAGGCATCGACGGAGCCTGGCGAGTCACAGAAAGGACGAATGCCGACTTCCGGCCATCTTCTGGTGCCCGTTCTGCCCTCACAAATCAAAACAGAAGAACTCCCTCAAGACACACATCATAAATAACCACCGGGAGCGGATGTGACATAAATCATTAAAAATGATTTACAAAAAATTAAATAAATGTAATAAACTATTTATGGTCGTGGGAGAATAAGTAAAATAAGTGTTTTTTTTTTAATTTAGGAATATTCTAATTTTCAATTTTAAGTGGTATGTAGGGGGAAAATGGAAAAATCTTGCAGTTTGTTAGTTGATTACATCCACATATAGAATTTTCTTTGATGATTTTATAATTATATTTCCTATCCTTGCACAATGATTTTTTTTCTTGTTCAATTCATAATTGACAGTTCATTCCATTTAAAGACATGCAATAATTTCCTTTCTTTGCGGCTTTTTTTATAGCTAGGCGTGACAAAACAAAAAACTTTTCTTATTATTTGAAAATCTTAATATTAAGCTTGCTAGTTTATTACATGTAATTTTAGGGTTTATTTTCTTGGGAACCAAATCCTGGTTTTTAATTTTTTCTATTTTACTAATATCTGAATATCGAATTAACATCTTCTATCACTTCCACTTGCTATTATTATTGGTAAATTTTTGAGTTGATGAATGTATGCATGATGATGCTTCGAACCTACAAAAAATAAAGTTTTCATTTTATAAACTCTAATTTTACTACGGTGCTATATTTTTCTGAGTCTGAGCTAAATATTTGATTGACATTTTCAGTTTATGCAATTTTTGTTTTTATTTAAACTTCCCATAGATTTGTATACAGTACTTTAAATAGTAATATTAATTAACAATAAGTATTTGTTCTTGTATGTTAGACAAGTTTGTATTTTTATGTTTTAACTAATTGGCGGCGCTTTGTCTTTGGAATCACTCTTATGTGAAAGACATTTCTAGGTATTTTTGACCATTTCCTCATTGTCCGGCCTTATGTAACTAATATTGTATTCCACTTGCGTATTGCAGACGCCAAAAAGCCACACCGTTGCCGCAACTGTGATAGAAGTTACAAGTATTTCGGCAGCCTGGCTAAGCATCTGAAGTATGAGTGCGGCAAGCTGGCCACCTTCGCCTGCCCCTACTGCGACCTGAGCTGCAAGCAGAAAGGCAACCTGAAACGACATCTCAACCGGGTCCACCCTGACAAACAGCACACCTTCATATAAATACTCACAAAGGACGTTTAAATCAAGTGAATTTTTCAAGAAAGAAAACTATAAATTACTTAATATTAAAAGTTAAAAGATAAGCTGTCGGAAATTCGTCTATATTGGTTTATGAAAATGAATTTTGTTAAAAATAAAATAAATATTAAACAAAAAACTTGGTTTAATTTTTAAAAATTCTTCTTCGAATATAATAGGTATAAATACCAGTCCATCCAAAAGTTCAGTTTCCTTATGTCCATTTTATCTTGTTAATTTTGTTATTATTTTGTGCTCATCATCCTAATTTATAATATAGGCCGGTTTTGAATGAAAAAAAACTGTTTAGTTTTATTCGCACACCCACTGCGAACTGGTGACAGAACAGCAGTTTTAGTATTTATTAGAGGTAGTTACTAGAACTAGATGTTGAAAAAAAAAAAAAATGGTGACTGTGAAGTGTTGTTTTTATTTTCCAATAAATATCTTTATTTATATATATATTTATCGCAAAATGGTAGATTTTACCCATATTGGATATTTATAGGACGTCGATCACTAATATTGACAAATATTAAATCATTCGAATTTCTTTTTTGTTTTTGTTTTCTAGAACTCGATCAGCCTTACAAATGTGAAAATTGCTCGAGACGGTACAAGCACTATAGCAGCCTGAAGACCCACCTGAAATTTGAATGCGGTCAAACCCCACGTTTCAGGTGTACAGATTGCTCCATCGCTTTCAAACGCAAGGGAAACCTGAAGAGGCACATTGCTATTGTCCATTACACAAAAAGTCTTCAATAAATACTGTGTTGTTTCTTTTCTTTTTTTTCTTCTTTCCTTTTTTTCATCTGTCTGTTTGTTTTAAAGAGAATTTTCAACATTTTTCATTTGTGATATTTTATCAACATTAAATACACATCATTAGCATTCACACTACCCCAGAGTATTCAATATTTCTTGGAGTAGTTGGATATGAGCCCTTCCATTCACGCTAATAAATTCATACATTTATTCCCACCCCAGGGTACTTGATATTATTCGGGATAATTGGGGATAAGCTCCTCTATTCACGCTAATAAATTGACATATTCATTCACACCACCCCAGAGTACTCGATATTTCTCTGAAATCGAGAATTTTTTTAGAATGTAAAGTCGGAAAAGTAACTGTAATGTTTTATTAGCCAAAAGATGCCATTCTAAGGAGAAATGAGTTTGATATTAATTGTGCGACTTCTCTATGGAATTATTTTTTGTCACCAGTCTTTAGAAATTGATCCAGACAAAAACTTGAAATAAGCAAAACAAATGCCACAGACACAACTTGCTGTAATTTCTTCTTTGTATTTTGCAGAATTTCCTGTTTCCATAAAATGCTTCCAATGCGGGAAGAGGATCAATGAAGTTGAATTGGGCGAAGAAGACGTTTGTGGTTTTAAGTGTAAACCGTGCGAGTTTGTGTCGAATCTGAAACGAAATTTCAATCTGCACCTGGACCGCAAAAACAAAACCGTTTAATTTTTTTGTTGGATTTTAAAATACAAGAAAGTGTTAGGATTCTTGGTTTCTTTATAATTTTATTGATTGTTTAATAATCAATACAAACCCTGCAGACTTGCTCGAGATGGATGTTCGTCTTGCAGAAACCCAGAAGAATTAATTTTTTTTTTAAATTTATAAACTAACGTATTTTTGTCCTTTTTTTTCAGAAGGAGACAAACCCTTCGTTTGTAACGTGTGCTGCAAAGGTTACAAACACTTAAGCAGCCTTTACACCCATAACAAATACGAATGTGGCAAGTCGCCCATGTTCAGATGTCAGCATTGTCCATATGCTTGCAAACAAAAGGGCAGCTTCAAGCGTCACATGTACTGCAAGCATTCGGAAAAGTACAACCCGACTGACACAAAAGCCGTGGACAAGCGAGTTTTTCCAGACTGATACAGAGAGAAAAACTGATCGATCATTGTCTTCGAGAAATAAAGATTTTTTTCTGTCACCTCTGTTTTTATTCTTTTTAAAAAACTGCATTTAAGCCTTTTCGAAAATTTGACTTAACATTGTCGCCTGGTTTCAGAGGAGAAAAAGTTCATCTGTCACAAATGCATGAAAAGGTACAAGCTCGAATCCAGCTTGCAGAACCACTTGAGGTACGAGTGCGGCAAGTCGCCTATGTTCAGATGTCAGCATTGTCCCTATGCATGCAAGCAGAAGGGAAGCTTCAAGCGTCATATGTATTTCAAGCACTCTGAATTACGCGACCCAGCCAATATGTTTCGCTGTTAGAGGGGTTGAAAAATGATTTGTTTCAAATTGTCCATTCAAAAATTAAAATATAACATTACTATTTGAACCTATAAATTTATTTCTATTTAATCCTTTTGTGCACGAGCTTGATGTTGAATGATGTCTTGACCCGATGCCATCTGGTTTCAGAGGAGAAAAGATTCGTCTGTCACAAATGCTCGAAACGGTACAAGCTAGATTCCAGCTTGCAGAACCACTTGAGGTACGAGTGCGGTCGGGAGCCGATGTTCAAGTGTCCCTACTGTCCTGCTCTTAGCAAGCAAAAGGGCAACCTGAAAAACCACATATTTTGCAAACACCCTGACAAGCTTATAAATTGATATATGAAATAAATTAATTAATGTGTGCTTTTATTTTGTCGAGCGTTTTTCTTTCTCATCACTTCCCTGAAGGTTTTTTTCCATTGGGGCCATTTCGACTGACCATTTTCTCTTTTGTAGGGGCTGCTCTCATGTGTGAGGTTTGCAAGCAGACTTTCAATTCAATGAGCACGCTCAAGAGGCACAGGGTACTCCACGAAGTCTTCCGGAAGGACGAAGGTCCCAGGGAGTCGGCGGACGCCCCCCTCATGACGCATTTCCTTCTTGACGATGGTAGTTTCAACGAGATTCGCCTCGAACCCTCGTGTTTAATCTGATCCGGTTTTATTTTTAGACAAAGACCGTCCCTTTAACTGCCCCACGTGCATGAAAAGGTACAAGAACAAAAGGAACATGTACACTCATGTCAAATACGAGTGCGGGCAGTCGCCCAGGTTCAAATGCCCCTGCTGTAACTACAGATGCCATCGCAAAGGTGTCTTGAGAGATCACCTGATGCGTAAGCATTCCGTCATTTGATCTCCGGCTCGACAATAAAATAATTCAATACGCCAGAACGAACAATATTTTGTACACATGCTATGTAATTTTATCAAATTTATTCGGTTTATTTTTTAATGTATTGCCTATGATTTTGTTTTTTTAATAAATTGAATAAATTCACAGGGGGTTGGTGTGAGTTTATTACACCAGTTTCAGACTTTGTTTTAGCACAAGACTTGAAATCGTGGACAGATTTTTGATCAAGAAACTGCACTTTAAAGTGACAAATCTTTTGGAACGTTACAGTCCTGATCAGTTTGTTGTACTTTTCAGCCATCTTATTTACCCATTGTCTGATAAAAAGAAAAGTTTAAATCAAAATCTCACATCATAATGGTTATCCCCAATCATTGCAGTACCCTTTCTATGACGTTACTTTTTTTTTTTTTTTGGCACGTAGAGAACGTTATCCCCCGATACATACAGACAAAAAGACAACTGCTCCCCTCTAAAATGGTGAATGTTTCTTTCTGTACAGGTGAGAAGCGCTTCGGCTGCCCCACTTGCCTCAAGCAGTACAAGCACAAGCGAAACCTTTACATGCACACCAAGTACGAGTGTGGGAAGCTGCCGAGGTTCAAATGCCCCTGCTGCACTTACATGTGCAAGCGTAGGGTCGACCTGAGGAACCACATGTTCCGCAGGCATTCTGACTCCCTGCTCGAGTACTAGTGAACTTGTATCGTTCGATTGCTCAGCCGACGACTAAAATATTACAAATAAAATAGGATTTCTCCTCTCTTCTTGGCTATATTCCTTAACTCCTCTTCTTCTTAGCCTTCTCGGACTTATACGTCATAGTGCCAAAATTAACCGAACCCAATTTGTAGGTTTCTTCACGTGTGATGTTTGCATGAGGAAGTACAAATACAAGAGGAATCTGGTCGCCCATGCCAAATACGAGTGCGGGAAATCGCCGAGGTTCCGGTGCCCCTGTTGCAGCTACATGTGCCATAGGAAGGCCGTCCTCAGAGACCACATGGGCCGCAAACACCCTGAAACTTTCAGCTCTGAATGGATTTGAAATATACTTTATTCTAATTTGAAAATTTAGTACTTAAAATTTTTAATTTTTAAGGCCCTTTAGTATTAAAAAATTGATGTTTTATGTTAAGTTTAAAAAAAAAGAAAAAACAACTAAGTATTATACTTAAGCTTAGTTAAAAATTTGTATTACAATTTTTTGGGTAATGCTTATAGTTTTCCTGACTTACATTTTTATGTTTTGTAATTGTTATTTATGAAATTCTCTGTATGAATTATAAAATTTTTACAAAGTTTTTTTAATAATTCGACAAAACAAAATAGCAACAATTAAGGTAAATTGTGATAGTTCTGATCAAAATTCTTCCAGTTTTCAGCACCCAGTCTTCCTATTGTAAGAAAAATAGAAAATTAGAAGATGGCGAATGTGTTGAAATTTTTTAAATTGTACGTATGCAGTTTATTGTTTAATTGCGTAGAAATTGGATTCTATAATTCTTTCTGTTGGATCTGATCGGATTCTGGCCATCTGACCTTTTTAATTTGTTAAGGATCTATCCATTAATTTTTGTCTGTTGGTTAAACAGCCTGTAAATGTCGTTTAACATTTTGTTGAAAACGGGTCCAAAATGTCCAAAAGCTATTCTGTACAATATATGACTATATTTTTACTGTTAATTATTTAAAAAATTTCTATAACCGTGGATTAATTTTATTTAAAAAAATAAAAAAATGTCCATCTGTTTCTATCTAAACATTGAATTGTTTGAAATTTGTAAAATATTGACAGACAAGGTGCTTAATGTATGTTATATGTTCTTATTTATTGAAACGTGTTGCGATTTTTGTTTGTTAACAACCTGTAAAGAGAAGTCAGTTTTGGTGGACAAGTAGGCATGAGAGTGACTGATTTTTTCAAAAAAGACAAAAAAATAAAAAAATATCTTTGCCTACTTTTAACCTCACTTCTGAATTTCCAATACGATATTTTTGTTTATATATTTTTATAGATTTTCGCTCTTGTTACTTTCATATTGTAAGTTAATTTTTGTAAATTAATATGAACAAATTAATTGAAAAGACACATTGTAAAAACTTATATATAGAAAAAGTTAATAAATTTTGTTAACATTTTTGAGTTTTTTTGTGTTTAATCGAATAGATTTAAAAATTATATTTATTTTTGTAAATTATTGTGATATTATAATAAAGAGTAAATGCGTTTTTTGTTTGATTAAAGGGAAGGTATTCAGATGCGATAAGTGCACGAAAACATTTCGCTACTATTCCAGTTGGTGGAGGCACGTCTCGATCGTGCACTCCGAGGACGTCGAGACGCCGAAGAAGCGTCGTTCGAGGAAGAAATCGCTCAAAAACGGTCTGGAAGCCAGTGAGTCGATGCTTTAAATATCCCCGTTTTCCTTGGGAATTCTCTAAGAAATATTTTCAGACGGACAGCAGCATTTCATATGTGGCAAGTGCTCCAGGCAGTACTGGCATTTGACCAGCCTCAAATCTCATGTGCAGTTCGAGTGCGGAAAGCTGCCCGGGTTCGACTGCCTGTTCTGCAGCTATAAGTGTTTCCACAAGGGCAATCTGAAGACTCACATTTACAGGAAGCACCCTGAAAAAGTCAGCACTGTCTTGTTTTAAATACTAATTAAAAAAAAGTTCCTTTCTCATATATGAGAGCAACTTGTAAGACTATTAATATGCTGTTTTGTTTTTAAATCTTAATAAATATTTTATTACTTTCTTTCTTTTTTTTTTTTTTAAAGAATTTACAGACTTTGGAATTACAAATAATTACTCAGATATAGATATCTTCTTCAAAAATTATCATAATTAAGTTTGAGAGACCATGGTAGCTGTGTGGTTAGCGGTGATAGACTCTCATAGACCCACGGTCATGGGGTTAGATTCAAACTGTTGCTCTTATTTTTTATTTTATTTTTTCAAGATCCCTTCCCCTATTAATACAATGAATCGTCAAATACACAATTTTCCTTGGCTAATACGCTATGTTCATAAGGCAAAAAAGTTAGGTTTTGTCAGATTTTTACAGAACAGAGGCCTTTTTAAATTAAAAATCAAAAGGTAAACTGGACAACAAGGCGAAAACAGCTTCTTGTTTATGCATAGTAAAACGTGTGATTACAGGTCCTTTCCAGTGTCCCAAGTGTCCCAGAGTGTACAAGCACAAGAGGAACTTAGTCTCGCACGTGAGGTACGAGTGCGGGAAAGAGCCCGGCTTCAAGTGTCCTCACTGTTCTTACAGGACTAAAGTTAAAAGAAATCTCAAGTCGCATGTTTACTGCCGCCACCAAGAACATCTCATTGGGCTCAAGTTCGATTTGTAGTTATTTCATACTTTTTTCATTTTTTCCATTGTTTAAAGAATCTACCGGTACCTTAAAACTATAGAGAAAAAGCTTGTGTGATATCTTCTTCAAAAATTACCATATATCAATTATTAATGTTTTTTTTATGAAGTGTAAATATAGTCTATTAACCAATCTGATTTTTACAAATTATAACAATCCAGAATTTTAGTGAAGTTTTTTTTAAATTTAAAATAAAAACCGAAAGGTAAACTGAAAACAAGGTGAAAACCACTTTCTGTCCGAAGGTAGTAAAACATGTGTGATTTCAGGTCCTTTCTGCTGTCCCCAGTGCTCCAGAGTTTACAAGCACAAGAGGAACTTAATGTCCCACGTGAAGTACGAGTGCGGGAAAGAGCCCGCCTTCAGCTGTCCTCACTGTTCCTACAGGACTAAAGTCAAAGGAAATCTAAAGTCGCACATTTACTGCCGCCACCGCGAACTTATCATCAAATCCAAGATGGATTTCTAAGTTCCCGCCAGGGAAAAAAAATTCTGGGCCATGAGTTTCAATTGTCAGCTTTATTAAACTTAACTGTTAAATGGATTATGTTTTGATTTGGAAAAATAATTGTGATGTATTGTCAAACAGAAATAACAATATTGTTCATGAAAAGTTTTTATAAAGATTTCCATTTTGAAAATTTGTATAAGAAGTTTATCTCCTTCCTCCAACTTTGTCATAAAATCTGTACTATCCGTTGTACAGCCTTGCCCAAAGATAACTGACAAAACGACAATTCAAACTACGGTGATGAAATTTTTTAAAAAGCCCATGAAGACCACGACACAGTTCACGGTACCCCATCTCAAAAAATAAGATATTTTGTTCTCCCGCATACTACCCACACATTTTGCTGTTCTTGCAATTTTACTGATATTTTTGTGCCTTGATTAAATAATTAAGTAATAAAATAAAAGAGGGGTGATTGATTTATTTTAATTTGGTAGGTGCCTTCCTTGAAAGATGGAAGTTGGAAAAAGTTGTAAGTTCATGGCCGTCACTGCACTCCTTTCAATTTTTTTTCTTAATAATTCAAATATGTTTTAAAAATGTTTATGATTTTTATTTGTTTCAATTAGCTATGAAACTTTGTGATAATAAAATATTTCTAATAATTGACCAATTTTCTCGCAGGTGCGCCATTTAAGTGTCCAACTTGTCCCAAGTCCTACAAATATAAGCATAATCTCAACAGCCATCTGAGGCTGGAGTGCGGCAAAGAGCCGGGCTTCCAATGCCCTCACTGCCCTTACAAGAGTAAGCAGAAAGCCCCTCTCAAGAGCCACATTGGACGGAAACATATGATGGATTCGTCGAAGATCCAGTACTGACTACGAAAAAATGTAAATTTATATAACGACTCAGGCATTACCAAAAAATATATATGCATAAATATTTTTTACACTACATTTTTCTTGTTACTCCTGTTATACTCCTACCAGACTGCATTTTAGAACGGTTGTTACAAAAAGTGAACTTCAGCGCCTTCAGAACTTGCAGGAAGTTGAAAGACCCTCTGTCTAGAAAGTCATAGATTTCTGTACCTTACAGGTGTCTTTAATAATTTCAATTCAATTTTCGAAGCATCTTATTTATCCCCCGGACTCAGTTTTTAATCGTCTAAGTTGCGTTGTCTTTTTTGTGCAGAGTTTTTCTCCTGCACGACCTGCTTTCGAAACTTCAAGTACAAGAAAAACCTCTGGCGTCATACGAAGTTTGAATGCGGGAAGGAGCCATCGTTCAGCTGCACCTTCTGCCCTTACAAGGCGAAGCAAAAGGCCTCTGTCAAATCCCACATGATCATCAAGCACTGCCTCAACTGAAAATGACGAAAAAGGTTTGTCGTTGAACATGCCCCGTACAGCGTTTTGTTGATTGAAAATGAATTTATTTTCAGCAATGAAAACATGGAAACATTCAACCTTGATTTTTGTAGCTAATAAGAAAGTGAGGGTGAAAGTGAATTATTCTGGAAGAAGAGCTTTTCGATTTGAAGTTCTGCTTTCTCTATTGATCTCACAATCAAGTACATAAAGTTAATAAACAATTAATAATAAAAAATCACTTGTTCTTTATTTTAATAAAAAATTAAGAGAAATATTCGTACGTAAAACATTTGTGTGCTAAAAATGTCAGTCTGAAAGGGTTGTATTGAATTTTATCTTATCTGTTAAAAGATGCTTTCTTGCAACAGCAAGAGTTTCAAGTACTGCAGGAATTTTTGAGACATGAAAAATATGAAATCATGAAGGAATCAATTTTTGTCTACTGCCTCCTATGATCAAAACTATACACTGGGAAGAGAGAGGTTTAACAAATTATTGAAATTGGGAAGATGTCTAGTTTTACAAAAATGATTTTTTATGATAAAACATTAAAAGTTTTAAAATTAATTTTCAATTAAGCAATTTTGAATTGTTTACCTTAAAAAAGTCAAGAATCTCTCGAATGGTATATCCATATGCAATTGCATATCTTTTAAATTGAATGAATTTTGTTTAGGGTGGCCGTACATGTGCATTTTTTTAATTGGAATATATGTTAATTTCTGATTTAAAAAATTTTCTCCCTGTTATTTCATTACATTTTAGTCTTCTGCTATTTTTGATAGGTTTTATTACATTTTTAGAAAATGACAAAAAAAATAGTAGTTTATAAGTAGTTTTCAAAATACTCTCCTTCAGTCTTTCAGCCGTCTTGTGAATTCACTTCTCGTCCCGGGCAAGACGTTAAACTGCGTCCACACAATACCAGTCATATTCACACAACACAAACTTTTCCATCCACCTCGTACAATTTTTACCTAGTTTGATGAACGACTTTTACATCATGTTTGACTTGTCTTGTTACTCTTTTTTTTTTTTTTTTTTTTTTTAAACTTGGCTGTTTTTAGCTTGTTCCCCATTTGTTCTTCATTGATATTTCCAATCTTTAATCATCGAATGAATTTAACACTTTATTTATTTTTATTAGAAAGTTTTAAGATTATTTTGTAGTTGAAGTTTCTGTTTTCAAATTTTTGCACTTCAGTCATAGTATTCTTTTTTTTTTATTAAATACATTTCATTTCGTAATCAAATGTTTTATTGGTGTAAGTCAGAGATTTTCAGGTAATTGTCAATTTTATTTATGGATTCACTTAGGATTTATTTACATGGGAAAACAAGGTAAATATATATATATATTTTAAATTTGTTTATATTCTAAATGTTCACTCACATTCCCAAATTGACTAAATCTCCAGAATTTTCCAGAACAAATGTGTCTGAAATAAAATTTTTTGTATTGGGTTTTGTTTTATTTCAAAGACCTTTCATCCTTCACGCATCCCTTCCTACACCAGCATGTGGCATGAACGGCATGAATTCAGAAATTAGCAGGAAATCGGCACAATCTTAACACATTCTCGCTTCAGGTGGAGTATACAGGTGTGCCACGTGCTCCAAGTCGTTCAAGTACATGAACGCCATGCTACGACATTTGGAGGTGTGCGAGGCGATAACCAAGCCGATAAAGAGATACAGCTGTGAGAAATGCCCCTTCCGGACCAACCACAAATGGTATCTCAAACGGCACATGTGTAAAAGTAAATAATTTTTTTTTCTGTTTTTCGGGGCTGACATCGTGGAATCGATTAACCGAACGTTTTCCAGGCATGAGGAACATCTGCAAGGAGTGCAAGAAACGCTTTCCCACCCCGACAGCCCTACTGCTTCACGTCAACAGCAGAGAGGGCTGCAACGGAGACATGAAGAAAGACTCTGTCATCTTGATAAAGGACGTCATGTCCATGAACGACCCGACACGGCATTTAGTCGCAGTTAGCGTTGACCAGAACCAGCAGTCGATCCTTGACAGTTCACAGGAAAATGTCACAGCCAATGGATCAGTCGATCCTGGTGACAAATCCGTTGCCAGTATCAAAGAAGATACATCTGAAGTTATGAAAATAAAAAATTAAATTGAGGTACTTTAACTTTTACCTACAACAGAATGGCAGCCCCTGGCATCTTTGGTTCATCTATGGTAATAAATTGTATATATTTTGTAAATAAAAAATACCAGCTTCACCGACTTACGGTCCACCAACCTGTAAGAACTTTTTTTAATTGGCTATTGTTTTATTAGCAAACATCTTTGGTTCTCAAGGATACTTCAAAACTGCTCACTTGACTTCATCTTCGGTACATGCCAGGTTATTGTAAATTGTAGTAAGCTTTCGAACATCAGTGACAAATTTAGTCAAAACTTTTTCAATTTGGTTCTGATATAAAAGTATAATATATTTTATTACACGGTCAATTTCAACAATTTGTTCATCGTGACAATTGTTTTATTATTTTCAAAAAATACTCGAGGTTAAACCAAAGGTACTTTGTGCGGTGCCATCATTTTGAAATTTATTCTTTAGAAATTTATTATGTGAATTTTTATTTTTCTGTTTTACAGTAAGCAGTACAGCTGAGGGCTGAAATGAGTATAAACCATGACATTTGGATGATTAGAAGTCTAGTTTTGGAACAATTCAACATGAAAGAGTATTTCTTAGGAAAATCAGTATTAAAAGCAAAAGATCTGAAATTCATTCTTTGTGGGGTTATTTTGCATTATCAATTTTTTAAGATATAATTTAGCTATAATTTTTGTACTATTTTATAATTCATTGTTTTGATTTTAGTTATAATTTTTAATTATTAATTATATGAATTGTTTAAGCCTTTAGGAATATTATTGTGTTTTGTGCTAGGCTTAAAAATTAGTTATAGTTTAAATTTAGTTAAGTTTATGGTACAATTTTAAAGTATACTATTTCCATTTATTTATGAATTTATTATATACTTTATCACTTTGTTCTTTTCTTTTTTTATTTCACTTAAAGTTGTAGTTTTTAATTGGTATGTTATACTACTTATTTAGTTTTAGATTGTCTAGCACATGTGTATAAGAACAGTAGTGTTATGGATGTAACTGTGTAGGCATAATAAAAATTAAAAAAAAAAAAATAAGTTGAATACTCGTAATGAGTTTTGCCTTTCCATTCGTTATCCCGAGGGAAAAAAAGAATAACGCAGGAATCAGACTAGAGAGTAGGAATTACTGAACTGTGTGGCTTACAGCCAGACTTATTTTATTATATATATTTTTTTTTAAGTAGTATCAAATTCAAATCCTCAAAATTGTATACCTTTATATGAAAGGGCTTAAGTTGGTGATTGATTTGATGTAATAACATTACCATAAGTTAATATTTTTACTGATTACTGATTGATTCTTTGATGTCCTTATTTCTTTTCTTACAAGTATTGTTTTATTTTTCATTCAGGTACCATATTTGGGTTATTAGTATTGATTTCCCTCCTTTCTAGTTTTATTCCTTGCTGTTTTCTGCCTTCTTTAGTTTCCTTCTCCTGAACCTTTGCTTGCTGAAGAAGCCAGGCATTCGAATTCTTATGCTCACCTCTTTTCCAGGTGCAGCAGGTCCTCCGTACAGGTGCGCAACCTGTTCCAGGTCTTTCACGTACATGTATGCGCTCATCAACCACATCAACACGTGTGTAAGAGATGTCAGCGGTGCACCACTAAAACGGTACAGTTGTGAAAACTGTACTTTCAGGACGAATCACAAGTGGTATCTTAAGCACCATTCTTGCAAACGTAAGAACCCGTATGTCCAATAAAAATGGAATTTTTTAAATATATATTTTTGCTTCTTTTAGGCAAGAGATCAGTTTTGACTTGTAAAAGATGTTACATAACATTCGAGGATCATGAAACCCTGATTGCACATTCCAAGGCTAAAATGAGGTGTGAACCAATCAAACAGAAGAAAAAAGGAAGCAAGGAACCCGTCAAAATCAGCCCTGCAGTCAAAACGGACAACCCGACTGGCGATATCAAAATCGCAGATACGGCAGGGCCCGTGGCCAGCGGGACGATCAGGATCGCTGACCCTTCTGGCTTGATGGCCGGCAGAGCGATCACGATCGCGGACCCGTCTGGCTTGATGCCCGGTCGAGCGATCAGGATTGCAGACCCTTCAGGCTTGGTGAGCACACCGGCCATCAGGATAGGAGGGCCTGCCAACTGGGGTGGGGCCATGATCATCGGAGGAGGCTTCAGGATCAGTGATGGGGTGATCAAGATCGTCGACCCTACCGGCGCCAATACCTTCAAAATTGGTGAAACAAAGCCGGCGGGGTCTGCTCAACCTTTCGACAAGCCAAAAGAAATTGAAGAAAATAAAAAAGAAAATACTTCAAGTGTGACCGAGTCAAAAGAAGAAAAAGAAGACACTAAAAATAAATCTAAAAATGAATCTGAACCTGAAAAAACCGAGCAAGCATAACCAATTGAACAGTTTTATTTAATCAATCATAAAATATTACGTGCTATTTAATGTTTTTAAGTATCTTTCTCTAGGAATGAACAGATCTCATTATTTTCTGTTCAAGCAGATAAATTAATTTTAACGTCATTATTTTTAGTTTTTATTCACGTATAAACATAGATAAAAAGTATTTTAAAGGTTTTTTTTTTTTACTTGTATGATATTACGATAAATTAGCATTTACTGACAGAAGAGCGGAATCTTTGCTTCAGCTTCAAAATCATTAGCTATATTATGTATTTAAAATCCTAAAAAAAGTTCGATCATGATAGTTATGTTGAACTATTGTTTTTATTAGAATATCAGAAAAAATATGAAAGTAGCTTTAATTTGTTTTTGTATAATCGATTGTGATATTTTTTTCCTTCAATTTTTGTATTCAATTTATAATTTTTGTAAGTTAGTTAATCAATATGTACCACGATTTGTAGTTTTCGATGCAGTAAGTTAAGGACATTTTATGCACAAAGAGCTTTGAATTTATGAGGTGAAATGAAATTTTATTTTGCATGGCGAAGGCATTTTTCAAACATTTACTATTATGAATCATTTATACTCATAATATATAGAGGTTGTTGGTTTTGGAAGCTTATGTATAAAATAAATATTAGACAAATGTTTGTATATTTATACTATGTTTAGACCCTGTCACTAAGTGGGGCTCGACGGGAAACATTTTTTATGCATTTTTATGCATTCAGTTTGTGTCAATTTCAGGACCATGTGAAATAAATTCGTGACAGAAAAAGATTTGTGTTGGTGTTAGGAGTGACATTTTAAATATTTTTTCTGTTTTCTTCAGATCCTCGAACTGAGAATATTAAATTTCTGCTAGACCATGATGTTTAATGCCTAATACATGACCAATTTCAGTGTATTTTTTTGAGGTAAGCTCGTTCTGATGTAAACAGCTGACTGTTTGTTTTCAGACGCAAGGAAGAAGTTTGCCTGCGTTTCCTGTGCCAGGGTGTTCAGCCACAAGAAGACACTGGTGCGTCACGTCCGCTATGAATGCGGGAAGGAGCCTATGTTTAACTGTCCTCACTGTCCTTACCGGGCGAAGCGCAATTGTCACTTGCAGGCGCATATCACCCTGAGGCATTTTTACGGCGGTTACAACAATCTAGTCGAACCGCAAGCCTTTCCTTTGCCTTGAAATAAATCTGTGTGTATTGAAATACAAAAAAAAAGTCGATTCAGTGATTTTTTTTTTTTTGTTATTGCAATTAGGACAATTTTTTTAACTGATGTTTGTTATTTTAGCCAAAAATGCCAGCTTCTGTTGCAATAAGTGCTACAGGCGGTTTGCCTACAAGTACACGCTTGTTCGGCATCAAAGGTACGAATGCGGAAAGGAACCGGCTTTCCCCTGCAAGCACTGCTCCTACAAAGCGAAGCACAAAAGCCATCTCGTGTCCCACTTGGCCTTCAAACACTCAGATATCACAACAAATACATTTTAAAGTTGTCACAGCATTCATTCAAATGAAATTGTATGATTCTACACCAATATAATCTGAAGTATTATATTTACAGTTTATTTTTAACCATCCCTAACGTTGACCTTACCCTTTAAAACCATAGATTTTTCCCTTATTTTATGTTTTTTAAATATCTAATGGCAATTGCTAATCGACCTTCAATCAGAATTTGATGCACCAGTTTTGTAACAATAAATGAAATTACAACTTTAGGACTTGTGAATACATAATGGATGATAGAAAAAAAGAAGTCAGATTGTCATAAACCAGGCTGTAGACACAATATACAAGAAATACATCCGATATACACCTCATAGGTATTTTCCTGTTAAAAAGTTGTTACTGTTAAAAGTATGCCCAACGGTCTTATCAATAAATCGATCATCTTAATTTTCCCATTATATTACAGCAAGTTCTAGTCTAATTTAATGTATCGCTTTCAGCAAAACCATTTATTTGCAACGTCTGCGGAAGGACTTTCACGTACAAATACAATCTTATGAGGCATATCAGGTACGAGTGTGGTAAGGAACCCCAGTTCCCCTGCAGCTTTTGCAGCTACAAAGGAAAACAGAAGTCACACCTCAACAACCACATGATTTTTAAGCACAGAGAACAATTTATAAGTGGGACTGTTTTGCAAAAATAATTACTTGTTCATTTTTCTCCATTTAATATTAATAAATGTAATTTTTTTACAATGCTGTTTTACTCAGACTTGATGTTTCTACCAATAAAGAAGCAATTTTCAGATTAGACTTGAATGCCGTGATATCTATACGTTTTAGCGCTTCAATAGATCATCGTAAAAACGAATCTGTTTAGTTTTCCTCATTGCAGTGTTGTTCTAGGACTGCCAAAGAACTTCTGTTGTCCTAACTGCACCAGAAAGTTTGCCTATAAGAAGACATTAAACAGACACCTGCGTTACGAGTGCGGGAAGGAACCCAGCTTCGCCTGCAAGTACTGCCCGTACAGAGCCAAGCAAAAGGCCCACCTTACGGTTCACGTTATCGGGCAGCATCAAAACCTCTACCACCAACTGTAATTATTATGCGAACGTTTTGAAAAATAATTTATTCTAATTGTAAATATAGTTTCAGGAATTGCTGAATATAATAAAAACCCAGTTTGAACCTGGGTTGATACTCCTTGGTACACATCACAGTTGATCATTTAACAAACTGTTAAAACAGTTGTCTCGGGTTCAATCAATCGTCAGTCAAACAAGGCATCATCAGTTTTGGTATTTCAGGTGTCCGTTTTGGCTGCGATTGTGGTAGGAGCTTCAGGCACAAGAGACATCTGACATTTCACATGAAGTACGAGTGTGGCAAAGAACCGAGCTTTATTTGCCATCTTTGCCCGTATAAAGCCAAACGAAAGGGTCACCTCAACCAGCATATGATTATCAAGCATAATCGGTTACAATGACAGAACTGCACGGGAAGACAAACCAATTCCAACTCTCACAACACTCACGAGACTGTTTCTTCTTGTTTTCTACAAATTTCAAAATACAATTTGTCCAGTGCTTTAACTTTTTCTTTAAATATGTTAAATTCACTTAATAAAAAAAAAATGTTTGAATTAATTTTTTTTTTCAAACCAACCATAACTACCAAAGGTTTTACAGTTTTATACAGTTTATATCTAGATGATTATTATTTAGGGGATAGTCTTTATAAGAAGTTATAATTGTTTAATTCTTAAATTGCAGGGGGCCGAAAACCTTTTCTGTGGCAGTGCCCAAACTGTCAGGCAAGATTCACTTTAAAGCACAATCTCCAGAGACACATCAATTACGAATGCGGAAAAGAGGCCACTTTTAAGTGTGCCGATTGCCCGTACAGGGCTAAACGAAAGGAAAATCTTAAGAGACACTTGGTCATCGTGCATTTGAAGGCGCCGAACACGTCGAGCCTTTATTTCGGAGACGGTTTTCCATTTAACTGACTATCCCCAGTTTTATTTTGGTTTCAGGCTTCGCTTGCATTGTTTGCGGTTCCACTTTCACTCGCAAGGACAACTTTCTTAGGCATGTCAATCACGAGTGCGGCAAAGAGCCGACCTTCTTCTGCACATATTGCGCTTATAGGGGAAAGCGTAAAACCCACCTGAAGCAGCATATCGTGTTTCGTCATCCAGATAAATATTTACAATTTGTCTCACCTACATTCTCTGCTCAACGCAAAGAGTGAATGATCAAATTTTTAAAATAAAGTCCCTCCAAATTAAAGTATTTCTGTTGTTTTTATTTAGCTGCCTTTCATTCGATTCATATTTAATTTGTAATTTACAGTGTTGTGTTTATTACAAATAACATATTGAGCAAATTTGCGTCAGAAGTGATAGAATGGACAAAGTGGTAATACAAATTTGGAATCGATATTCACCTGAGGTTCTTTATCTCCTTTATCTAAGTTAATAATATAGATTTATTTTTTTATGGCAGATTTTTAACCGAATACACATACCTTTGCACTTTCATAGTTCAAAATTTACATGGTATGTTGTAGATTGGAGACGGTTTGGATGCGTAACCTGTGGAAAGACTTACAGGAATAAGTGCCATCTTACACGGCATTGGAGGTATGAGTGTGGGAAGGAACCGACTTTCAGCTGCCCATGCTGTCCATACAGGGCCAAGCATAAAGCCAGTGTAAAAACTCATATGACATTAAAACATCTTTCATAATAAATTATTTATAACAAAAAAAAGAAAAAGGAGAGTGTTGTTTCTTTAAAAACATCACCTCACATGATTAGACTATTCGAATACGATAATCACGCCTTGATATTTTCCCTAATTAATAATGTTTAGTTAGTAATCGAGAAGAGATTCTCCATTGCCTTGACAATCCGTTTATTCAAGGACTAACAGCAATCCTTCAATTACAGACAGCAGGCGTTTTGCATGTGAAGCTTGCGGCAAACGGTACACCCGTAAGGAAAACTTGAACCGCCATGTAAACTACGAATGTGGAAAGGACCCGACCTTCAGCTGTCCTTCCTGCCAGTATAAGGCGAAGCGAAAGTCTCACCTTCAACAACATCTCATCTTCAAACATCCAGAAATGATCAAACATCCGGAAATTCTGAAACAAATAAATACTCAAAATAAAAATATATTTTAAAAATGTAACGTTAATATACAAGAAAAAAAAAATGAAGCAATAACACTGAGATCGGTTTGCTAATTTACAGATATATCAAGGCCTTTTGGAAGCCAGGGTTGTGGGAAAAGATTTATCAACAAGAAATGTTGTCAATGGCATCTTAGGTACTTAAGCGGGAAAAAATTGTCAACAATTATTTCTAATTCTATGAGATGAGGCTATTCAAAAAGTACAGGGCAACTAAGCATTAAAAGTGCTTTCGAAGATAGTTCTTCTGTTCAAGATAGTTCTTACACCTTCTGAGGAAGATTCACATCAACAACATTGAAACTTGATGTACTTTAGTTCAGTATACTCTGATGTACATATTGTCCTGAAATCAAAGGATTATTTTTTCTTCCAATAAATTTTTAAAATGTATCAGTTGTCATAAATAAACATTTTTTTGAAATTTATTCTCCCAGGTCACTTTTGACAGTTGAAAACATTTTGTCATCCGACTTCATGCTAGTGCACTAATGAAGTAAAATTTATTATTTGATTTATTTTAAAATGCTAAAGGAAAAGAAAAAACTGTGTATGGTATCGTTGATAATCCAGTTTGTACTTTACAGATAAGCTAAAATGTTTTGGCTGCAAGGATTGTGGAAAATGTTACGTTATCAAGGAGGCACTTAAGATACGAGTGCGGGAAGGAACCGGCCTTCGTACGTTCCTACTGCCACAGGCAAAGCAAGTCTTAAAAGCCACATTGTCTTCAAACACAGCAGCACGATTACAGTGAATATTCAGACTATTTATAAATAAATAAGTGGAATGAAACGCCTCAAAATGTTTGCATTATTGTAAAAGTTTTCCCTGTATTTTCAATTTTTTAACTCTGCCTCCATTTCCAGGCAGGGAAAGGCGTTTCGGGTGCGAAGTTTGTGGTAAAAGATATCTCAACAAGGAAAGCTTGTCCAGGCATTTAAAGTACGAATGTGGAAAGGAGCCGACTTTCAGCTGTCCTTCCTGTCATTACAAGGCAAAACGAAAGTCCCACCTTAAACAGCATATCATCTTCAAACATCCAGAAATGTTTACACGAAAAAATCTCCAAAATAAAAATATATTTTGAAAATGTAACGTTAATAGAAAAAAAAGAAGAATTAAATCAATAACACTGAGATAGGTTTGCTCATTTACAGAGTCTTCTGGAAGCGAGTATTGTGGAAAAAGATTTATCAGCATGATCTGTAATGCTTATCTTAGGTACTCAAGCGGATAAAAATACTCAACTATTATTTCTAATTCTACCAGATGAGGCCATTCACAAAGTACAGGACAACCGAGCATTCTGTGATAGTTCTAGGCTTTCCGAGGAAGATGCATATTTACTCAGTCGAATCATGATGCCCTTTAGGCCAAATTATACTGCTGTTCGTATTATCCTGATATGAAAAAATTACTTTTTCTTCCAATAAACATTCAATTGTTAAAATGTATCAGTTGTCGCAAATAAACATTTCTTGTGAAACTCATTCTCCCAGGACACCTTTGACCGTTGAAAATATTTTGTCATCCTGCTTCACGATGCACAAATGAAATAATTTATTATAAAATGCTCAAGAAAAAGAAAAAACTGTGAATGGTATTCTTGATAATCCAATTTGTACTTTCCAAAAAAAGCAAAAAGTTTTGGCTGGAAGGGGTTGTGTACAATGTTATGTCAGCGTGAAGAGGCAGGAACCTGGCCCGTACAAGGCGAAGCACAAACCAACTCTTAAAAGCCACAGTCTTCAAACACAACTGCACGATTTCAGCAAATATTCAGACTATTACAAATAAATAAAGAAGTGAAATGTCTTGAAATGGCCTCATTGTGAAAATTTACCCCGTTTTCATTTTTTTTTTTTTAACTTTGCCTCTATTTCCAGGCAGGGAGAGGCATTTTGGGTGCGAGGCTTGTGGTAAAAGGTATGTCAACAAGAAGAGTCTCACAAGGCATCTGAGGTACATGTGCGGAAAAAAGACTAATGCATTATTCGCCAACATCCTGATAGAAAAGGCCATTCACAAAATACCGGAGAACTGAGCATAAAAGTGTATTCGAAGATTGTTTTTCCGTTCTAGTTAAAGATAGTTCTTACACCTGAGGAAGATTAAGATTTACTTCATTGAATCATGGTGTCCTTTAGGTCAATTTATACTGTGTACATATTGTCATAAAATCAAAAAATTACTTTTTCTTCCAATAAATATTCAATTTTTAAAATTTACTTGTCACAAATAAACATTTCTTTTGAAATTCTTTCTTCCAGGTCACTTTTGACAGTTGAAAACATTTTGTGCTCCTATTTCAATATGATGCACAAATGAAGAAAAATTTATGTTTTATTTTAAAGTGCTAAAAAAATTGTAAATAGTATCCTTGATAATTTGGTTTGAATTTTACAGATAAACTAAAACGCTTTGGCTGCAAGAATTGTGGAAAATGTTACGTCAACAAAGATAGTCTGAGGAGGCACTTAAGATACGAGTGCGGGAAGGAACCTGCCTTTGTATGTTCCTACTGTCCATACAAAGCGAAGCATAAAGCAAGTCTTAAAAGCCACATTGTCTTTAAACACAGCTGAACGATGCAGCGAATATTCGGAATAATTACAATTAAATAAATAGGTGAAATGAAACGCCGCGAAATGTTTTCCTCGTTGTAAAAAATTTGTCCCGCATTTTCATTTTTTAACTCTGCCTCTGTTTCCAGGCAGGGAGAGGCGTTTCGGGTGTGAAGTTTGTGGTAAAAGATATCTCAACAAGGAAAGCTTGTCCAGGCATTTGAAGTACGAATGCGGAAAGGAGCCGACTTTCGGCTGCCCCTACTGTTCCTACAAGGCGAAGTACAAGGCTGCCCTAAAAACCCACATTATCGCCAAACACTAAACGTCTCCACCTAAAATCATAGGCATAAATTTTGTTTATCAGATTACATATTTGCCAAAAATAAATTTTCCAGCCATTAAATTATTTTTTAACGAGCGATTTTGTTATAGGTTAAGTTTTACCTCACACAACTTTGAGGTATGTTGCAAATTATATTAAACTATCTAATGTTGTGCCAACTATGTGTACACCATGTCTACAGTTAATTACATCCCAAGATCCAGCAAAGGTCAAGATAAGCAATCGTACTGCTAACGTTATGTCATTTATGTCCACAATACATCAACATTATCAGTTCATTTTATCCTGATTCGAACAAAGAACATGACAACACTCCAAACTAGCATATAAGCCCATCACTACTTTTTTTTAAATAGGAGTACTTTATTAACGATCTCTAGCCTAAGTTGTTTATTATTACATTGTAAATTTACAATAGTGTACTCTTTTGAAAAAAAAATTGATTCAGTTGCTATACTGTTGCCCATATCGTAAAATCAAAAATAAAGTTTTTTCTAATATTTTCTTTTTCTTCTTTTACCTTTCCTGTTTTTCATTATGGATAATTATTACCGTGTAGATTTTGTTTGTCAAAATTTGAAGATTAGGATTATGTTTTTATTATTTAAATACATTTTAACATATTTTGTGCCAATTCATGTCATAATACTCGTATCTATTAAAATTAATGGTAAGTAAAATTAATTTCACTAATTTCGTGGTCCGCTTGACCAATTAATATATTACAATTAATTAAGGTTTTTAGTTGAGATAAAAAAGTTAATGGCACGAGCGGGATTTGAACCCATGAAGATCCGAGAGAGAGAAGAGAAAAGCCGAAGATCGTGGGTTCGAATCCCGCTCGTGCCATTAACTTTTTCTCTCAACTAAAAACCTTAATTAATTATAGTAGAATTATTCGCTTGATTTCAAAATTTAGTTAAAAAAAAAAAAATCTGAATGGATGGATCCTTGATAATTTGGTTTGTACTTTACAGATAAGCTGAAGCGTTTTGGCTGCAAGAATTGTGGAAAATGTTACGTCAACAAAGAGAGTCTGAAGAGGCATTTAAGATACGAGTGCGGGAAGGAACCGGCCTTCGTATGTTCCTACTGCCCGTACAAGGCGAAGCATAAAGCAAATCTGAAAAGCCACATTGTATTCAAACACAGCTGAATAACGACAGTGAATATTCGGACCAAAAATTAAGAAGTAAAATTAAATATCTTGAAGATAACATTTATTTTGTAAAAAAATTGTCCTGCATTTTTTTTTTTTTTTTAACCCTGCTTCTGTTTTTGTGAGAAAGAGCGATTTTTGGAGCGAGGATCATGGGGGAAAAGCACTTAAACCAGAAAATGTCACAACATACAGTACATTTTTATATTTTTTATTTTCATTCACAAGATGAGACATGTCATGAGCGAGGCGAGGTGGTCGCAACGATTAAAATGTTGACATTGCAACTCTTCCCAGGTTTGAATCTCAGTGGCTCTGAATTTGAATCCAAAGTACGTCCAATTGGGCTTTTTTCTAATTGAAAAACACTGTAAAAAAAAATTTTTTTTTACATTAAATTATTTGTTACTGTAAATCATTTTGTTGTAAAATTATAATTTATACCTTATGAAATTTTGCCCCAAAATTTACATTATAATTTTAACTTTAAAATAAATCTTTTTGGATTTCAATTAGGTATTATTTTGTATTTTAATGTTTAGTTTAATTTCTATAGGGCAGACTTATTGACTTTCAGTTTTTCCTTACTTTATCAAGTACGACGAAAATGCCTTCAAATCAGCCAGAAAAAATCATGAGGCACATTTTTTTATTTGGTACATGTGATAGGAGATTAGACTAAAAAGTGTGATTGTTCAAATTAATTTAGAATATTTATCGATTAATAAAAGGAAGGTCAGTGGATGCAGTTTGCTCAAAACGTCATCGGATGTAGGGTGGACCAGTTAGTCGTTCCTTTAAAACAACTGAGAATCGGTTACAAGAAGAAATCAAACTGAAGCTTTAATATAAAAAGAAAATCATGATTTAGACAAATTCAGCATATAAAGTAGCAAATATGTTCAGTGAAATGTATTAGATTGCTGTACAGAATTTAAACAAAAATTTAAAGATTTATTTAATTTTTTGTAACCGATAATAAAATTTTGTGAACAATTTCATTTTCACCTATAAAACAAGATGAAAAAGGGTAGATCTTTCTGGGGGTTTATGAAAACGTTCCACTTGCAGATCAACAATCAATGAAAATCCGTCCAAAAAGAAAGTGTGTTGTGACAAGTGCACCAGACAACAAATGTAACGATTTTCTTAAGCACAATTGGCCCAAAAATAGTCGACTATTTAAATGACGATGTTTCTTTTCCAGATAACCAAAGGCCGTTCAGCTGCTTCTGCGGGAAAACTTACGTCAACAAGGAATCTCTTGGGAGACACATCAAGTACGAATGCGGGAAAGAGCCGTCATTCAGCTGCCCTTACTGTTCGCACAAAACAAAGCAAAACAGCAACCTGAAAACCCACATCCTTCTGAAACACGGTCTAAATTAAACACATTAGCCCTGCTATTCCAAATGAATTCTTTTGACAGTCTATTGAAATTATAACTAACATATAAATATAATTTTGGGCTATGTCAATATGTGGATTCATGAAGTCATAGACTTCTTAAGAGGAATTGAAGACTGATTAAATAAAGCATATATTTACTAGTTATTCAGAAATCATGAGATGCAGTCTGGTGTGATGTAGGTTTCAGAAAAACATTTTCTTCGTGCCAACGTTTCGATCTTTTATTGAGATCATCTTCAGGGCTCAAAGTGTTTGTCTTCTGTGTAATTGTGCCATCCTTGCATGTCGTGTTGAGAGTGCCTACATCACACCCGACCGCATCTCACGATATCTGAATAACTATCGATTAACGGTCACTAATCTCTACACATATATTTACTATTAAAAAAAAGTAAGAATAAAAGTTGAATTATTGTAAATAATAATAAATACATATTTATGTATGTCTTCTGTTCACCATAAATACATATTGTAAGATCCTATCAGACTGAGCTCTCTACAAATGACTTCTGACAGAACACTATCCACAGTCGAGATAAAATAATCTATTGTATTTTATTATACATAAAATGTTATGTAGGAGTCAAGCAAAAGGAATTAGCTAATAAGTAATTGTAGTCGAAGACTAAAAAGAAAGTCAGTCGCTCTCAGAGTTTGACATTGCTTTAACAAGTAAAGACGTTTTTCAAACTCTGGGTTATTCTTTACAAACTAACGACCTTAAATCGTACATTTTTGGTGTTAGAAGTGGGATGGCTCGTCCGGTTTAATGTTAACTATATATCCTTAATAATTAATTTATTAGGAAGTCACGATAGCTCAAGTGGTAGAGCAGCTATTAGCTGAAGGTCGTGGGTTCGAATCCCACTTATGACACTGAATTTTTAATCTCAATCAAAACCTTAATTAATTGAAAAGGGCTTTTATTTCACTCCGGCAGAACCTCGAAGATAAAGATGTCTCCCAGGATTAAAAAGAAGATTTCGAGGAAACGAGCAGCCTTTCAAGTTTCAACATTTTAAAATTTCAAGTAGAAGGGTTGGAGGAATTGGAGGCAAGACTTAAATGAAAGCAAGAAAATGACTTCTTTCCTAGAAAGTTATACAGGCAAGACTTTTTTGTGTGTGTAACAATTTATTATTTTATAAAATTTATTTAGTAAAGTTATTTAGAAAAGTAGTGTAATTTTTGTTATTTTTTTAGTTTGTAAAGGTGTTTTTTAATTTTTTAAAAATTTTAGTTTACTTTTTATTTACTGTACAAGGGCAACTGGTAATATTTTATCAATTGATTTTATATTAGTTTTTCATATTCAAATAATTTTATTATTTTAATTTAATTATTATTTCATTGTTTTAGTTGCATTGTTTTTCACAAAATGGCCATACTTAAAATAACTCCAGATGTCCATTCAAGATCGTCAAAACTTTATATTTATTTATTTTTGGAAATAAGGGTGGACTCAGTTAACCGAAAAAAAATCAGATCTGTCTGACCTTATTGCCATCTGCCATGTCCTAAATTCGAACTACCGCAGGACAAAGAATATGTATGATTTTATCAAAACTAGACGACAAAGAAGAAAACGAGAACGACTCAGAAGACGAAGAAGAATTGGAAGATGATTCCCGTGAAGAGGATTTACAGGAACAATGGAAGAACACGTAACAAAACAAAACAGATAAAAACGCAATTTCAGTGGTCAGAAAATGTATTGAAGTTAAAAACGGTGAAGAACGGACATGGAAGAAAACCTTGCATCACAGATCATCTTCAACTCCTTTTCCTCAAAATTACAATACCTTTCAAGATGCCGAAGACCAATTGATGAGAAATCTGACTATTCAATTAAGAGAGGGATATTTGACTTGGCCCAAATTACAAATATTAATTTTTGTAAAGAAAAAAAAGTAATAATAATAAAAGGCGTAGGAAAATATATTTATTCTATAAAAAGCATCAAACTTGGAGGAAGTAAAAATAATTATTGATATAATTTGATGTGAAGACGTCATTCACTAATTACTAGAAGAAAAAGATAAAGAAATATCAATAAATGTGTGTCATCAAGAGAGTAGGAAGGCGTGAAAATATCGAATCCAAGTTATCATCAATTACATCATGGATGTGTCCCAGAAAGATGTAGAAACGCTTACAAACCAATGAATCAAGACGTCAGATTTAGAAGATAAATGCCAAAATATTTAACAATCGATAGCGATTGAAAGAATAAAAGGACTTTTCAACTGTGGTGAATCAGAGCGTAAAACTAAAGATTGCTCTAGTTAAGAATTACAGTTAACGTACAAAACATTTCAGCCAACAAAAGCGGAAAAAACAGTGGTTGTAGCAATGGTGCTCATCACCATTTACCATCATTTACTTGTGCCAATTTCATGAAATATACGGTATACCAAAGTGAATAAAAGTTGAATGAACAAATATTAAGAGTCAGGCAAAAGGAATTAGCCAATAAGTAATTGCTTTTATTTTTATTTTTTAATTATGTATATTGCAGAGAAAGAATCAATTTTTTGATGGTGTCCATCCTGATTTTGTTGTACTTCATAATAAGATAACGGATAAGAAATAAATTGATTGATAAATTCTTGACAGATTATTCGCCAAACCATTAGACCAAAATGTGTCTGATGAATGTCCTATTGTGGAAAAGGCAATTTATTTTCGACCCATCATCTTCAGTCTTGGAGTTTGATATTGGAAAGCTATGCATTTGTGCGTAAAGAAGTAAAGGCGTTTTAAAATTAGCCCTGTGTTATTCTTTACAAAACCAACAACCTCAAATCCTACATGTTAACTTTTTAAAAGGTCTGAAGAGAAAATTGGCAAGAAATAGGGAAAATTATAATATTTTAGTCAAAATTGATGAAATTACGTTACGATTATTCGAATAATAATAATAATAAATTAATTTATTTCATTTCAGAAAGACGTTTCATATGCGTCATTTGCGGTAAAGGGTATGCCCGTAAGGGCCATTTAAACCAACACCTGAAGTACGAGTGTGGGAAAGAGCCTGCGTTCAACTGTGCATTTTGTCCCCACAAGTCGAAACGTGCGACCAACATGAAACGTCACATGATTTGCAGGCACCCCGAGTTTGTGGCGGCCTTCCACCCGGCTCTGATGAAGACGGGCAATTCTGAGACTTTCGTACTTCCCAAACAGGCTGTGGTTACTGAGGAGCTCGAAGCTCCGGGATACAATCGATTCACTAGATGAATAGACTAAAAGCTGTATTATTGTAAATAATAATAAATATATATTTTATATGTTTTCCATTTGCAATAAATACATACGCTAAGATCCTATCGAACCTAGCTTTCCGCCGGGAAACACAATTTTCACAGAGGATTTACAACATTCTGCTCTATCTGTGGATTTCTCTTTATCATATATTACATACAAAAAGTATATTTTTTAAAAAGTCTGAACAGAAAATTAACACAAAACGACTAAACATTTAAACTATGGATTTTTTAAAATATTATTTGAATAATAATAAATTACTTTAATTAATTTCAGAAAGACGATTCACTTGCGACATGTGTGGTAAGAGGTATGTCCGTAAGGCCCATTTAAAACAACACCAAAAGTACGAGTGTGGTAAGGAGCCTGCGTTCAACTGTGCGTTTTGTCCACACAAGTCGAAACGCGCTACCAACATGAAGCGACACGTAATTTGCAGGCATTCTGAGTTGGTGATCAATAGTAGCAACCTTGATCCTTTTATATTTCCCAATCAGGCTGTGATTAACGAGGGACTCGATGCCAGGATGCAATCATACCTGTAGCTGTCGTTTAAAATTTGTATAATTGTAAATAATAAATATACTAAACATATAAATAAATATTGTGAGTCGTATCAATCGAGTTGTCAACTGACAACATTCTTCACCAAGGATTTTCAACATTCTGCTCTATCTGCGGATGTTTT